TTTACCACCTGCAGATTGGAGCTCATCAAAAAATGATTTACTTAGAGCTTTGAAATGCGTGGTTAGTTCAAGTTGTATAAAATAACGGGAAGTTGTTGCTTACGTCAGAAAATGTAAACATTTTATTTGTAAACCGTATCAAGAATATTAAATGTTAATTACCCTGTATTTGCATGGCACAGTGTAATAAACTAAAAAGAGTTTGAACGTTAAATCTAGTTTTTTTTACAAGACACCAGTATACACTAATAACCCACTCAACTGACTTTTGGGTGAAGTCATGATTTACATATACTATAATTCTATTCATGTTGGCTTACTGAAGGCTTTTTTTTAATATACATTACAACCCGAGGGCATTTACAAGCAAGCAAAATGCTCACACACAGAACAGTCTTGCAACACCACAACTCAAGACGCTCCAGTGGTAAGTCAACTACTTTTTTTATTGTTGCTCACAAGTAATTAGCATTCTCCCGGTTTCCCTTCCACCTCCACTCTTTCCCGAGGCTGTGGGTCACCTTTGCCCCAATTTCAAGGCATCATGAAGTGCAAGCCAACACCAGCCCCACCTCCTAACCCACCACTGGATTTGGGAGAAGGATTTAAGAGGTCTAAAAATAAACCTTAAAAACCTGTTTGCTGACCACTGTGTGAGTGGTTGTATCAATTGGGCAAGCTGCTACCGAATGTCACCAAAGCAGATGATTTGACAAGAAAACTGTTGTTACCGAAAATATCCAAAGCAAGGTCCCTGCAATTAAAAACAAACACTTCACCATGGCTAATTAAGGGCAGTGGGTACTGTAGTGTCAAAGCAAACGCAGAAGTCAACTTTAAAAATTTGCAAATGGGCCATATATTTTTTACCGAGGGAGGCACGACAACTCTTGATCCAATATGAAATAAACTTTATTATAAAACATTAATATCAAGGACTTGCCCTTTTGAATAGAGGAAATTTATTAAAAACGTTGCCCAAAACTCACCGATAAATGCACTCGGCGATAAATAAAGTATTTTTGTCCAAGGCAATGGTATCACAAGTTATACGCTTGTGAAGTCATCTCACAATGTCACATCATACGCCTGTGACATCTGCGGCAAAGAAAACAACGTCGTTAATATAATCCACTGCTGGACGAATGCCTCCACGAGCCCCACCCCCGGCTATACCCCAGTGTTGTGATGTCATAATCCACCTAGCAGCTCCAGCCAGCAAGCCAATTTCATCACTTTATCTTCACAGTGGACATACATTGAGTCCACACCCTCCCTTTGCTTGTCATTCCATCATCACTCTTCTTGACCAACAACCATCATCTCTTGTAGGGGGCATGTACAGCCCAAGCCCACTTACGTTTAAGTCAATACGAGGTCTTAAACAGGTGTATGTTCTCGAATACACGTTCTCCTTTGTCTCTCAACGTAATGCCAACCATGCACTCTCCATGTTTCTTGGTGCATCTTGCAGTTTTTTTTATTTCTATTTGCTAACGTACATTGGTAACCAAATGTTCATTTTGGATGGAGACCTGGTTACACTCTAGAGCCTTGGTCACAGCAAAATGGTAAATATTTATATCACTGTATTGTTTATACTGTTTTGTTTGTAATGGAAAATAAGACATTCCACAATGCATCGTAAAACACTTGCGCAAAGTTGTCAAAGAATAAGTAAAAAATTATAAAACACTTAAAGCAGCCTCGTGGCACTAACTAGCATTCGAAACCATTTGAACTTCAGTAAACCCAGTGCAGGAGTTCAGACGAAAAGCTATTTAAAGCACACCGCTTTTTTGAGCCTCATTCATTGTTACAGAGCTAATGTAATGTTTGTGTTTAGATGTTAAGATAACACAATACGAAAACGGAACCAGACTTTCACATACCCTATATCATAGTCAGAGCCGTCCCTAGGGTACAGCGAATCAAAGTGACCGCCCCAGGCCCCGCGCTTTGGAAGGGCCCGCGCTTTGGGGGGCTCCGCGCTTTAGGGGGCCCCGCACTTTAGGGGGCCCCGCGCGTCAGATCTAATACTACCGGTTTAGTTTGAAGGATTTGCCCCAGGCACGCCTTAGGGACGAAACTGACTGTCGTAGGTGTGTGGAGTGGCTTGTAGAGCCAGTCTAGGGGGACAGTTTTCAGGTCACCTCTAATTAACAATAAGAGACGCAATACTTACAAAATACAACTTGGCCTAAGTTGGCCTCTCTGCCACACTACAAACCCCAATAATGCTTGCTCATCCTGGACAAAATACCCATGAATAATATATATAGAGTATAACAAGCCAATATTTAAACTTTTTTCATCAGTGAGGAATTACACTTAGTAGTTTTCTTGACGGATGGGCTTTTACAGGATTTTTTTTTAAATTCACATTCTACTTGTACCTATATTCTGAAAATAGCATAACCCGTCAATTGGTGGTTTCATTAAATTCCTGACAGTTAAATTATTTACGCGGTTATCCATCATAACAGCTCACTGAAGGGACTGCTGAAACTGGAGCGTGCACTATAACAACCTTGCATGTACTTCAGTTAAAACAATTGCACGTATGGGCTTTGTGGCCTTTCTCACAGCACTCCACCACCTTAAACGACCATCACAGTTGTCTAACAAAATCAAACTGGTGGAATGCAGAACTTGCAGTACATCAGAGCCCGATAAAAGCACACCCCATAGGAGTAAGTTACAGGCGTGCTTGTATCAGAAGTTGCCCTTCCTCCCATCAGCGCAAAGTATGCATGTTGCCGAGGTATGTAACGTGCTATAAAAGTTGTCTGTAGATCAAACTTTTACAGTATTGTTTAAAACATTACGCCGTCGACGTTTCACGGTAGACATCGCCTTGACAGACAGATAAACCTTGGAAACAAAAACACATTCAATGCAAAAGGGCTTTGCAAAGTGTAAGTGACGTCTTTAAAGGTGCATTGGAAATGCTTGATACTCCTACCGCTGCTCCTGCTGTTGTGGACTCATGCAGACAGCTATGGCTACAAGGTTTGGTGGTACATGTTGTTTATGTCGTTTACTGTGAAATTTCGGTCATAGTTCCTATGATCACTGTTACATTGCTTTTATGGCTTTATTTTGGGGATTTCAAAAACTTTTTGGTTGGCCATGTTTGTTTGTTGTAGTACGGAGTTAGACTGATAGCTTTAATGTAAATTGTTTTGTGGTTGTTGTTGTTTGACTTGCATCCCACTGGGATTTTTGCACACAGCGTTGGTATACAGCGCTTTTTCTGGAAGTTTTTGCTGTTTTTTCCCGTATTTTTCTGTTTGCGCATAGTCACTTTAAGATGTTTTCTTGTTCATGTTTTTGGTTTTTGTTTGTTGCGGTTGCACCCGATTCAAGAGCCGAATGGCTCACAGGGCTATACCAAATAAATGAAACTGAAAACACAAAAGTGTGAAAATGAACACACACGTATTTTCATCCAAAGTTGGACAAGTAGCAGCCAGAATTCACGTGCCACAATGTTTTGGTTTAACAATGACCATAAATTTTCCCCCAAACACTCCAAGCCTGCAACCAGACGTAATTACTGAAACATGTACTCAAATATACGTGTGCCCATGAACACAAGGCTTCACCCCCCCATTCCTGTGGTCATGTGACATTGAGTCTGTGCTTTATAAACACAACTTGGACAAATTGTACGCTTATTGGGCTATGTGGCCAAAGCAAACAAACACACATTACATATCAAAGCAAACAAACAGGCAAACATTAACATTGGAAAACAGGGTATTAACGTGCAAGCTCAAAAAAATACCTTAACAAAGACGTCTTAAGCCCAAATAACTCGTATTGAACTTTAGACAATGATGATATGCAGCTTTTGAGAGGCTCATGAACGCATGAAACAAAATGCCAGACTAATCCTGTATTACACTCCATACAGTATTACCTCCATCATGAGGAATGTGAGCAACATCACCTCACAACTTCCAAAACGTGCAACTTTCTGCAACAATGGGAACGTCAACACCTGCAAATGCATAGCCAAGGCTGCAAATACTGTAACTGCACGTTTGGCTATACACACATGCCCTTGGATACAGATGTAGTTTGGGATGTGTGCACATGATTGGTCAAGTTAAACAAAAATTCAACACAATATTACGTTATTAAAGTGACCAGAAACACTACAAATGGCAGTGCGGTAACCAAACGCATTTGTGAAAGCTACATGAAAACGTGGATTGTCTGCAAAAACTGATGTTTTAAAACAGTTAGTAAATTCAAGTGTAAACTTGTAGTGATCAGGTGGCCTGTAACTTGGCCCACAAGACTCGGACGTGCCCTTCGATTCATTGAGCAACAACATGTCCAAGTGTGGGCCGGGGAACCACGCAATTGATTAGCTGCCTCTAACAAAACATACTTAGCATCTCAAAAGTAAATTTACATGGAATATTTTTTTTTTATTAAAAAAGCAATTTTACACGCGTTCACAACGTAGCTGGGCTACTGCAACTTCAGCTATGTTGCAGAGCACCAGTGAAACGAATTCACACATGGCACTCAGAAGCGACGGCGTTGGCCATCATTGACCAAACAATGGCTCATAACAAAAACTCTTTTAACTGCAACGGGAAAACCGGTCTCGACTTGTTCGGTAACAACCCCTCGGTAGCTCTCAAAACACTAAAAAACATCAAACCCTAAAAACACACACATTCCCCAGCTCTTTCTAAGAACATGGCCAATACACAAACGGACACTTGCATCTTTGCACGTGGCAACGAAAAAAAACTCCTCTTTCAACATTCGCGCCACTGCCCGAAAACAAATATTTAAGGGGTTAATTAAACCCCATTCAATCTGCACCGCCGCACTCTCATACGCGCAGACCGGCATATATACGCACGTATAAAGTGTTAACCATGCACGTGTCACTTTTAAAAGTTGCTGGGAATGTTGTAAAGAAATCGATGGTGGTGGCGGTGATGGTGCAGCAGCAGCATTGGCGCGTACAGTACCTGACAACGCGTGCTCGTGGCGGTGCCGACGCCTCTCTGCGCTCCCCCTCTTAGCGCCGGGATCGCCCCGCCCCCTATCGTACCCCTCGTCTCCGATTGGTTGCTAAATAAAACAACGCCCCGCCCCTCTCTCCCCCCCCCACCCCTCCTCTCACCGCACCCCCCCGCCTTAGGTGACACGGTTGAGTTCCCCCCCCCGCCCACTTTGCCCATTGCGCGACGGCCGCAAGTTGCCACGCCCGTCCGCAGCTTCGCGTTGTCATTGGTCAACGAGGGGGTTAATGCACGCGCGGAATGTGCCACCACGCCCAATCCTGTGGGCGAGGAGGGGGGAGGGAGAAAGATGGGTGGGGGGGAAGTGGGGGAGGAGGGTTCGCGCGCGCTCTGATTGGTCGCCGGCCCACCCCCCCCCCACCCCGTGAGCGGGGCAGTCGCGCGCCGTTCCCGATTTGGCGCCAAAATTTTGATTTGAGCAGCACTCCTTTCACTTACAGTCTTACACAATGAGCAGCGTTGGCTTTTAATTGGAATTCGTGAGAGGTTAGGTTATTTTAGCATAGGTAAAATATATTGTGCAATAAATGTTGATTCTCGATGGGGGCCTGGTTACAGAAAAAATAAAAAAACGCGAACAAAAGAATGCAAAAACAATTGTGCTTCGTAATATTCCAATTTGGCACGGCGGTACATCAGCATGGTGCAACCAGCAGCAATATAAAGCGACTAGAACACATCACATACAAAAGAAACATAACTTAAATTCTTAAAAGAGAACTGAAACGAGAACGAGACCCAAACAAAAATAACAGTAGAGTCATTAGTTGTTGATATGCACCGATGCTGTGTCCCCCTGACTCCGAGCTGAGTTTGAAGGGTCATTAACGAGGAAGACTACTTGAGTGTTACGTCCATTAAGCCCTTATGGAATTCTAATAGCATCACGACGATGCCACTGCTATATTTAATTAATGCAAGTCATGTGTTGTCATGGCAGTGCTGCAGATGCTCCGCACCTAATTATGAAATAAAACATGATTTACCTAAGCTTCATGTTCACGTCACAATTTAAGGTCGACCTTCATGAGCCCACAGAGATCCAATTAATTGCAGAAATATTTTACAAATTGCATGTTCTCTTTCCCCTATATGAATCTAGCAAATTTCCCATTATAAGTCAATCCGTAATTGCAGACTCAGAATATGTATACTGGAGGAATCCGATGATATGCCAGGCTCTTTTTCACAGATGTCCAATAGGGGTGGGTCAACATTTACAGCAACAAACAACACATAACAAAACACTATAGGAGTGCAAAGTAGAGGAAAGGTAAACTAATCACTTAAAATATACAAATACAACTCAACAATTTTTTTTTATCTGACCAGGCAGGTATTGCCCACTGAGCTTTTATTTTTCAGAAGCGACCTGGCCACAAATGATAGCTCAACAAAAGTGGCTTATCATGTATAAAGGCAAAACAATGTAATCGATGGCATGGGCCAGTGACAGCACGTTTGCTGCTTGCTACAGCAGAGGTTCACAGTTAAACCCCACTGCGGCCCTGGTTGATACCGTGAGTATTAACCATACGAATATGCGCTATCTGCTTCGCTATGAACTGGACGTTACAGATCTCGTGACTTTATTTGAAGAAAAAAAAAGAGTCGGCCATGTGTGAATGCATCACAGTCGAAATTTGCTACATTTGACAAAATAGCTCACAAGTTGAGACATACATGGCAATCGTAACTTACAACTGACTTCACAGAACACTCCTGAAAATTAGTATAGAGTCTCAGTGAGGCTATGCTAGGCACACAAATGGAATCATAACACAATTATTTTCAGAGATATAACGACACGTGTTTCAAATCACACGTAAAAACCATTGTGGATAATCATAATGGTACCGTATACTGAAGGCAAGAATATTGGGTACATCACAATCTGAGAAGTCTTGCAAACAGGAAGGACAATCCATAATATATGTTTTTGGGTTAGATCGCGTAAATATATATTTGTGTCGTTAAAATCCGCCACCACCCGACACAGCCAACTAGTAAGGGTTGTCGCGTAAACAGAACATGCCAATTCGTCACTAGTACAGCACACCGGTGTGTTGGAGAGCCAAGCCACAACATTTAGTAAGACTTCTCCACAAATCTGGCTGTCGCCTGATGAAGCTAGTTGTAACTACTGGCGAAACGTCGTACTCAGTTTGTAAATGTTGTGGCTTGGCTCAAGTGACGAAATTGACATGTTTTGTTTACGTGAAAACCCTTACTAGTTGGCTGTGTCGGGTGGTGGCGGGTTTTAACGACACATTTATATATTTACGCGATCTAACCCAAAAACATCTATTATGGATGATATTGGTCGCGAAAGCCTACGTGTTAAACAGGAAGGAGAATACATGTATGTCTTTGCAAAAGATGGACATGAGGGATTTATGATGGATTTGCAAGCATAAAAAAGTAGGTTGAGTTTTGTGGGAAGTGGGGAGGTGCACTGGGCAGACATTGCAGGGCCTGGCAAGCTTTGCAGATATCATTGGTTTTAAATGATACATCAACACCCCAAATTGTGTGGAATTTTAAGTGTTTAAATTACTTTTTTATATATATAAAATCATACATTCTAATTGGTGTCTGTTAAAAAAATACCTGAGTACTCTAGTCATATACTATCACGTATTTTACAACCACATTTGTTTTCACCTACTCTTTATTTTTGTCTTGTATGGAAGAGTTCTAAATCACACTTGCAAACTGTCTGTGAAACGGTTGAACATTTATTCCTTCGTCATCAATATCAGCCACATTGTATCCGGTACCAGGTGAGGGCCTCCCCAACCTATCGCCATCTGGTGGCCCTAGAAAGCAACAATCCACCTAGAAACTGTTCAAGACTTGAATTCAACGCTCCATCTCTGCGGTGCAACTCTGATTTCATCAACCATGGTGGTAGCAGGATATACAGTATGTAGAAAGTTATGATTTACTTGGTAAGAACGGGACACTTATTTATTCCATGACCAAATAATGTCGTGTGTCTTGTGAGCCTCTTAAAGACCAAATAAACTCCAAATCAAATGGTTTAACATTATTTCATTAAAAAAAGACATGGAGAAGAACACACATGTTCAACGGCTGTTAAATTTCCCACAAGTAAATCATATTGACATTGGTTGGAACATGGGGTTGTGGCATGTTACACCCGAGGGTGAAACAAGCTAGCAGAAAACGAATAATTTGCAGCACCAATGCTGCACAAATTATTATGTGTTACACAAGAGTTGTAACCTTTTTTGGAAATCGCATTGGGCATAGCCTTTAATTTGCTTTCTCTCGTTGTCCGTGCAAATTTGTACTTGTTACAATTGAATGCACTGCTTTATTAATTACCAACTGTTAACCAATGGGATTGTTTAAAATGCCCTCTACACGCTAGAATGGTACTTGCTTCACCAAATAAGTGCCGGTGTTTCGAGCATATGCTTTGTATTCTTTAGAAAGTTCACCGATTACAGGCGAAATACCATCACCATTTACCAAACTTTGGAGCTTGAATCCATAAAAACAGGTTTCATTTACCTCTTTTCTACCGAAATATTAAGCATCACAGGGGTCGTGCTGAGCCAGCCCTGGTGCGGCTCAGAAGGTGTCGGGTATTTTTTTTTTCACTACAGAAAGCGGAGCCGTGCTGCTGTTTCACACAATGAACAATTCGAGATGCATCTTTATGACGTACTATGTTTGAGTTTCGAGTTATTTATGTCAGACACAACTGAAACATGACTGATGTCACACACCATGGATGCAAAATTAGCCGCCCCTCCCCCTACCACAACAATATTGGCCCCAAGGCAGATTCAGATGTTCTGTAAGGCCAGCGTAACGTGATTCTGTTTTGCCCTAGCACCGCAAATAGCCATTGGAAAACCACCCTTACTTTTAAGGCCCAACACTAGCTCGGATGATGCAGTGATTGACTGATTCAACAGAAGTATCAAATTGACACTGCTCGACTTGCAGATACTGGACGAATGCATTTGCTTGGAAAGCCAAGTGCACACGTCTTAACTTTATGGGAGAGGAATTGAAAAAAAATAACCTGAGACGAGAATATGTTAAAAGAGGAGGTATCTTGGCATGAGGAGCTGGGAATGCATTCTGGGGCGTCGATCAGTGGGTTGATGCTCTTGGCTGATGTGATTAACGGATAATTTGACTTGGTTAACACTATAAACAACATTTTAACACATACAGTGAGGGAAAAAAGTGTTTGATCCCCTGCTGATTTTGTACGTTTGCCCACTGACAAAGAAATGATCAGTCTATAGTTTTAATGGTAGGTTTATTTGAACAGTGAGAGACAGAATAACAACAAAAAAATCCAGAAAAACCCATGTCAAAAATGTAAAAAATTGATTTGCATTTTAATGAGGGAAATACGTATTTGACCCCCTCTCAATCAGAAAGATCTCTGGCGCCCAGGTTTCTTTAATACAGGTAACGAGCTGAGATTAGGAGCACTCTCTTAAAGGGAGTGCTCCTAATCTCAGCTTGTTACCTGTATAAAAGACACCTGTCCACAGAAGCAATCAATCAGATTCCAAACTCTCCACCATGGCCAAGACCAAAGAGCTCTCCAAGGATATCAGGGACAAGATTGTAGACCTACACAAGGCTGGAATGGGCTACAAGACCATTGCCAAGCAGCCTGGTGAGAAGGTGACAAAAGTTGGTGCGATTATTCGCAAATGGAAGAAACACAAAAGAAATGTCAATCTCCCTCGGCCTGGGGCTCCATGCAAGATCTCACTTTGTGGAGTTGCAATGATCATGAGAACGATGAGGAATCAGCCCAAAACTACACGGGAGGATCTTGTCAATGATCTCAAGGCAGCTGGGACCATAGTCACCAAGAAAACAATTAGTAACACACTACGCCGTGAAGGACTGAAATCCTGCAGTGCCCGCAAGGTCCTCCTGCTCAAGAAAGCACATATACATGCCCGTCTGAAGTTAGCCAATGAACATCTGAATTATTCAGAGGACAACTGGGTGAAAGTGTTGTGGTCAGATGAGACCAAAATGGAGCTCTTTGGCATCAACTCAACTCGCCGTGTTTGGAGGAGGAGGAATGGTGCCTATGACCCCAAGAACACCATCACCACCGTCAAACATGGAGGTGGAAACATTATGCTTTGGGTGTGTTTTTCTGCTAGGGGGACAGGACAACTTCACCGCATCAAAGAGATGATGGATGGGGCCATGTACCGTCAAATCTTGGGTGAGCAGCTCCTTCCCTCAGCCAGGGCATTGAAAATGGGTCGTGGATAGGTATTCCAGCATGACAATGACCCAAAACACACGGCCAAGGCAACAAAGGAGTGGCTCAAGAAGAAGCACATTAAGGTCCTGGAGTGGCCTAGCCAGTCTCCATACCTTAATCCCATAGAAAATCTCTGGAGGGGTGAGAAGGTTCGAGTTGCCAAAAGTCAGCCTCGAAACCTTAATGACTTGGAGAAGATCTGCAAAGAGGAGTGGAACAAAATCCCTCCTGAGATGTGCCCAAACCTGGTGGCCAACTACAAGAAACGTCTGACCTCTGTGATTGCCAACAAGGGTTTTGCCACCAAGTACTAAGTCATGTTTTGTAGAGGGGTCAAATACTTACTTCCCTCATTAAAATGCAAATCAAATTATAACATTTTTGACATGCGTTTTTCTGGATTTTTTTTGTTGTTATTCTGTCTCTCATTGTTCAAATTAACCTACCATTAAAATTATAGACTGATCATTTCTTTGTCAGTGGGCAAACGTACAAAATCAGCAGGGGATCAAATACTTTTTTCCCTCACTGTAGGCTTTCGCGACCCAATATCAGTCATAATACAGGTTTTGTATTATGGACTATAAGCAACTTTTGTTATTTTTATTAGACTGCCTCAAGGGCTAGTAAATGTATTTTGTTGCACTCTATACTTAAAAAGTATTGCTGTTAATGTCTTTCTATGGGGTTTTAGTACCACATTTGAAAAAAAGCTTATTCATAATTATTAAATAAAAATTACAAATAAATAAGAGCAAAAGGCAACAACAACAATTACAAAAAACGTCAGTTTTCTGTGGTCAATATGAATTTTACATAATCTCGTGCATGTAAACATACGAAGGAGGCTCGTATTTCGAGCACTGAACGTTTAGGGTGGATGTCTGCGGAAGGGGGGGGGGGGTAGTGAAACAGCACTGTATACTGGAAAGCCTTTTCATCGCCCATGTTTAGGTAAAGGTATATTGTAAAATACAATACACTTTCATACAAATACATTTTTACTACTATTGTACTGTGGAAAGTGACAAGGCATGGAAAAAGCCTTCATCCAGAAGTTCCAAAGCCAACGAATTACAACATACAATGCACAGGTCTTCCTCCCAGTGGTTCTTATTTATTGGTCATAACATATGCAAAATGATCATGCTAATTAGAATCATGTGTTCTATACTGCATTATGTATAAAGGGCTTTTGAAGGTTTCGAACTGAATTTGATTCTCAGCCAAAGCAAAGGGGCAACTTGAATCTGAACCAGTTCTGGACCACCCCACCCCTCACCTACTCCCTTCTCATAAATAAACCAACACTGACCAACGTGGTGATGTTTGGTCAAACAGCACCCATAACTGACACGGTGTGGGAAAGTATTCATTTAGCAGTGGATTTACAAAGTTCTATTATATACATATTTAATAATTTAAACCGAGGCACAAGCATGTGTAACTTGTGTGATACGCAGTGTGTACCTTTCATACACTCGTGCAAGTGCTGTAGAGCCAGAGGCAACCTAATAAAGCTAACCTTGGACTCTGAATATAATTGTCTCATCCACATTGTTCCAAGTACATTTTAGATACACGGGCATATAACAAAGTGGGCGAAAACTGTAGAGATCGGAGTGGCCTAATTAAAGGTTAGGAACGTGTGAGCACTAATTAACTGCAAACGAGGGCAGCCTATTAGTGAATCTTGCGACAGGTATAATGAGGCTGTTGTTTTACTCCTGTAGCGTTTGCTTAGTGGGCAAAATATTTAATGTTATCTCATGCAAGTATCATCAACATCATTTATTATTTATACCGTGCCTCCCATGTGGTACATCTCGAGGCGCGCCAGCAGTGAGACAATCGATCGGTTGCCATGTAACCCATCACTTTGAGTTTATGTGCCAATAAATTACTGTAGTCAGTATTTTACCGCTGTCACACTTTTCAGCCGTTGCTGCCTATGAAATCGAACATTCTGATTGACGACCCTCACGTTAAAACAATGCCATGTAAATAATAATTTCGTAATCATGCCACTGCTAGCGGAAGGCGTTCTAGAAAGCTCCATCGGAGTATTTGGCCTACTCTTTGACACTGGTCAGACAGCTGGGGAAAAGGGGTGAATATCCACACTTTATCCCACCACGCGTAACCTGTGGATCGACTCTGGTTCACCCATTGATACTGCTGGGTGGACAGAGGTGGAAGATTTAAGAAACTTTACAATTTCAACTGCCACGCACTGACTAATATGGTGAAGTATGCTCAGCGAACTCAGCAGTGAATTCACAATGGAATGTACATTACTGCTGTATATCATATGGACAATTTTTCACGAATTTAGTTAATTAATTGGTCAAATGACCTGCCTCTTTTTTCTGATGTCATTGGTGAAGTGGAAATACATATTTAACAGTACTTTCCAGGAAATATAATGGCGTACATTATAATAAAAAAAAATCTTCCAATACCAAAAATAAAGGATTTAAATGCTTGAGCTCTCTGCTGATACGCAGGCCTGTAATGTTGGCCCGATACAAAAGGCAATCACACCTTTTTGATGAGTCACTATACTGAGAATGTACAGCTATAGACTAAAACACATTAACTTTAACTTTACTTAGAAACTCTTTCACGTGAGCTGTAAAACAATCCTAGGGGTTGAATATCTGTATCTGGCTGAAAGAAGGCTCAATGCTGCTTTTCTGGTTATGCAGTTTCCTTGGTAAGCGTGACTGTTTATAACAATTCTTGTGTGGGTGTAGCCATCAATGTCGTCCCGCAATGATTACTCTGCTGGACTACAGCACTCAAAGCAACATTGCCATTATTTTGCTTACTGTGTTAATATGCACGTAATCGTTTATGCACAATGCGTTCACATTCAGGGCACATACATTTAATGCAGTACATTCATCGAACCGGATGGATATTTCAAGTGATTTTATTTGTCACACCATAATTCTTTCAGGCATATTTTAAACCCCAGATAAGTACATGACGTAGGTTATTGACATGGAAACAAACTATTTCAAATGGACACTCAAATAATCACTGAATGTTGAATGCAGTACTGGAATGCATGGTATCTTAAGTAAAGTATACTTAATACTTAGGGGCCGTCCATAAATGACGTCACGCGATTTTGGAATATTTTTGACCCTCCCCCCCCCCCATCGTCACACGGCGTCACAAAAAGTCAGACACCCCCTCAAATATGACGTCACAAAGCTCTGCCCCCCCCCAAAAATGCTTCAAATCGCTTTTAATTATTGTCATTGTAGTGCGCATTTAATGTGGAGCTGCACTCTGATGTTGTAGGAGAAAACATTTATTCAAAAGTCTATTAAATTAAGTAGAACGTGTTGTCTATATTTATTTAAAGTTGCGCATTTTGATGTGACGTCACATTTCTGAACCCCCCCCCCCCCTCGTCACACATAGTCACACATCTCTGACCCCCCCTCCTAGGTGCGTGACGTCATTTATGGACCGCCCTTATGTATATAGGCTACTTACCATTTGATAATCAATAGGGCCTGACCGAGAACTGTATCTGACCAAGCCAGTATTGGAAAGCTTCAAATTTCTGCTTCAATGAAAATATCTTCATGGTGAAGTGGACAGGTGGGCATACAATTCGTATACCTGTACTGCTGGGCAAGGGAGTGAGATAATGCATTTCTGTATTGGACAACTTAAATGCCATGCTTGGCAAAATCCATTTAATCAGTGCAAAACCAATAAAATAATGCCTAACTACTGGTTAAGCATTGAATCAATGACACAGTATGATGTAAGTTGACAATTGACAATTTACGTGAAATTGCAGACTGTAAATTGGAAATTCGATTAATATTTTTGTCATGCTGAGGCGAGTGTAGTTTAAAAAAAAAGAAGTTTTAAACTTTTCTCAGGAATTGTTAAATATATATTTTATTTCACTTCTTATATGCCCCCAACTCCCCCCCCCCCACGCATTTAATCAACTGTATGGACTTGAGAGCCACCTTCCACAGTTATTTGTTACATACATTACATTCAACGTTATCATTGCAGTGTTGATATTACTGAGCCGGGTGTGAGAGGAAAGTCGCAAGGCTGAGGTGTGATCCCTAGCTAGTACACACCAATTAAAGCATCCTTGGGTGGAGTGGAAAAAAAAATCACCAATTGTCTCTCGCAGGGATGGCGCAATCGAACACAGCTTCTGTTCCCGTGAGCACCTGGAATGAGCATAATGCCACCCTCGGCACCCGTGGAGAACTGGCCACCCGCTATCAGTACAGATTTTGGGTATAAAAGTGCCGCCCGCAGTCGGGAGGTGACAAGCGTCTAGCTAACCTTGTCTCGCTGCACACATTCACCTCTGCAGTGAATCTGAAGTGGATGTCATGGATGGCTCTGCTGTCTGTTTTTTCTGAATTTATACCATTCTGAAAAAAAAGGCGGGATTGCTTTGTGAAACTAATTGACAGTTCCACTTTTATTGTTGTATTAGTCATACGCCAGTCATTGCAAGCTAATGGATATGATGGAATGTTTGCATTAATCCAAGGTTTACTTTTCAAGGGCTATGCTGTATTAGCTGTTGATTGAATTTGTGAAATAGCAGTTGAACTGTTTACAAACAATAATCTCAAATACCCTCTTTATTCTTAACCTCGCACATACAGCAGTATGTACTCGAAGTGAGTGATCCACTGAAAATTAAGGCTTTTAAAACAAGTCTCTTCGCGTGCAGCATACAGGCAGAGTTATAGCTGCCTGGGGATGGCCACCACTCGGGTGAGAATCCTGACCATGCTATTGATCGGTGGCTTCGGAGCTCTGGCTGAACGATTCCTCATGGGCCTGCAGGCCCCTCAGTCCCTCTCGAACCCATTCAGTGCCCTGCGGCTCGGCGCAGGGTTGCAGATTGCCCTCGACGCCCTCAACGCCAACCCCACCTTCCTGCCCAATCACACGTTCGCGTTCACGTACGCCGACTGCGCGTGCGATCCCAAGGTGTCCCTCGACTCCTTCATAAAGCAGGTACGCGACCAGGGCATCATCGCGCTCCTGGGACCCGTCTGTGCCGAAGCGTCCGAGGTGAGATCTGCAACACTTGCACATGGAGTTGTTCATGTTTCCAAGTGAGGCACCGATTATTATTATTTTTCAAACTTAAACATTACTGGTGGTTGAATGCGTATATGCTATGTATTTGTCATGTGTATTTCCCATAGGTTTTGTAAGTTAACGATCTCATTACTGAAATGGCATGTTGCAGGTCTCATGCATAATGCAGGTCAGAATCTAGATTTCAACATGCATATTTATTCGAACAAAAGCCAAAGATTACTCTTTGGTTTTTTCGGTAAAGTCACGTAGAAATTATAAAAATAAAATAAAATTATATAATAGCATACGACGTTTCGATCGCAACACAAGCAATCATCATCAGGCAGAGGAAACACATAACCGCAGATATATACAGACCTTAAGTAGGGGGAATTAACACAGATATACCAGGGGACACAGAGAGACGGAACATCACACTAAATCAAACAGGGTTTAGCAAAATTTGGAAACTGTTTGATTTAGTGTGATGTTCGTCTCTCTGTGTCCACTGGTATATCTGTGTTAATTCCCCCTACTTAAGGTCTGTTTATATATCTGCGGTTATGTGTTTCCTCTGCCTGATGATGATTGCTTGTGTTGCGATTGAAACGTCGTATGCTATTATATAATTTTATTTTATTTTTATTATTTCTACGTGACTTTACCGAAAAAACAGAGTAATTCCTGCAGTCACGAAAGCGCCTAATCAAGTTTAAAAGCCAAACATGTTATCGTAAAAATGTATTTGAGTACGAATGAAATCTACATGACGCTAAATCTATAACCATGTTACAGGAATACACAGCATGTACTGGAGAGTATATACAAGCGTGAATCGAGCATGTTATATTGCTTACCGGTTTACTCTGTGCATGCAGGTGACTGGCCTCTTGGCCGCTCAGTGGAACGTGCCCATGCTGGGCTTCGTGGGCCAGACCCAGCGCATGGATCGCACCACCGTGTACGACACGTACGTCCGCATCATGTCACCGCTGCAGCGCATGGGCCAGATGCTGGAGGCCACCATGCGCCACTTTGGGTGGACGCGCGCCGCGATGCTGGGCGGCACGGCTCAGAACAGCACGTGGGCCAACATCGACGAGCTGTGGGCGAGCGTGGAGCGGGAGTTGGCTCGCTCCGTCACCATCACGGCGCGCATCAAGTATGACACGTCCAACCTGCGCCTTCACCGCCAGAACCTGCAGGAGGTCTCCAGGAAGGCGAGGAGTGAGTGAGCGAGCCTGCTTGCCACCGGTCATCACTGCCCAAACCACAGCCCAGGATGAGGTTGAATGGCACCTGGGTTGGCAAAATTTTTGCAACGGTTGTATTTAAAAAAAAAAATAACCCGAAAAGCTTAAGCTGAATGCACAAATATATGAAAAAAAAATCTATATCCATGAAAATGAAAAATAACATCACTGTGATAGCAGATATTTACTTGAAATAAATGTGAATAAGGGACTGAGGCATGAATCACAGTTTTTACATAATAGAATGTATAGAATTTTGTTTGAATGTTGAACTTCTTTCACACCGTACATAGCGAACAGTGCTAATTGGAGATGCGGGGATATAAAACATATTCTGTATTTGCGCAAGGTTTAGTATAACGTATAAGCGTGGATAAATGTTTTGATAACAGGATTTAACATATCGTTCAACTCGCTATTCTACCATGTTCAATTTTTCAAAACATCATCTCCGCAAAATTAACATACATTTTGCGATTAGCACACGGAAATTAAGGATCCAAAATATTACTAACTTCTCGACCACTCTGCATACGTTTCATATATGACCTAAAACACACAGGCTAGTATCACCACATGGCATCACAAACCATCCTCATTGGGCACACTAATAAGTTGCTGTATGGTGCACCCTGCAGTCGTGATCCTGATGTGTGGCTCGGATGAGGCACGGGAAATACTTCTGGAGGCCCAGGCCCTTGGCCTCACCACCGGAAAGTTTGTCTTCCTCGTTGTGCAGCAATTTGAGGTGAGTGAGCCGGTGGCAGCCACGTACTATTCGTCCATGATATGCTGTCACATTTACCATGACAACTATAAACATTTTTTTATTTTACCAGGTAAGTCCCACTGAGATATATAGCTCTTTTTCAGAAGCCACCTGGTCACAAATGATAGCTTGACGTAGTGGCTTATCATGTGGACATTTATAGCAGCCAAATACTCAAAATGCATGTTTCTGAATGTGAAGGGAAAAACCGGAGGACCCGGAGAAAAATCCACACGACCTCGGGGAGAACTTGCAAACTAAAAATATACAGGCGTCAGGGTCGGGATCGAACACATGACCTCCTGCTTACCAGGCAAGGTAGTTAACATCTCGCCATCGTGTTGCCCTTCCAATTCACATTGGAAGGATGCATCACATAGTAGACAGACAGTCTGTATTTATGACCAGGACCAGCGTGCTGTGCTATTTATTGCAGAATAGAGACATGACTTTTCATACTTACATGCATGTATTTATAGTTTCCTTGGCAGCATGTTTGCTGTTATTTTTTGTTTGACTCTTGGTTACCCAAGTAAGCATCTACTCCAGTCCTCACAATCCACGCCAGGTCTCTTGAATTCCACGTCAACCTATAATGTTGCATCAACATGGTTTCAGTAGATCTACGAGTTAATAAAAAATAAATGCATTGAAAGTGCAACGCATACTGAGGTGAGAGTGAGCCGTGAAGAGTGGAGTAGTCAACCACTTGATGAGCTCTCCGATGTGTTTTTAGGTTGATGCCCAGGGTTGTTCAGCGTGATGTTTGACTTTTAGCTCCACGTGCTGGGAGCTCTTATTCAGTTACTGAAGAAATAGCTGCACGCGGAACAACACAACACATCGGAGAGAGTTGTATAGCACAACCACAAAAAAAACAACAAACGCAGCAGTAGCTCCGCTGACGCCCAGCTGTGAATGTGCAGTGTTCTCACCATCCAGGACACTCCAAACAACAGAGCTCAATCTAACGCGTAGGCTTTCACGCTCGATATTATTCATAATGAAACAAATTTGGGTTAGATCGCGTCAATAGAAATGTGTCGTTAACGCACCACCACCACCCAACGCAGCCGATTAGTAAACATTGTCACGTCAACAAAACGTGTCAATTAGTTACCACTTGAGCACACAGGCGTACTCAAATTGTAAATGTTGTGGGTTTACTCTCCAACACAGCGGTGTGCTGAAGTAGAAACCCATTGGCAGGTTTAACGACACATTTATTTCTACGCGATCTAACCCCCCCCCCCCCAAAAAAAAAAGTCCTTTATCATGAACAGAGCTCAAACTGCCCTTGATAACCAGTGCCGTCCCTCGGGCAGGATAGCTTCTGGAAGTCGGTGGTGGCTGAAGGCCTGGACTCCATGGCTCTACGGGCGCTGGAGCCGGTGCTGCTGTTTGCCATCAAAGCGTACGGAACCTACGACTACGACGTGTTCCTGCAGGAGGTGCGGCGCCGTCTGGCCGGGCCGCCCTTCCACAGCAATCTCTCCAGCTACAAAGAGGTCCGTGAGCATTGGATTTGCTGTTGATGCTGAATATGCGACTAGTCCAATCTCCTGACGTGGCATTTGAAACAATGGGCAATGCTCTTTCGTACTTAACACGTGGGCTTTCGCGACCAATATCGTCCACGATAGAGGTTTTTTTTGTGGGTTAGATTGCGTAAATATATAAATGTGTCGTTAAAACCCGCCACCACCCGACACAGCCAACTAGTAATGGTTGTCACGTTCTGTTTATTCATAATGAAACAAATTTGGGTTAGATCGCGTCACGTTCTGTTTACGTGAAAAACCCTTACTAGTTGGCTGTGCCGGGTGGTGGCGGGTTTTAACGACACATTTATATTTAGATTTAAAGCTTTCGTGACTGTAGTAATTCATATTCTTAGCTCTTTCGGTAAAGTCACGTTGAAGGGAAACAATAAAATAATAAAATATATATAAAACAATGTGACTTTACCGAAAGAGCTAAGAATATGACACATTTATATATTTACGCGATCTTACCTAAAAACCTCTATTATGTATTATTTCATACTGCCACCTCTCAACTCTTCAAGACGACTGAACAGCATGGAAGAGTAGGACAAAATATAGTAACACTCTCACGGGACTCCCTTTCTAAAGTCTCCTTTAGCCGGAGGCCCTTCTACTAGTGATCGCGTTAGGAAGCAGCCGCGCCTTGGATTTTCCATTCCCAGGTGCCTCGTGCAGGTGGATTAATTGAGTGCATGTAGCTGGAAGCAAATACGGTAGTTTCAACACGAGTGCGTTCTCCACCAGACTCATGCATGAAGTCCAGGCAGATTCTGCGGAGAACTACTCTGGTGGGAGCTCACCATTGGCAGGTCATCACTCATTGTCTTCGCGCTGCACGTGTCGCCTGAGACTGCGAACCCTGAGGCAGAGTTTGTAGCTTGCTCAAATAAAGCTCAGTTCAAATTCTTGGTTCTTTCGGTAAAGTCACGTTGAAGGGAAACATTAAAATAATAAAATAAATATAAAACAATATATTTTATTGTTTCCCTTCAACGTGACTTTACCGAAAGAACCAAGAATATGAATCACTGCAGTCACGAAAGCTTTAAATCAAAATTTAAAGCTCAGTTATTTCAGTCACCATATCAATTTACTATTTGAAGGACGGGTGTAATGGTGGACAAATGAACTTGTTCATCGGCTTTCTGATACGTGTTGAGGTTTGACCACGTGTCGTTTGGCATGATGTCTGCTGCTTCGCTCCAAGTGCTGGCGGCTTCTTCAGGACCTGAATTATGTTAATGAGGGTCAATTTCGCTCTACGACGGACATAATACCGAACACAGTCTAACTCGAAAACATATCGGGAGAGCTATTCAGCACAATTAACAAAGCACACGCAGTTATATAAAACTGATTTTTTAAAATTTTATTTTACCAGGTAAGGCCCACTAAGATATACAGCTCTTTTTCAGACACGACTTGGCCACAAATGATAGCTCAACGAAGCGGTTTATCATGTGGAAATGTATAGTAGCCGAATACTCTAAACGTATTTTTCCAAATGTGGAGGGAAAAACGGGAGATAATTTCACACAACCACGGGTAGAGAACATGCAAACTCCAAATATACATGCGTCAGGATCTGGATCAAACTCACGACCTTATGCATACCAAGCGAGGTATTTAACGTCTCAGCACCGTGGCAACACCAAAGGTGACCTCGTCCCACGTGGCTAGACCTTGCATTGCAAAGGCAGCTTCTACTAATGAACGAACATTTTGTTGTTTTCATTGCATTGCGGTGTGACACCGCTTGCAGGTGAGCCCTTACGCTGCGTACCTGCACGATGCGGGCATCCTGTACGCCATGGCCGTACGCGAGCTGCTGAGACAGGGCGGCAACCCCCGCGATGGACGGGCGGTCATCAGGACTATCAGGGGCTCCAACAAGATCAAGTTCTATGGTGAGCGTCCGTGCAAATCGGTATTGACCCTACCGTAATGCACAGTACTTGTAGGATAACCAGGGGATGTTTCGACTGAATGGTAAACAACATGCCAAAGAGTTAGACTCTGCTTAGACACGGGTGATTGTGATTTAGGCATTAAACCTCTGGTCAACCAATTAACTATACCACTGATGGCACAATTATCAGCCGCATTAGTTTTATTTTCAAAGGCACAATCGCGGTGATAGTGGCATCGCCAAGTAAATGAGTTATTAATAGAGGTATAATGATGCATTTGTCAGTAATAACGTTTTCTTTAGATTCATGTCATACGTAGTAAGTTCACATTATCCCTCAAGCTTGCTAGAGACTGCTACATGTTTAAAAAATAATTGAATGTTGCATTTTATCGAGACCCTGAATGAGTACATCCCTAGGTTTTTAAACTGTGCTGTACATATTTTGTTGTCAGGTGCATCGGGGCAGGTGAGTATTGATGTGAATGGAGAGCGCTTCCTGGATTACGCCGTCTTTGACCTGCAGAAGAAGGGGAATGCCAGCCAGTTCCTGCCCGTGATGGTGTTCGACACCTTCCAGAAGGCCCTCAGGTTCTACAGCCGTTAGCATTTTCCTTTCAATATATGAGTTAATCGAACAAAAAATGGTGATACTGCATTGGCAGTGGTGCACAATGATACTTATGGAAAGAAGCAATAAATACATAATAGTTGATATTTCAGGCAATGGTCGTCCTTCTCTCTACTCTGCCTGTATTGTTTCCATTTATATACTGTAGTTCTCTTGAGGGCACTGTTATTGACAAATATTTAATGGACCTATTGTACACACTACCTTTGTGTGATGTGAATAGCAGAGAAGGTCATGTGTTGGTGATCATTTTTAATGCACTATAATTATTCAGTGTGAAAATTCATACTGTACGTAAAATGTTTAATTATAAATAACTGAAGACTGAAAGTTATCACCATATAGACGAATGTGCTGTGGAATTTACTGAGATGAATGCAGAAGATTTAACTTGATTATTGAGAGCTACATTCATAATGGTAAACGTTAATAAGTATGTTTTTTTGTTAAAATAAGGCATTAAGAATATATAGACCTTTGAAAATTATTCTTAAACAATACCGAAGCATATTCTTGGTTCTTTCGGTAAAGTCACGTAGAAGGGAAACAATAAAATGATAAAAATATAAAACAATAAAATTCTCCCGATGTTTCGACTGCAACACAATCAATCATCATCAGGTTGAAAACCACAGCAAGAAAATTTGAAAAAAGTGGCGGTTTTTTTTAACGTTAGCACCACGGAGAGCGATTTGGCAGTTTTTCAGATGGACGAGTCCATCTATGTTCAGAAAAGAGGAGGGGGGAGACGAAAATAATGGATGCGGTCTGAAAGCCACTGTAAGCGTGAACAATCAATTAAGACCCGAAATGGTTGATCAAATCCTTCCAATGATTGCTAAGCCAGAAACCATCTTCTCGGTTGAAATTGTCTCTGTGTTTGTATGTGGATAGCCTCATGAACGAATCTCTCATTGTAGCCAGATGGCTTGCAAAGAACCTCTGTCTTGGAGAAGTCAATGTCATGTGAGCCTACTGAATTATAACAGTGATCTGCCATGGCCGAGGTATTGATCCTACCGTGTTTTAGGTCTGCATTGTGTTCACGAATGTGGTCCGAGACATGTCGTTTGGTTTCTCCAATATAACTACTACCACAGAGGCAACTTAGTTTGTAGACGCCAGAAACCAAACGACATGTCTCGGACCGCATTCGTGAACACAAAGCAGACCTAAAACACGGTAGGACCAACACCTCGGCCGTGGCAGATCACTGTTATAATTCAGTAGGCTCACATGACATTGACTTCTCCAAGACAGAGGTTCTTTGCAAGCCATCTGACTACCATGAGAGATTCGTTCATGAGGCTATCCACATATACAAACACAGAGACAATTTCAACCGAGAAGATGGATTCTGGTTTAGTAATCATTGGAAGGATCTGATCTACCATTTCGGGTCTTAATTGATTGTTCACGCTTACTGTGGCTTTCAGACCGCATCCATTATTTTCGTCTCCCCCCTCCTCTTTTCCGAACATAGATGGACTCGTCCATCTGAATAACTGCCAAATTGCTCTCCGTGGTGCTAACGTTAAAAAAACCGCTACTTTTTCCACATTTTCTTGCTGTGGTTTTCACACCTGATGATGATTGCTTGTGTTGCAGTCGAAACGTCGTGATCATTTTATTGTTTTATATTTTTATTATTTTATTGTTTCCCTTCTACGTGACTTTACCGAAAGAACCAAGGATATGAATCCATGCAGTCACGAAAGCTTTAAATCAAAATTGAATACCGAAGCACTTATGGAAACAAGCACTACAATGCAATTACATGTGTAATGAAGATTGTCTTACTATAACTACAAAATATACAATGGTCTAATGTTTCGGCAATGGCCATGTATAGAGTAGCTTTTCCACAGTTAGAGCCTGTAACACGTAATACATATAGAAATTATTCTTCTCGAGAATTTTTATTTTATTTTTATATGTATATAAATAAGGCAGATATATCATTATACATTCTTAAATAAAGTTACTTAGTAACGAGGAGACATTGCACGGGACAAATGCATACGTTGATATACAGTATACTGTGTATATAATAAAGACGTAGCATTGCATAGGTTGTAAATTGAGAAGTAAAAACAAAACAGTTTCAAGCAGACTGATATAAGTCATGGGACTTCCAGGGCATTTATATCACAATCAGCGTTCATTCCTTTTCAGCTTTACCCCGGAATACCAGAAGATGGGTTGGCCAGATGGTCGGCCCCCTTCCGACATGCCAGAGTGTGGCTTCACAGGGGAGCTGTGCCAGGAAGCACCAATCAGTACGTCGTCATTTTCATGTCACCCACCAACAAAGCCGACCTCTTCAGCGCTGGCACCACAGTCACTGGCACCGAAAAACAATGGTTTCACTTGTGATCGGTTACGTCTTTGGTCTTGCTTCACTTTTTTTTTCGGGCTGACAGGTGTGCAGGAGAGGTTAGATGCGCGTCCAATTTGGAGAGAGTGCCCTGTGTGCGCTGTGTTTTAATGTCTGCCCTTGCTTGGCTTTTGCACTTCAGTTGGAAACTGAAAATGAAACATCATACATGCACGTGTGCTGCCCATTTGTCAATCCACTGCTTGATGAGGGCTATTTGACATACTTCACCACAACGGTCATTCAACGTTGGTGAAGGAGGGGAAATACAGAACAGCGATTTTTTTCTGCACTGCCCTCTCATGCCTATTATACCTGTGTCATGCGTAGTGGTCACCCGTCCAAGCACAATCCAGGCACAACACTGCCTAGTTTCCGAGGACTGATGGCAGTGGGTGCATTCCGAGTGATTTGTTCACAAGAGATTCATCATTCAATCACCTCTGTTATGCATACTCGGTTTGGGTTATAAATATAGTCCCAGGGTTTTCGGTGATTTCCAAGACGTATCATATGTGTAGCACAGAGAATGACAGAGTAGTTTAAAAAAAAACGCCAAAGTGGTTTCCTGCTCAAATAAACACGGGGTGGCACTAATTTTCTCATTAGGAGCCTGAACCAGTGGCAGAAAATCCACAGTATTGTGACGAGAATTAATATACACACAGGACAACTATTGAATGTCCACATTTGTGCGCTAATCACGGGGGCACCCAACAAAATTCCGACAAATACACAAACCACGGCGCACTCAGCATTGTCTCCGTAAGGAAGTTCGTGCCGCATTAGTGATTCAGCGTCGAGTGAAGCATCCCTTTTGTGTGTGTTATAGTGCAGACGGAGCTGCTTTACTGGCGCTGTCACGTGATTTGTGCGCCCCCCTGCTTTCCTGTCGGGCGAGCCAGACCTGGCGCTGGTGCTTGTCGGCAGCATCCTGTCTCTGATCGTCATCGGCACCGTGGCGTTCCTCACCTACCTGGTGGTGCAGAGCCGCAGCCTCCAGGAGAGCATGGACACCACCTGGTGGAAGATCAACTTCGAAGACATCACTTTGGTCAGCACAAGCAAGGTTGAGATATACCACCACAGCAGCTCGTCCGTGTGAGAGACATGCCAGGATTGTAATTTAACGCCAACGTCCAATTCGGGCGGAGTGGCGATGTAGTGGTTCACGCATTGCGCTGGAAATCCTCAAATTTGCGCTTGATCTCTGGTCACATCAGTGGCGAGTGATATCCTAATCTGTCTCTCCCCCCCCTCCCACTATTACCAACCCCCTCACTTATCGGTATGGTAAAGTATGGTCAAACAACCCAATGACTGAAATGCATGGGGGACTTAATCCAACAGTGGATTGACAAAAAAGGGATGCACACTACAGTATATCTATATGTACTTTCCATGCTTAATCCTAGGCATTGGCAAGGTACGGTAATTTACCCTTTTTACTGGGTACAAGGGTAAAGGTGCCGACATGCCAAGGGGTAAGGTAAAGGGTCGGGTAAAGGTAGCTCGGAAGAATTACCTGGTAGGGTAAAGGTAGCGCGAAGTATTACCCGGTTAATGCCTTGTTTACTGCTCGCTAAAAGCTCCGTAGCGCAGTCCGTGACCTACATTTAAAATTGGAATAATCGAGAGTCTTCTATATGAATAAAGCGCTCTACCTAGCATTTACCTATTATAAACCTTTTTCATGTGTAGTACCCCAGTAATTACCCTGTAATCGGGTTTTTTGTATGGGGTAAGGGTAAAAGGTAGGGTAAAGTTAGGCTCGTTGCTTTTGACCTTTTACCTTACTTGCTGAAGGGTAAAAGGTAGGGTAGAGTGATTGTATTGTGGAAAGGTAAAAGGTAGGGTAAAGGTAGGCTCGTTGTTTTTACCTTACCTTGGCGAGGCCTACCTAATCCCAGCTTAAATCTTGAGATCTGGCATGATCTGGTGCTTTTCGGGTGATTTAGGAATAGGCATTTTCATAGCAGCTTGCACGAATTAATTTCAATATGAACGATTGCTTTAACCCATGAAATTCACTTACATGGTTGCTGATCAGCAACAATGTATTCTACCAGTTTTAAGCAAACTCACTGTGCTCTTCCTTTCGGTGACCACAAACGCTCAATTTTCAGCAAGACATCGTGGAATCGGAGTCTTTGCAGGTTCCCCTGGTCAACGGGAGCTACAGGTCTTCCAGCAAGCAGGTCTCTGGAAACCAGAGCAACGTTCACCATGATGTTCACGGCACGGACAGGGTGGAGATTCCCATCGGCATCTACCAGGCGAGTAAACATATGTCACACCGCAATAGGCCAAGCATACGTGGACTCATACGTCAACCCGTAATGGCACTGCCAACATAAATGTAATGGATTGTCACACTTTGTGGTCATGATTTAATTTAAGAATCGATGTTGTTGTTCTTTTAAATGTCTTGTTAGTGTTGTCTGTTTTTCTATGTTGTATATCATTAGCACTGCTAAGAGTAAAGTTGGAAGTCCGTACCCCCTCCCCCCCCCCCCCCACAATTTTAAGTTATGATTATTTGTTGTAATTTGTGGTCCAGATTTTATTTAAGAACGTTTTCTTTTTTGGGCCATTTTTACAAGCTTGTTATCGGACTTGTGAGGGTCACTGTTAACGATGATTTATATTCAGTGAAAATTCAGATTTGCAACAATATGAAAATAAACATTGCACACCGAAAAAAAACCGGCCATGAGTAGTGTCCTAATTGTAGAATGTGTGGTGTGCAGGGGAACCAGGTAGCCCTGAAGTTCCTTGAGAGAACTCACCCACCCGACCTCAAGAGCAAGTCCATGCTGAAGGAGCTGCAGATTGTATCCTCCTCTACCATGCACGATGACCCATACAAACTGTCATTATCCCTCTAGGGTCAAATTTTGAGCCATGGACTGATCCTAACATTCGCAATTTGACAAGTATATCACATAATCAGGAACACCAACAGACATCACTATTTTAGCGTGCAAGCTGGTACCCGTCCAGACTCCACAGGGGGTGATAATATATTTATGTATTTTTCTAAACTAAAATACCATACAGTATTTAATGAGACTGCGCCACATGAGTGATCATACGCCTTGTTTTGCTTCACCCCCCACTATGGGGGACCAGCCTATATTGGATATGTAAGCAGTAAACATTCACGCTCCCCTCCTTCTATTGGTGGTATAATAACAATCTTTTTTATTTAGTTATTTTTGACAATCTATTTCGTTTTGGTCAGGAATTTTTTTAATCTGGGTCAAAAGTTCATAGGTCACAATACTTACCAATACCAGAGGTCTCCGGTTCCCTCTCCGTCAGTATGAGCCCTTACTTGACTCTTTATGACATAAATTACTCCAGTAAATGCTGTTAATGACAAATTAATTTGAACTCGTAATAAAAAAAGTACAGCCCTTGCAACTGTCGCATGAAAGCCTCTGCATCCCGTGTGGTGATTGGAGTTGCCTGATCATAACTTCACCGCACTAGCCAGTGCAGGTTGGTGAAGAGAAACACCGAGGGCTATATCAGATATCACCCGCCTCTAATTATAGCCGCCGCCATGAATCGAAATCAGGTCGTCGGGTTCATAGCGCGGTGTGCTAACCACTGCGATGTGGAATATTTCATTAAAATATTTTTTTTGTTATTGCCCAAAATAAACAAGCATGAGTTGTATTCTTAGCTCTTTCGGTAAAGTCACGTTAATATATTATTTTATTTTATTATTTTATTGTTTCCCTTTAACGTGACTTTACCGAAAGAGCTAATAATATGAATTATTGCGGTCACGAAAGCTTTAAATCAAAATTTAAACAAGCATGAGTTGATCGGGAGATGTTTTTTCATAACCGCTTTGCGCTCAAGATGCGAGAAATGCTGCATGAGAACTTGGTGATCTTCTTCGGTGTCTGCGTGGAGCTGCCCAACGTGTGCATCGTGACGCAGTACTGTCGCAAAGGGAGCTTGAAGGTCAACTATTGCTATTTGTCATTCTTTATTTAGCACAAAGCCATGCCCATAATCTGTACGCGCATTACATGCGGTTATTTATTGCTTACATTATTGACAGAATGTTATTACATTCGCATTGTAAAATGTTCCTTTTAATTTCGGGAGAGTAATACTGTTTCCGGCATCTCTGAAAGTTTTACACAAATGCACAATGATAACAAGAATCAATATGAAATCCTAAAATAGTATTTCATATTGTACAGAGTGTAATAAAAAATACACGTGTCTGGCACCAGAACTGGCTGTTGTATATATTACTGAGAAATCTCAGTATCTACTATAAAATAAAGTATAAATATTACAGCCCTCTGTCAATACACTTCTGGAAGAAGGCCTCCCTATGCTGTCTGAGTCATGTTATCGTTTGACCGTACATCACCACATTGATCAGGGCATTTTGGTGAAGGAAGAACCCAGGACCCATTCTTATATCACTCCCCACTTATTTTAGCTGTGGTGCAGGATACAACACAGGTTTCTGCATCTACAGGAGAGTGCGCAAACCACTAAGCCACTGCTTTCCCCACGAAAGTAAATTAGCCGAGCATAATTTCCCGTGAAATGATACACTTCACAAGTCTGTGGCGAGCATAAATTGCTTTTGGAAGGGAATTATCGCGTGAAATTATGCGAGTGTCATTCGCACAAGCAGTGTTGACTGCGTTTATATTTTTCAAGCCAGGTGTTGTCAATGGAGGTCATTTACAGCGATGTGTAACACACATTCACCTGTTCTTCATGAGCTGCATCTGCCGCTGGATACTATGGAAAACACACAGGGTCAAGCAATGCATATCTAAAACGTCATGGCGCATTTTTGGATGCAAGCCTGCAAACCTAACACTCAAGAGGTGGAGACAAGGCCTCTGTTCCCACATTGTCAGCTCAATCGTCATAACATATTGAGCTTTGCGCATCGACTTTTGAAATTCATATTTTCGACTTCGTCAATCCACTTCTGGCTGAAGTTCAAGGAAGTTGTTTGACCGTACTTCTGGTCAACGCGGGTCGGTGAATGCAGAGCCCAGTTAAGATATAAGTTCAGTACACACTTTAAAAAATGTATATAATTAGCTGTCATTATACGTGTATCATATATTTCTTTCTTTCACGTTCAGGATGTGTTGAAGACTTCTGACTTTGAGCTGGACTGGATGTTCAAGACGTCGTTTGCACACGATATCGTTAATGTAAGTATCCAGCGAGCTCTGAACTTCACATCACAATTCCGAATGGCTATGCGCGATACTTGTGAATGTATTTACAAGTGAATGTTATGAGCTGACGAGGTTTGGTCAAATGGGTCAACATGGGTGGAGAAATGGATGAGTGAAGCTCGTGGGAATAGTAAACATGGTAGTAGTAGCGATTGAAAGGGGATCACCAATGAGGGAGTGACGACTCCAGTGAGTGCTGAATCGTCAATGAACCTGAACCCGACTGCTCACGCTGAATTCTGTCGAGTAGTGACGTAGGAACAGGGCTGTTGCTCCACGCCAAATCTGCAGTCTATTTCATTATTCCGCAACCTCGCCCACTTGTATAGTCAAAGGTTATCACACTCAGGATGACGTCGTAACAGCACAACACTTTAATTATCAACAACAACATTGGAACAAGAGACCAAATTTCAGGAGGGGCGGGACAAACGTTGCTACGCCTCCTAAGTAACATGGCCGCAATAAATGTCAGTTATCTACAGATACTTATGTATGTTGAACTTCTTTCGCACCGTACGTAGTCAACCATGCTATTTGGAAGTGCAGTGGCGAGATGTTAATTACCTCCCTTGGTATGTTGAACGTTGTGGGTTCGACCCGGACCCTGACGCCTGTATATTTGAGAGTTTGAACGTTCTCTCTCCCTGTGGTTGTGTAGATTTTTCTCCAGGTACTCCGGTTTTTCCCTCTGCATTTAGAATCAATATGCGTTTAGATAATTTTGCTGCAATACATTTCCACATGATCAGCCACTTCGTTGAGCTATCATTTGTGGCCCAGTCACTTCTGAAATATAGCTATATAGCTCAGTGGGCCTTACCCGGTAAAATAAAAAAATAGTTTGGTTTAGTATTGGAACTTTTGCCAAATTTGTGAAATATATTTCTACTCTTTCAGCTCATTTTGCTCCAGCAGAGGTGTGAGAATGAATGCTTACAACTCCTCAGCGAAATTACAACCCAGCTCCAGGGAATGCTGACCTGAGGCAGAGTGGATTGTGGCCGGTGTCGGTTTTTTTTCTATTACATCTCTGCTGTGCAAGTGGACCTGCCAGAAAATGCAGACAAGGCAAGCTCAGAATAAAATAGTGTATAATTAATATTTCATCAGTAAACACTTCGGGCTTAATATACATGTTGCAGGAATGGCTTTTTGAGAAAATACTTTTGAGGAAATGAAATTGTTACTTTATTATTACGATTTTTGGTGGGTTGGCATGTTTTTGCATATTGGCCAAAAAGTAGTTTCTGCCAACAAGAACTCTAAGTAGGCATTAAGTTTCCAATGGTCACGAAGCCCATGATATAATTATTTGATACATTATTACCAACAATGCATGAGGTTTATTTTTGTATTATTTTATTTTGCATCATTTTATTTTGAAGGTCACTTTTTGTATTATTTCATCACACAGAGGTGGGAGTGCCCTGGATTGTTGTGTTACCAACAGCAGAATAATAATAATAACGAGTGTAAGTCTTTACACTTTTTAATGACACGTAATATTCTGTTATCAAAATGTTTTAAAGTTCACCATTTCTTACAGACATAATAAGGGACACTGATACATTTCTCATAAGTCCTATGAAGAGATCTTTCGATACATAATCACGATGTCTTGTGGAGTCTACCGATATTGTATTTCGTTTGATGTAGGAAGCATACCTGTTAATGTGTTCTCAGGGCATGATATTCCTGCACAAGAGTCCCATAAAATCCCACGGGAACCTCAAGCCGTCCACCTGCCTGCTGGACAGCCGCCTGCAAATCAAGCTCACCGGCTTCGGCATCTGGGAGTTCCGCTACGGGAAGAAGGGGAAGACCCTGGACATCAACAAGCAAGAAGGTGGGAAATCTTCCATTTCAGCCAGGTGTGTGGTGTAGTCTCACGAATTGTCACACAGCATACCACCAAGTTCCTAGCGCCCGAGGGGGCTCACATGCAATCACGTGCGGGGATGGCCCTGTCGTTAATCACGTCTTCAGTGACAAAGTTGACTTGGTCTACCTCGAGTTCATGGCACCGACGTGTTAGGGGTGCTTTCAAGATAATGTCTGGAAAGCCTATAAAGCTGATGCATTGCAAATATGTTATGTTTAGGTTGCAGGTATGGAACAGAAAACTACTTATTTATTTAGTTACTCACAATTAACCCAGTGACAGTGTTCAGCGCAATGCACTATATACCCGGCCAACTAAATTTTATTCCTGGTCATGATTAACGCAAGTGGTTAAGTGATAACTAAATCAATGCTTGGGCTCTTTCTTCATAAAACTCACTGGCCAATATCTTAAAGTATGGTTCAACAACCCTCTTGACTGAAAGGTATTGGGATGCCTGTATCCAATAGTATATTGATAAATAACTTTAAATTATGATTAATCATTATTGCTTTCACACCGTTGTATAATGAGTTTTTATACATGAGTATGTTTGCATTGACTATGGCCTTGTGGTTTAGATGAAGTGCACTTGCAAATAACATCTGGCAATCCAGCAGTGTTTGTAAGGCTGACTCTGCTAAATGACACCCTGAAGGTTTACACTGGAGTTTGCTTGTTTAAATAAATAATGTAGTGTGATATAAATACTAAATCGGATTGGAAAGCCCCACAGGCTGATGAAGTAAATTAACGTTATTTTGACGTGGCACAATAGTACAGCTGTTAGCTCCTGAAGCCATATAAAGATGATTGTAATCGCAGTGAGACTACACTTCACACCTATCTTAAAAACGGCCGCAACAACAATACAAAAATGTGCTTTCATAGTCTGCACGCCGGACTGCTCAACCCCATTGCTGATCACTGTTTCTCAGCCACTGTGTTTTACACGATTGTTGGTTCTGTTTGTCCATTTTTATGCTAATATATAAACTGCTTCATGTATACTTTCAGAGATGACTGCGTGTATTAGCACAATATAAAATAACACATAACGACAATAATGATGATCATTATGACTGTGGTTCAGCATAGACATGCAATATGTATATTGTTTACTAGACTTATCATGATTTAACCTCCCAGCTATCCAATGATTTTTGACAACGCGGGTTGTGATTCGATTAAATAATACATTTTTGTCTCGTTTTGGCATCACGTTTGCATTGTTTCTCCTGTTTTTAAGTTTCATCCATGAAGTTTTGTTCGCGCCTTGTGCCAAACGGTGATATTATCATTTCACTATCGCACAATTTGCATACACGTTAAACAATCCACTCTCACACATTATTCTATGCATGCGTCAAAACGAACAATCAACTTCACGCAATGATTTGATGCAATGCTACATGCCCATTGCTTGCAGCGTGGTGTGTGCGTGTGTGTGCGCACGCGTGGAGCGGTAGTGTAACGGTTGGCGCGCTGCACTACGAACTCGGTGAACCAGTCATGGGCCTCCCCAAGGTCGGATACAGTCTCAGATGAGTGACTTGTGCGGTGTGTAAACATCGCCACGAGGGAGACAAAGGCGGCCGGGGGTGGTGTTGACCACCCACCCCCTCGCGTGCCGTTTCCAGCCTTCACGTGGGGCTCGGCTAACAGTCTGTTACAGGCTACACGGGGGGGGGGGGAATCTTTCTCTTTGTTTTTCTCTCTCCGAACACCCCCGTGTACGAGTAACCCCCCCCCGCTTGCCGTTGTGCCTCACAAAGAGCTGTACTGGACAGCGCCCGAGCTCCTCCGGATGGAGGACTTGCCGGTGAACGGCACCCCCAAGGGGGACGTGTTCAGCTTCGCCATACTCATGCGCGAGGTGATCTACCACGAGGACGAGGGGCCCTACGTCGGCATTCACCTGGAGCCCAAAGGTGCTCGACGACGTGACGTTGTCGGTGCGGTCACACCACCGTTGACGGCGAATTGCGGAAGGACGCGACGAATGAATGCGGTGCGCATCTCTTTATTCTCTTCTAGTCCTAGTCCGAGCATTGGCGGGGGGGGGATCAGTACACAGTAATTTGGATCCCACCAGTGAAAAATCCCTTGAATTGAATGATGCTCTAAAATTCCATCCACCTGCTTTCTTTTTTTTATATTTGACACATCTACTTGACAGTATGATGCTTGATCAGTTACCGAATGCTACCTGTGTTTCCCTGTTCTTTTAAACACGGTTGCTGAACGCAGGCCCAAAGGCCAAGCGATCAGCATCAAACATCACTGTTGAAGGTATAAAAACAGGTCTTGCATTTTTTTAATTGAGCAAAGTTGTAAGGACCTGCAAGCGAAAAAAAAGATAATGGGAGGGAATTCCAAAGTCATGTAGTCTGAGTAAAGAAGCAAAGGCGTGCTTTTACCTGCAGTGTGGTGGTTTGATACGGTAGAGATCATTTAAAACAGTCCTAAACATGTAAATATTGACAAAAAGCTTTTGTGACTGCAGGAATTCATATTCTTTGGGTCTTTCGGTAAAGCCACGTAGATAGGTTCAAAGAAAATAAAAAACTACGACGTTTCGATCACAACACAAGCGATGACGATCGCTTGTGTTGTGAATGAAACGTCGGAGTTTAAAAAAAAATATTTGAACCTCTCTGCGTGACTTTACCGAAAGACCCAAAGAATATGTAGTCCTAAACATGGTTGGGTAGAATCAATGAGGTAAATTCATGGAATTCATGACCGTGGTACAACCACGCTCGGCATCAGGGTTGGGACATGAAAAGCAAAAACATTGATGCCCCAAATGCTATCGGAAGGGATCAACAATGATGTATCGGAACCAGAACATCGACAGCTCGCAGTGTTGACCCTACGCACGACACAAACCCCGTGCGGAGGGCATGCGTGACCTCGCGTGACTTTGCAAACGGCATCAACGTGCCCGCGGTTCGCAGTCCACCCCGCGGGAGTGGCCCACCGCAACGCGTGCTAACCGCGTGCCTTTTCCAGACATCATCGACCAGGTGAGGGACGGCATCGCCGTGCCACCGCTGCGGCCGCTGCTCACGGAGCGCTGCGAGCCGCGCATCCAGGCTCTCATCCGGCAGTGCTGGGACGAGTCTGCGGACCGCCGGCCCGACTTCTCGTCCGTGTCGCGCATGCTGCGCCTGGCGAGCCCTGAAGGGTGCGTCGGTGCCGGCACCGTTCCAGCGGAACTATCCCAGCGGCCCTTTTGCTCTGCTGCCACAGTTACTCGCATTGGCTTCCGGTTGCCGAACCGATTACATTATCACGCTGCACTCATCGCACACGAAAGTGCTCACCACAAAATGAACCGCAATGCCTTGCTGATCTCGTCAAGGAGCGTAACTCATCACGCGAACTCTCGGTCATCCTCACAGCAGCGGCTTCTGGCTAGCCGTCGAACAAAGACTGTCCCTGCCATCGCGCGCTTTCAGATGCGCTTCTGTGGCTATCTGGAACGCTCTTCAAACTGACGTTAGGAAGCCGCTTTAGCTATGCACTTTGAAATCTAGATTGAAAACTAATTGCTTTAGAATTGCTTTTTGTGTGAAGTTTGTTGTCCTTCCCCCGCACCTCCGATTAGCACAGTTGGCAACTTACGGTGCTAAAGAAGTTCAAATACATCCGTTGCACATGTGCACGTACAGCCCTTTGTTAATCCACTGTTGGACGAGCGCCTCCACATGCCGTGCGGGTCGTGGGGGTTTCTGTGCATACTTTACCGAGCTATTGGAGAAAGCAGGGAGCATAGATGTGGGAGATTCGAAGTGCAGTAAAACAGTGGAATTTGCTGCACTGTACTTTGCTACCGACAACCCCACATTCTGTAACAATTGTGTGTGCAGGGTGACCACCCATACAGGCACTATCCTGACTTAAATCCATGCTTAGCTTTCAAGATCTGCTGGGATTTGGTTATAGGAATATTAGTTTCTCAAATACATTTTTATTGAACTCGGATTAACATTTAAGATGCACAACTCATTTCTCACGAGATCCTGGCCAGATTACAGCGATATGTCAGTTCCATATAAAATTTACTAAATCAGCGCACACACCCAATTAATAGCGCACAGAAAAGTAATGTGTCATGTTAGAAATGTTGAAGGTGAAAAAAAACCTCAACAATTATGAAGATTAAATATCAGATTTTTTAAAATTAGATCTTAACAGTTAATAAATAGTAGTGGTAAAATTAAGTGTGCAGAAGGATATTACGCCGCACGGCGGTTTAATTAAAAGGGGTTGTGAAATTATTTTTTGTAATTAGATGCACTCTTTTAATATTCATTTTTTGACAACGCGGTGCGTCAAACACAGGAACATTCTGGACAACATGGTGTCCAAGCTGGAGAAGTACGCCAACCACCTGGAGGAAGTCGTGGATGACCGCACGGCGCAGCTGGAGAGTGAGAAGAAGAAGACGGACCGCCTGCTGTCCAGCCTGCTGCCTGGGTAAGGCACCCATTCCACGCCATGTTTACAAGGTCATTGGGACCACGAGCCCGGAACATTCAAACCCCCAAGAGTGGCTGGACATTACAATTACTGTAGGCACCTTTGCTTGGGGCCATGCTTGCAATTGTGGCATGAGTAGAAGGAGAATGGGTGCGGAATAAGCCACGCAAAAAAATGTTCCAATTATCTACAAAAAATGCCATCTGTCTGCCCAACAGTGGCAGGATGACAGGCAACATAGCCACATGAATTTGGTCTCTTGTCTCAGTGTACACTCACGTATGGGATGCGCGCATCTTTGGTTCAGGATTGTCGTTGATCAGCTGAAGGCTGGCAAGACCGTGCAACCCGAGCAGTATGAGCTCGTCACCATCTTCTTCTGCGACATCGTGGGCTTCACGGCCATGAGCGCCATCAGCACCCCACTGGAGGTCATCAACTTGCTCAACGACCTCTACAACCTCCTCGATGACATCATCAAGGAATACGATGTCTACAAGGTCTCCTTCATTGTCCGGGAATCATTATAACACACACACACACACAAAGATCTCCCATATAAGCTATGCAGACTGTGAAAAGCACGTGCTGCTGAAGAGGAACTGTCAAGGTTGAGATGGCACGCGAGGGTGTGCCGTGGCCAGCACCATGCCCACCCACCCTCATCTCCCCACTGCTAATGTTTACACACTACACCGGGTTACTAACTTTAAGACCGAGTAAACTTAGGGGAGACCGCGGAACGCTTCTGATATCACTCGCCACGAAGTGTTCGCGTTGGCCAGGAATTCAACTCAGGCCACCGGGTTCTTAGCACAAGTTTGTCAACAACTGCGCCAGTGCCCCACTACATGAACAGAACACACTATTGCAACAGAGGGTATTTTTTTCTTCCGTCTCCATTGAGTGACGAAAATAAAGCTCCTGTGGTAGCAGGAATTAATTGACAAAATCATGTTCCGGAGTGGAACAGTGGCACAGAGATTAGTGCACTGCTCTAGAAACCCTGCAGCCCGAGTTTGATTCCCATCCGCAGTTAATATCAGTGGTAAGTGAAATCGTCACCAAAGTCCCTTCATCAACCAACACACTGGCCAACATGGTGAAGTACTCTTTGGTTCTTTCGGTAAAGTCACGTAGAAAAAAATTACATTAAATAATAATAGAATACGACATTTCGATTGCAACACAAGCACCCATCATCAGGTACAAATGAATGAGAAAACAAAATAGTAAACTTGTAAATACAATGCAATACAACGCAGAGAGTCGGCCAACACAACAGTCAACACCCGACCTGGTTGATTACGTTCTTCCATAGATTGCTAAATTTGAGAGACAAAACATAGTCACGGAAACACACAGACAGACACACAAGCAGAGAGAGACTCACACAGAGACAAACAGAGAGAGACTCACACAGAGACAAACAGAGAGAGACTCACACAGAGACAAACAGAGAGAGACACACACAGAAACAAACAGAGAGAGACACACACATGGGTGCTTGTGTTGCAATCGCAACGTCGCATTCTATTATAATTTAATGTAATTTATTTCTACGTGACTTTACCGAAAGAACCAATGAGTAATTCCTGCAGTCACGAAAGCTTTGGTGAAGTACGCTTAGACAACTCTCCACTGCTGGTCAAGTGCGGGGAGGCCTTCATACAGCAGTAGAGGGGGGGGGGGGGGGCTGTGAATTAATCATCACTTTAAACGTCGGGGGTTCCAGTGCGCGCCGTGCCGCTGCAGGTGGAGACCATCGGGGACGCGTACATGGTGGCGAGCGGCCTCCCCGTGCGCAACGGCGTGCGGCACGTGGAGGAGATCGCCACGATGTCCCTGCACTTCCTGAGCTCCATCATGAACTTTCGCATCCGCCACCTGCCACAAGAGCAGCTGAAGCTCCGCATTGGCATCAACAGCGGTAACGGCGATCGATTCCAACCATTGGCAATTTTTTGAAAGTGAACACGAGTTCCGTCGAAAGGTCTCTTCAATTCTCCCCACCTCTGTGCACCCAGCAGTATAAACGGGTAGGTGACCGTTGAAATTGCGCGTAGTGTGGGGCAAAGTATTGGTAGAAAAATAAAGCAAAAAATAATATATGATATAATATTAATAGTGTTTTTCCACTTTTTTCTGGCAACAAAACTGAAACCTTTTTTTTACAAGGATCCATGTCTGCATTAACCACAATACCTGCAGTCAAAATGCAAAAAAAAAATACTATGATAATGTATGCATTGTCCTTGAGACTGATTGGTTCACACCAAGGGACGGCTTTCTTTTGAACCTCGACCCAATTGGTGCTCGAAAAACCCTATTATTACATTTTGGTACTGGCAAAGGAGGTCTAATGATGTAAAAATAATATATTTATTTTATTTTTATACCTACGTGACTTTACCGAAAGAACCAAAGAGTATGGATTCCTGCAGTCACGAAAGCTTCAAATCAAGATTAAAGTGTTGGTACTTCCACCTCTTCCAAGATGTCTCGTTGTATACCCTGACATAGCTTCTCGAGGGGCCCTCTCTTGAGCTCCGTCTAGTGGAAGCCCTTCCACACTTCATTATATTTCAGAATTTGCATTTTCAAATATAAATGAGAATGCCAAGAAAATAATAGTTACAGCACGTACATGCTTGGTTGACGTAGAAAGCAAGACCACGGTGGATTTGCGAGACACGGGAGCTTCGTGCTGTAATACCCCCCCACCCCCAGGACCGGTGGTGGCAGGAGTGGTGGGGAACACCATGCCCAGGTACTGCCTCTTCGGAGACACCGTCAACGTGGCCTCACGCATGGAGAGCACCGGCTTCCGTGAGCATCCCACCCCCCCTCAGACCCCCTTCACACGGCGATAGACGGACAGGGAGACACCGCGTCGCGTACGGTGCAAGCGGAAAGTGGTTCACTGTATTTAGCTGGGACATCTGATTAATTGTTGACGTCACCATTTACTTTCATTGTTGCCATTATTAGGAAGACACTCAAAGCCATGCGCTCTCAAATCTAGATTGAAAGCGAGTTTCTTTCGAACTGATTTTTGCGTTTAGTTTTGTTGTTGGTGACGTACGATTCAAAAGAAGTTTAACATACATCAAACGACTAATCGGATAACACAAAATAGGGGGTGGGGGGCGGGGGGGAGAGTCTCAGTTCTGTGTCCACGTGTGCCCCTGGATGGGAGATGATGGACATGGGCTGGACGATGACATGGGCATAATCAGCCGCTTGAGGTTGGATGTGGTTTGTGGGGGATTTCTACCTTCGGGAGGTAGAATATCAGGGTGGCTAATTAGATGATTTCGTTAATTATCGACTGTTTGTCCCAGATTTAATTGTAATCAAAGTAAAATAAGCTGAGACGTGCGTCATGCAGTTGTTTGCACTGAAACAGATCGTATACAAAATATCCGATTAGAATTATCTGAAATTGAGTTTGTGCCATCATGCATTTTGGATGCACTTAAATAAAAAACACAATTTTGGTCAGGCTATGGGCCTTCTTGTTATCAAACACTGATGTGCTTTATCAGGGCAGTGCAACCCTTTTATTGAGACAGTCTTCATTTGTGAATCGCATCTAATTGCACCTCCGATTAGCACGGTTCGCATATCCGATGAGCATGCTTGGCTACGTACGGTGCAAAATAAGTTCAACATGCATACACGCGAAACAGCCAGGCGAGAGATGCATGCGGCATCTTGCATATGAAGAGCAACGTGATTTAATGTGACTGTGGGGACACCAACAATGCAATGTAATAAATACAAATCTTCGAGTGCCAGCTGTGACGGTGCAACGGCAGCTGCGCACGTGTGCAAGGCATCGGCTTTCGGTGGCGCGCGTGAAGAACAGCCGTACACATGCAAGTGCTTCCAGCAGGAGGCACTGTCCAATTGCGGGGTTAATCGTGCAGTGGTCGAAACCTACCATGCAATGTGAACTTGAAGTGCTGTTTAGCTTGTTGGGTACCAAAACGATGAATTTAGGAGTGAAACATTAAGGTTCGTGTATAATTCGTCGTTACTGATGTACTCGTGGCAAAAGTATGAAGGTTCGAGAAGATACGGTATATTGCATTGGACCTAACATAGCATGTATGAATTTTGACAGGATCATCATCGTATTATCAAGTATATTATTGGGTCTTTCGGTAAAGTCACGAAGATAGGTTTAAAAAAATAACAAAAAACTACGACGTTTCGATCGCAACACTCCTGATGATGATTGCTTGTGTTGCGGTCGAAACGTCGTAGTTTTTTCAAATTATTTTTTGTTATTTTCTTTGAACCTATCTACGTGACTTTACCGAAAGACCCAAGAATATGAATTCCTGCAGTCACGAAAGCTTTAAGTCAAGTATTATCAAGTACTGTAAATTTTAACTATTATTAATATTATTCAAAACACTTCATGTAATCATTGCTTGTGTTTAAAAATCGTATTTTAAAGCATACGCTCGGATTCAAGAGGTTAAATCCTGCAATGTGGCTGGCTACAGACCAATAATTGTAAGGGAAGGCATAACAATGATGCAGGGCACGTGTGGTAGGGTAAATTGTGGGTACTCCCACCTCTTAAAAGACATCTGGCCGGTGTGAAAGAGTAGGCGGATTGCATACAGGAGGGTCACCAGAGCTGCCTCCTCCAAGCGGAGGTCACTTCTGCATCATTGTATCCTTTTAAACCCTATCTTTGTCCCATTACTTCACCAGCACTCCTTCCAAACTTCAATCTGCTCTTAAAAAGAATACCATCTGCGAGCTGCTGCTATTCGTCCAAGGTTCACCGCTCTTCATCCTTTCACAGAAAATACTTGTGCAAACTATTAATTCTACTTTTCTTATTTCTGGGTGGTATTGAGCTTCATCCTGGCCCAAATGTAAAGAACTCGTATAATTCTGTAGATTTTTCTGGCAGAAAAGGTGTTGGTGTTCTACATGTCAACATCAGAGGGCTTGTGATTAAATTAAGTCAACTAAAATTAGAAATGGCAAATCTTGACCCGGACATTTTTTGCCTAACAGAAACATTTATCACTCCTACCGTCAATAACTTGCAGATTATGATTGACAACTACAATCTTTTTCGGCTTGACCGAGGCTCTAAAGGAGGTGGAATTGCCATCTATGTTTGTAATACTATTGCATGTTCACCAGCTCACTCCTTGTTTAAAAAATGTTGCTTTGAAGGTTTGGCTCTCAGAATAGCTCTCCAAAATAATCAACAGATATTGGTAGTGTGCTGCTATAGACCGCCTAGTGGGAAGGATGTTGAAGCTGCATCTGCACTGAGAGAGCTTTTTGAGGGCCTCCCTAAAGGTGAAATCGTTTTAGTGGGTGATCTAAATTGGAATTGGCTAAACCCGCCGGCCGTGGCCACAAATTTTACAGATGAATTTAACCTGTTTCAATTAATAAATGTCCCCACAAGACCCAACCTAAAAAATGCGGGACAATCAACTCTGCTTGACGTCCTATTGACAAATGCCCCTCACAATTTCGCACTGACTGATGTTCTGGGTAATAACCTTAGTGATCACTCCATTATTGGGGTGAGATCATCATCCAGACCCAAAGCCCCCCCTAAAATTGTTGAGAAGCACTCTTTGAGGCACTTCAGCACTCAGGCATTTACTAATGATGTGCTTCACTCGGATATTGACAAGGTCTGTGGTATCCCCAACTTAACTACGGCTTGGGAGACTTTCAGGTACACGTTCCTCCAAATTCTTAACAAACATGCTCCGTTGGTTAGATTTAAAACTAAAGGCAACCGCCCACCATGGTATGATCCTTTGCTTACAAGGCTCATGAAAACTAGGGACAAGGCTTGGACATGTGCTCAGAAAGGTAATTTGGTAAATGACTGGCTAGAATACAGGATTTTAAGGAATAGATGCGTCAAAAAAATACGGCATGCAAAAAATGCCTACTTTTCCTCCACTCTCCTGGAATCACATGGAAATGCCAGGAATTTTGGAAAACAATCAAATGTATCCAAAAGGCATCCAAAACAGACAATCTGCCCGTTGAGCTTAACCGAAATGGGGAATATTTTTCAGATCCCAAAAAAAGTTGACAATTTTAACCTTAATTTTTCTGAAGCTGGTAATCTTTTTGATAATGTATTGGGAGTCACCCCTGCTCATGCAAATTCCTACACCGCTGTCCAAACATTAAACGAATTTAGTTTCCAGCCAATCCACGAAAGTAATGTTCTGTAACAACTGTCCTAACTCAAAGGGTCCTCCTCTACCGGAGCAGATAGTTTTCCTGTCTTTGCTCTACTAAATGTTGGTCACCTAATATACAAACCTATAGCCCATATTTTCAACCTGTCCATCAAAGAAGCATCAGTTCCTCTAGAAGGGAAACATTCCTATGTCCGTCCACTTCACAAAGGGGGCCCTAAAGATGATCCCAATAACTACCAACCAATCTCAATTTTGTCCCCATTGATGAAAATGTTTGAAAAATTATTGAAATTCCAAATTAGCAGTTTCCTGTCCACCAACAATCTACTACATCTAAAACAATCTGGGTTCCGAAAAAAATACAGCACCACATCTGCTGCATTAGACTCTCTGAATCAAATTTACAGTAGCCTTGATAATAAGCAGTACTGTGCCTGTCTTTTTCTTGACCTGTCCAAAGCTTTTGATACAGTAGACCACAACACCCTGCTTAGTAAACTAAGTTGCCTCAGTTTTTCCGAAAACGCAGTAAAATGGTTACAAAATTACCTCTTTTCTCGCACCCAAACTGTATTCACAGATGGTTGGAGGTCAAACAGTGTTAAGATAACAAAATGGGTTCCACAGGGTTCCATCCTCGGCCCCCTTTTGTTCTCTCTTTATGTCAATGACTTGGCCACTGACCTGGACCAGGGTAAATCTTTTTGCAGATGACATGATACTGATTACTGCTGGCCGCTCTCCGGATGATGTGATTGCTAAGCTCCAGGGTGATTTTAACAAACTACAACATCAGCTAGTTGCTCTTAAACTAGTCCTGAATATCTCCAAAACCAAAGTGCTATGCTTCTCACCGGGACTAAAGCAGGAAGTTATTTTTCCCCAATTACATTCCTTACATAATTATCAAATAGAGCAAGTCAAGATCTATAAGTATCTTGGGGTCATTCTGGATTCAAAACTGAATTTTGAAGATCACATTGATTACATTGGTAAAAAGACATAAATAAAAATAGGTTTACTGTATCGATACAAGCACTGCTTCTCCCCTATGTTCCGTTTGGAATTGATAAAAGCTACCATACTGCCTCTACTTGATTACAGTGATATCGTGTATAAATCAGCCCCAAGTACTGTACTGAAGAAGCTTGATTCCATCTATCATTCGGCCTTAAGATTTGCATTGAACTGCCATATAGGACTCACCACTGTGATCTCTAAATTGGGTCAAACTTAACATCTCAATTCATTATGAGACCTCCTTTGCCAGAAACAAGATATAGGAATAGGTTTTACCCTTTTTAACTGGCACAAAAACTGACACCTTTATTCAAGGCATCATGTTTGCAAAAACCACAACACAAGCAGTCAGAATGCAAACAAAAAAGACAACTCTGATAATATGCACTGTCCTTGAATTTGATTGGTCCACACCCGAGACAGCTTTTCTTAGAGCCTAGTCTCCATTGGTGTTGGACCAGAAGACGCCAAAAGGCGTACAACTCAAAAAAGGGTAAAACCTATTCCTATATCTTGTTTCTGGCAAAGGAGGTCTCATAATGTAAATGCTCACCCCGAGCCCTCAATACTCTGATGGTGCGCTGTTTTTGAGTTGTACGCCTTTTGGCGTCTTCTGGTCCAACACCAATGGAGACTAGGCTCTAAGAAAAGCTGTCTCGGGTGTGGACCAATCAAATTCAAGGACAGTGCATATTATCAGAGTTGTCTTTTTTGTTTGCATTCTGACTGCTTGTGTTGTGGTTTTTGCAAACATGATGCCTTGAATAAAGGTGTCAGTTTTTGTGCCAGTTAAAAGGGTAAAACCTATTCCTTTAACATCTCAATGTTCGACGGCTTGTGCACCAGATCTTATTTATTCACGATGTACTTACAAAAAAATCCGCAGACTACCTGCTGGATCTCCTCTCTGTTTCAAAGAAAAAATTTGACCTCAGGTTTTCGCTCATTTACCAGCTTCACATTCCCTATTGCCGTACAAAAACTGGAGGAAGGGCCTTTGCTATTGATGGCCCCAGGGTCTGGAATGCTATTGCCAATAAACTGCAACTTGAATCACTACCTATGAGATCTTCACTCAAAACTGCTCTAGAGGAGTTATATACCCCTAGCTGCCACTGCTATTCAGTGGCCTAAAATGAAATAAAATGTTTCGCTCCGGATGACCGCTGCAAAGTATTATCTGTATTTTGATTTCGTGTGCTGATCTTAAAGATGCATTGAAAAATGCGATACTCCGACTGATGCTCCTGTTGTTGTGGAGTGACTCATGCAGCCAGCTATGGCTCTAGGGTTTGGTGTTACATGATATTTATGTAGTTTATTGTAAAAAATTCGGTCACAGTCCCTATGATCACTGTTACATTGCATTTATAGGTTTATTTTGGTGATTTAGAAAAGTTTTTTGGTTTGGCCATGTTTTTGTTTATTGTAGTACGGAGTTAGACTGATGGCCTTAATCTTAGTTGTCTTGTGGTTGTTGTTGTTGTTGTTTGACTTGCATCCCACTGGGATTCTTGCACACAGCGTTGGAGTACGGTGCTATTTCAGGAATATTTTGCTGTTTTTCCTGGATTTTCTGTTTGCACCGTCACATAGTCACTTTAAGATGTTTTCTTGTTCATGTTTTTGTTTTTTTGTTTGTTGCGGTTGCACCTGATTCAAGAGCCGAATGGCTCACAGGGCTATACCAAAATAAATGGAACTATGGAACTATGGAGCAAGCAATTGCAGGGCTGCACCTTAACTCCTAACAACTCGTCGAGAACCCGCTGCTCTGCAATGGAAAATAATGAACAGCTGTCATTTTCAATGCTCTTTTCACAATCCTGTACTCAGAACACTCAAAGTAATCAGCTTTTTTACACAACCAAATTCCAAGATAATATCTATTGTGAGTTTTTAAAGAATCTCTAGTATATAAAGAATATTCTGGCAAGAGAATTACATTAACAGGAGCACACATTTGAAAGTTAGAGCAATTGTAAATGAACCTTGGTCAGTCTCCTGTATTCGTTACCAACACGTCTTCAATGTCGCTATCTATTATATATCTTCTGAAATTATTTCACCATTTCAATCAAATGTTTATTTGTTAAACGCAAAATATAGTTTAGTTAGTTACCAGCTAGTTTTGGTGGCAACAGCCAGCAGCAATTCACAATAAAATCGTTAGTTATTGTTGTGGAGAGAAGCCTAGCTATCAGCCATCCATAAAACTCTAGGCATAGATTATTTTAATATCACAGTATTCCCTCGTTATTTGCGAGGGTTGCGTTCCGGAGATGCTTGTGAATATCAAATTTCGTGGATAATAATTTTGGCCAACGAAACCCAATTGTTTAAATTAATTACCTAAAACAAATAAGCTATTAAATACATGAAAATGATATCATCACTTTCTCACATTGCATTATCTCTCATCACTCTACCTCATCACTTTATCTAATCACATTCTCTCTCATCAATTTATTTATTAATTTTATTTCATCTCTCGGTGAACTTCTTTCACACCTCCAATTAGCACGGCTGGCTACATACAGTGCGAAAGAAGATAAACATACATATGTGTAGAGTTCCAGAGGCGATTTTGAATATCCAAAATTGCAGACAGCAAGTTTGTGAAAAACGAGGGAATACTGTACTATCATGATGCACCAACGAACAGCTGACTTGGTTTCTCCCTTGGTTTTGACAGCGCTGCACATTCATGTCTCAGAAGCCACCACAAATCTGCTGAAGCAGATCGGGGGCTATTTTCTGGTGGAGAGAGGAACAATTAATTTAAAGGTACGTCCGTAGTTATTTGCTCCTGCAAGCCTACAGTAAGGGATATTTTTTAAAAAGGACAAATTTAACTACATCTGGCCATGAGACTGGCACATAGGTGACATTAAAATGTGATGATTAGCAATGGGAATTGGCTCTTAAAATAATGAGTCATAATAATGCTGTCACTGAAATGCCAACTTACAAAACAATTGTCTTACCAATAAAAAGTTTTTGGGATAAATAAACCATAATCGGGCGGAATGGACATGAAGAAGTAAAAATGGTGGAAATGTAAACAAGATTTAGTTAATTATAATAAATATACCAGAGATTTCAGAGATGTCTGATATCGTTTTCATGAGAGGAAGTGACCACAGGTTGGTGCGATGCACGTTGCACTATATTCAGAGTGAGGACAACGCTAATTACAGGAACAGCAATATAGTTCATATACAAAATACAGAATAAGTAGAAAACAACTAAGAGATGCTGCAAAATAAATAATGATATAATTTCTTAATTAACACATTCTACTGCTTCAATTAGATTTACCAAGCAATGCAACAATTGCTTTTGCATGTGATTACCTCTTTTCCCCTTGAGGCACCTGAGGTCAGTTGAAGAGTGTGGCTGTGCTGTTCCCTGTGCAATTGCATTTGTCGGTGGACATGACATTTGCCACGGGCCACCATCATCTAAAAGGTCAAAGAAGCAGTGCATGAACAAATGTCACCCTCAATTATGAACAAAATGTGCTTGGGTTGCACAATTATGCAGTATGCAAAGGGTGGCAAGTATAATAATCATTTTTAATTGACACCAGTAAAAGGGCACGCAGGTTTATTGCGTAGTATATAGCAGGGACTGCTGTGGTTTATTTGTTAGAACAATGGAATTGCAATTCACACTTTCAAAAACAATGTTGCAAGTTTCTTAAAATTCCCCCACCCAGCAGTATAAATGGGTAAACCACAGTCAGTTGATCAGCTGGTCACGTGTGGTGGGGTACAGTGTGGATACTCTTCCAAGACGTCTGACCTGCATGGAAGAGTAGACCAAATTACCCCTTAGAGGAGCTCACCTGAACTCCCTTTGAGGGCTGAATATAATTGTTGTTTATAGCAAGACCATTAACATGCACATAAATAAGGAACATTCTACAAGATACCACCTTCCAAAGATATCATGATGAGGGTGACCTTGCGATCCAAGCAACAGACTTTTCACGATTAGACTTTCAACCCAGCCAGTGAACCTTGGAGTCCTGTGTGATTCATCAATCACCTCTCACAGCCTCCCATGGTATCCGTGCACTTTGATCGATTGTTCGCTCTGTCCGTGCCCTGTGTGTTAGGGGAAAGGCAATCAGTTGACGTACTGGCTGAAGGGAAAGGCTGGTTTCCAGATGCCTCTTCCTGAATTCTTCCACACGGGAGAAATTCTGAAGAACAAGGGCACTGTTGAAAGCAATCAGGTAAAGCACCAGCTTGCGCTCTGTAAAAGAAGACTATGGCACAGTACTAGAGATTTCATGTAGATCGTTCCTTTTGATTGTTTTTAGTCGCAAATGATCCATACGAGTGGAAATGAAAACGAAAGTGTAAACACTACACGTTCACATCGCTCAAAGTTTGTGTCACCACCAGTTACCTGCCAGACAACATTGCGGTATTAATACAGCTCCAACGTAAGTTATGTAGTTAACGTGCAGGAAAAAAAGAAATGTGATATCACAACATTTCTTAAAAAATGCGTATTGTCATTGACGTGAGTCAAAAGCTTGGCTTTTTTACACCACAATGAGCCACATTTTGATTTTGGTCATGCATTATAGTAAACGGTTAGGTGACAAAATTTTTCCATGCCTATATAGTCTCACCCTAGCTAAGAATGAAGACAATCATGTGTCCTGGACGCACATTTAAATTGTTGACAGTGCTTTCAACAAGCTGAATGAGCCAAAACATAAAGCATCTGCACATCCACTCAAAGTGGAGAGATGTACCGAGTAGATGTTTGAAATGAATCATCGGATGCTCAATTAAGAGCAGAATTAATGGTTTCAAATAGAACGTTAAAACTGACAAAAAGCTTCAGATGGTGTGGTTGCTTCTCAGAGTGTGACTGACCAGCTCTGACGATTCTTACCTTGTTTCCAAATAAATAACTGCTGCTGAACACAGACCCCAAGTCCAATATAGACAAGCAGACGGCAACAAACAGCACTATTGAAAGCACAGTAGATAATACTGAATATGTTTCTCGAATAGAGAAAGATTATAATAACCTGGGGGAAAATAGACGATAGAAGGGAATTCCTAAGTTTTATATGTAAACCCCTTTGTCAAGGTGCCTCACTTCTCTAAATCAGCTTAAAAAGACGCTACGAATCTTAACAACGTTCATTGAAGCTCTGTCGTCCCGACGGGTCTGTTCCTTTCACCTGAAGAAGGCTGCTTATGTTGTGGCCGAAACGTCGTGAGAATTTTATTGTGTTATATTATTTTATTTTATTCATACATTATTTTATTCTCATTCTACGTGACTTTACCGAGAGAACCAAAGAAGATGAATCCTTGCAGTCACGAAAGCTTTAAATCGAAATTCTGCAAAGAAGGCGAGAGAGAGAGAGTGCGCTTGAACCTGCAGTGTGGTGGTTGAACAGAGTATGAATGAGCTGAAACAGTGAGTATGCTAGACCGAGTCCTCAACATGAGCGGAGGTTCATGGGAACAGTTACCAATGGTCACAGCAATAGAGGAGTGATAAGTAGGCGGCTGACCGCTGGCGAGGAAGACATCGAAACCAACGAGCGTACCGGATTTATCTCTCGACGTGACTCGCTTTACATTGAATCCTGTCACTTGCTGTGGGTGTCTGGCCACTGCAGATCACGGAGAACTGGACGGAGGAGTTCGCTAAGGACGTGGCCGCTTTCCGGGCCAAGCAGAGCATGGGCGCTACGGCGAACCGCATCCCCCCGCACGGCGCCGCCGGGGACAAGCACGGCCCGAAGGGGCAGCGTCCATCCCCCGTGACCCAGGCCAGCAGCGTGTGGGCAACGACACAGTAGGGCGTTTTCACGGGGGGACCAAAACTAAAAAGGAGCCGTGCGTTGACACGCGTTCGACTGAGATGCGAGTTGCGGTGCACGTGGCCAGGTCTCGGGACGGTTTGAGTTGCGCTGCATAACTAAACAAAAAAATGTTAGCCACGCAATTGTTGTGTATCTGTAAAGTAATTTATTGGCCACTGTTTAGGCTCTTTTTAAGCACGATGTTTTCAGGTGCAGCCATTGTGATTTGGTTAAGAGCTGCCTTTATAGATTATAACCCTAGACTGAGCTACGGTCAACTTGACAAGCGTGAAAGTAAAAACACCTGGTGCTTAGCCCTGGCATCATAGAAGGCAGCGTTAAGCCTGCAGGCTTAAGTGATTGCATTGCTCGGCAGTAAGTAGTAATGTCTAGAAGTTTCAGACGTGTTTTTTTTTCTGTGTTGGATTCTGGTATTTAACCCCCATGTGCAGTACCCCGAAAATGAATGAAGATTTAAAAAAAAACGTTTGGGTTGAGAGTTGGTAGTTTATAAAATAGAATAAATAATACAAATGTGATGGGTTTTTTTTCAAGAACATCTCATTGAGCCTCCAAAATATTATTGGAAGGAGCTTTTTGTGTATAGGAGAACCCCCCCCCCCCCACGTATTTCAGCAGATATCAAGGGCTGGGTAGCCCACCGTGGATATAGAGTGATAACATCGTCTCTTTTGCATCGCAGAACTGTGAGTGAAATTGACGGCCAGGGAAGACCATCGTTCAATAGTGTATTAATTCTGGCTGATGATGATGATAATGAGCAAACGTTTGGACAAACAGGTTCATAAACCTGTTTTCTGTACTGCCATCTCCTGGACAGCTCACAGCCCAGTATGTTTGGAAGTTTAACAACGTCTGTATGATCTTCCTACCAAAGCCTCCAAGGTACTGGATGACAAGGCGTACTCCAACAATTTCCAGTAAAACATTATATTAATTAGTGAAGTACTATGTCAGGCTATAGTACTAGTCACAGCCTGCACTAGAGCTGTGGCCTTTGACTTTGTGTCAGAAATGTCACATTCTCAGCACGATTGTGGAAATTACGTTGAGGTACTAAGATTATATTTATTCGTAAAGTGCCTGGATGGTTATAGAGCGTGCACAAATTATATATAAAACACTGGGCTCGAGTTCCCTCTTTGAAATATAGGCAAAACAAACCCACAGTGCAAGTGGATGATGTTTTCAAGAAAGGGCGCCATAGGGCATCAGTGTGTGTGTGTATGTTGAACTTCTTTCGCACCGCACGTAGCCAACCGTGCTAATCGGAGGTGCGGGGGAAGGACAACAAGAAAAAATGTGACTGCCCCTTAAACGGGAATGCTTCACCCACTTTGAATTTAGCTGTTGACGCTCGGCTTTTTTTAGATGTATGTTGAATTTCGTTTGCACCGTACGTAGCCACCCCCGCTGGCGGTTTACAATTGTAGCAATTGTATCCGGTTTGCCACTTACCACATACATAGCAAACGTAATAAATTAATCATCCTGGGAAAAGGGACATTTTAAAAATGTGACACGGAACTTCGCCCGTGTATTTTCAGGACGTGTAGTCCGTTTGAGCTTGCTATGAACAAAAATGCGCGAGGTCTTGTTTCCTGCTGTGCTCTCCGCTGTCGCTGTGAATATAACAGACAGGAGAGGAAACAATGCGTGATTAAAGTTCATACGCAACGAAGCAATTGTAAAAATAAAGTTGCAGCAATCGTAGGCATATAAGAAAAAAAACATAAAATTGCACAAATAATATTTAGCTCACGTGTGTGCTCAATGAAAGACCCAACGCAGCTGTTTTGAAAGACCCAACACACACACCATGGCACATCCGGATACCTGATGCACAAATGGAAAATTCAAACTCTCGAGTGGACGACTTGTGGTCATCCAGAACAGACCGTACAACATATAATGACGCGATGCCCGATCCACGAATATGAAGGATACATCACGGCGATGCACTCTGCTGCTCCTGATGCGATTATCTGGCTTGATCACCGGATGTGAAATTGTATTTGTTGCTCTGAGTCTACTTCAGCCGTACGAATTAAGGAAGAAGCACACATGTACGATCATTGAGGAATGATCAGTGGCAATTTTTTGTTGTTGTTCCTATGACGTTTCAAATATATTTGAATAAATTTACAAAATCTTTCATATTTTAAATAGTGAAACGATAATCTCCTGGATATAAATATCAACAGCTATGAATTCATTTTAACAGTTCAATAGAAATGTAGCCTTCATGAAATAAATAATAAACATTGTTCTTGCTTTGGCTTCAGTATGAAACGTTCTCTCCAAGATGTTCTTCGAACTGAGATCCAGTGTTGACACAACAACTTTAAATACAGCCAAGAGTGAGCCTGTCTGTCTCTTTTGAGTAAGCCGGTGAAATGCACATAATCTCACTCTCAACCACATTCAATTCTAAGCTTGCCATGTGTGTATATTGAGCTGGCTTAATTGGCCATTAAATCAATCCACCTGCACAATGTTATCTCAGAAGAGTTACAGAGTGCTTGTATGATCAGCTGTCTTTTTTTTACATTTGAGAATGAACAATTTGGCTTTAACATCGGAGAGGAGAGCCTTGGGATTTTTTATAGCCACAAGAAAATAGACAGTACAGCAGGATGAATGTCCCTTGCAGTGGATAAAACACGTATAGTTACGCTCACAAGATGGCAACAGAAAGACGTAGTCGATAGTTATTGACCATTGGAAATAGAGTTATGGCTTGCAAGTTCTTGGCCTGCTAGCTGCCCCTTGATATTACACCGCAATCAGCATCTATGTCAGGTTTCCAACACGTGATAAGAAAATAAAAGAGAACAATTAGTGATTCAGTTGTTCTCTTTTATTTTATTTTACCTACGTGACTTTACCGAAAAAAACAAAAAGTATGAACCCTTGCAGTCACGAAAGCTTCAAATCTAGAACGTGATAAGAAGCCATATTAATTGCATGCGTTACTTGCTAAGGTTGACTACAACGAAATCGCAAGGTCTGTGATGATGAAAGTCTAGTTTTTGGAAACATGAAGTATCAGACAAAGAGTGAAAGCATTGCCAACATCCTGATATGCCATTATACCAATGCGACTGGATGTGTCAATGTATCTAGCTGGTCAGCTCGTGGCAATGCTTTATTGCACGTATAACACAGGACATTTGGCTGAGTAATCACACGACATATAGATGAATGTAAGCAGATGTAATTCCCTACAAAAGGGTGCTATAGTATTCTGGATTTTCTTTTTTATAGACTCTTGAATGCGAGTTATTTAATCATTCTATGTCAGTTACATATTCATGTTACATGTGTATTACCCTTGCAAGGCATGTCATTTATAATATATAATTAACATAACTTCGTGACCGCTAATTATAGCCTTGGGGGTTTTTTTTGGCCAACATTTCAATGAAAAGCCATCGCAAAGAATCGCTCTCAGTAGGGACACTGACCGAGATGCACAGGACGCGGTGTTTTTTGTAGCTGCAGGCTACATACACACATATAAAGCAATACTTTTAAAGTGTTATGCTGAGTGGGGAAAAAAAAACAATGTGTTCCATTAATGCCCTCAACAACTAATATCCAAAATATCCACACACGAAAAAATGTGTTCTCCTTGTTCTGGAAACTCACCCAATTATTTGATGTTTGATGCCATATCTCATTGACGTTGTGTTCATGTCATTACTGTACTTGCAAACTTAGTTGCATTCACGCTAACATTGACAAACTCCACCCACACAATTACATTGATGCGATTGCAAACCAAAGGGAATATAAATGATCAGAAAAGTTAGGTGTTTTGCTCTTTAAATGTACACATTTTTGATTTGCCAAGTTGCTCCATTAATTGAAAGTCTATTGAAACCAATTCAGATAGGCGTGATTGGCGGAGAGAGGTGTTATAGAGAATCAAGTAAAATGCAGCACTCGTTAATACCTCTGAAGCAACAGCCGTGAAATGCATTGAGCAACAGAAAATCGCTTATACTTAGCATTGTTACTGTCACCGGCATAAACACCGACCGCTTTGGTGTTTAAAAAGCAACATGTTGAAATATTACATATTGCAAACTGAGGGAATTTGATTTCTTTATTATAGATCTTTTATACTTTCTTTTTTAATAAATGAAGGTCAACACTGTCAAGAGATGCAGGTATATCATTGTACCAAGATCTTTTGAACAAACGAGTTTAATAGTCAAGGTTGTTGGTGATTGTGTGCATTTACCCGATGTGTCCATCTCACCCTGTCATTGCACATGTGGCATTCCATGTTCCAGATGTTGAAATGTATTAGTAAATTAAAAACTAGGCATTGGCTTTAGATGGTTAAGTTACAAAAATAGCATTGGCTCATTAAAGGCTGGAGTTGCGTGTACACTAATTGTATGGCGTATAACAGGACATCCTTCCAAAATTTGCTAGCGCAGGTAATTATAAAATGCAGGTACAGCTACAATTAGGTCGGCCTTTCATGCTGACACAACATCAGGGTCAAGAGTCGTGAAAACGTGTGAGAATTTAATAAACAAGACGATACTTAATACTATATTTGTTTGTGATTAATACATTTCTTTTGCCATTTTTTTAATTTTACCAGGTAAGGCCCACTGAGCTATGCAGCTCTTATTGAGAAACGACCTGGCTACCAGTGATAGCTCAACAATTTATGTCAGCCGAATACTCTAAATGCATGCTTCTAAATGTGGAGGGAAAAACCGGAGGACCCAGAGAAAAATCCACTCGGCCATGGGGAGAGAGAACACACAAACTCCAAATATATTGCAGGCGTCACGGTCAGCATCGAACCCACGACCATCCTGTACACCAGGCGAGGTAGTTAACATCTCGCCACCATGGCACCCAATACAAGTGGGCGAGAGCGTAACCGTGTGTGCTTGTGTTATGTTTGGAGATGCTGAGAACTGTTTCTCTGCGGCGAGACATTTTGTCAATTTCGGCGAAAATAGTTGGGGACGCTCCGGTCGGACGGCTGAAAAGATTTCGGTCTCTGGGCTGCAGTGCAGCAAAACCCTCCAGCCAATTGTGCTCCTGCAACTACAAAAACAAAGACAACGTTATGACAAATTAATTTAGATAATTAAGTAAAGAAATGTAAGTCATAAAGTCTTTAAAAGATTGGTGTCGATACGACAATAAATAACAAAGTATGCTAAGGTTGGTAAATATTCATTGAATAATCGATTATATTCATTCAGACAATCCCAATACATGCACTTAATTGCACGCGAGATTAATTATCTTCGATTCAAATGTTGCGTGTAGTTCCCGTGACCTCCCCTAAAGTCACTAGATACAGTATGCTACACAGTGCACCACAACGGTAAAGAAAAAAAATATTTTATCAGATTGGATCACAACTCCAAAATGTGACAATTTACTTTTTTTTGCTATTTTAAGGGTATCTGACCAGACATCTTGGAACAGATGGCGGTACCCACACTTTACCCCACCACACGTGACCTGGCCGATCAACTGTCTATGGTGCACCCATTTATACTGCTGGGTGGACAGAGGCAGGGAGATCTAAGGCACTTGCCCATTGTTTTCCACTGCCATGACAGTAGACAGGACCAGCGACGTTTAGATTACAAGCCCATTGCGCTAACCGTTACACACTACGGCAGCATTATACATGTGCAGTGACTTAACTCGGAGACGCTATTCTTGGAGGCAATTCTTTTATTCAACCGAGCACCCTTTGCACAATACACAACACTACGCTGGTACACACTCTTCTCAATCGTTTATATACAACTCTACGTAAGTTTTTAGCCTATACACAACGCTAGCCGTCTGACACTGACGGCGCTGAACCGAGACAGCCAACTACCATCTAGCAGCGCAATATCAAGTGACGACAACAGCGATGAAGGCGACGAGATGACAGCGACGATGGCGACGATCTTCAGCAGCAACGACGACGTGGCTCCCACTCCAAACGACAGCCCCAAGGTCCCCTACCGGGGCCCTTCTTATCCTGTCAGCGGGGCCTGGCTCCGCCCCGGCCACGCCCCCCTTCTGGAACCCACTAGCGTGTTCTCGATGTGCCCCTTCCATAACCTTTCCCCTACATCCCTCTTTGGTCTATCACGTGCCCTGCTGTCAGTCAGGGCTGCTGTAAGCTGCAGAACCCCTTCCCTGCCAGCAGTCAGCGCTATGCTGCTACGTGACCGATTCTATGTCACTACACATGGAATAACGATGAGTTGAGGGGGGTTTCACTGAAAAGAAAATATTGAAATATTGACCTTGCAGCCAAGCGGCCTTAAAAGTCAATTGGCCAAATCCCCCCAAAAATGCCAGATGATTGAAACGTCAAAATGTCTTCTCTCAGTGACAGTAAAGAAAACACATCGTTTTTTTGTCACGAAGCTAGCCAGGTGGTTCAGCGGCAAACCGAGCGAATTGCAACTGGAAGGATGCAAGTTCAACTCCTGGTCAGGGTTAACTAAGCCCATCGTCCATCCGGGGTCAGTGATGAAAAGGACCACGTGAGCAAGTCAAGAGTGGTCATCCTACAGATAGACTCGCCAATGCCGTAGGAATGGAGATTTACACCACTGGCTCAGGGTTTTAAACAGGAGATAATCACCACCTCAATGCCCATTTGAAAAGGAAATCACTTTCACTTTTGATGGTAGAGTTCAATCCAGCTTTATTGCAGAGCATGTATTATTCAATGTAATTTGCCTCTACGCTTGCATACTCTCAACGAATGTGAAGAACACCAGCTTAAGTCCATCACCATGGTTTCCTTATCCATGATTTAAGTGGATTATGTTTATTTTCTTTATAATCTTCACTGAATTTCAGGAAAAAAGCAAGCTTATATCCAATTAAAGCATACTTAAATGAAGCTTAAATTGGCCATATCATATCGTCAAAGAAAAAAAAATATGTTATAAAATGTACGTCCACGATTTTCTTATTTCATCTTATTGCTGCGTTTTGCTCTATTTAATTGTTTTTAGATCCATTTAGTGGATTAACCATAGCTGATGATTATGAATATTAATCTAACCACAATGCGGTACAAGGATTGTAAAATCTTAGCATCAATGGTGCTGGCGTCAGAATAGTAGTGCTCTTCATCCAACAGTAGATTAACAATGGATTACGATTCATGAAAATCATGAAATCGGACGAAGAAAATTGAGATGGCTCACCATCACGTATGGGACTTTCCGGTTACAGCATGTGATTGAAATTGTACTGAGGACAATATGAAGAAATATTCGATTCTATCCTTCACAATACCACCACTAACCCTATGAATTCCCAGTGTAAGTTAATGTCATACTTTCCTCAATGCAGAGTGTTTGCTATTTACCCATCGGTAATTGTGTAGATTTGTTACCCTAATATAGTTTCTATTTAATATTTCGTGCAATTAAAGTAACTTGCTTGAACCCAGATTACTCTTGCAAAAGTGGCAATGTTTCATGTGTCTCTCAATGGGTAACTTTTTAAAAGTCTGACAATTACATAAATAATACTAGCCGACTGACTGAATAGTTTGTTTAGTTATGTTTGAACAAGCACAGGGTAAGTGGTTAAATTAATATGTGTACTGAACAAAATAAATGATATTAAGGAAAAATTAATATGTCTGTGCATTTGTATTACACCGTATTGTAACAATGCTTCTCTAGAAAGTTCTGCTCTGCTGGCGTTATATCTTAACGCCATTATCACCCTGCGTGATCCTGATAGGTTGCTCTTTCGCGAAAAGGTCGAACTGCCCTGCCCATGCTCGTATTGCTTGCAGTGATCCCGGACTATTTCCGTGTTTTCCATTAAAGCTCCACAAATGTATTTTGTCAATTATTATCATTCTGGGAGGCAGTCTGTGCACACTTGCTGTGTTCAGACTGTGGTGCCATTGGCTCACCCTGGGCCACATTAAAGTATTATACAATACAAAATGGATGGATGTCTTGCAGCCAATGTCTGCTGCATAAAGCCGAAATAGGTCATTTTGGCTGTCAGAATATACAATATACGTCTTTATAAATTACAATTTTGGTTGTGTTACCATGGTTTGTGTATATATATATAGATTTTAGATTACGTATCAAAAGGTATCTCAGCATTTTGTCTGCGCTCCAGATCAGGTCAAGCCCTCTTAATAACCAGGCTGAGATTTTTGAAAGGGATTATGTCATGTTTCATGACTTTTGCTCATTCTGGCACTTATTTTGGCCGTGTGGTTTTAAACAAATCGATGGCGAGCATGTTTAAAAAAAAACAGTCGCCGTTATGATTTGCTTTAGAAAAATCCTTTAGCCACATTTCAATAACAAAAAATGCCGAATTGTTTTTACCTTAGTGTGCAATTATTTTAAGTAATACTGACTAATTGTACAGAAACATTGCTAAAAAGTTTGACACTAAAATGAACACCAACCTCATGTTATGGTGACAATAAATGTGCCATATCGTGAATGGTTACCAATATTTGTTTTAAAGTAATGATGGACTGCTATTTTCATACGCTGTTCGTAGAGTTTCCTGTCAGCCTCACACGTATCTTAACAAGCTTCCGAGTTCTCAGAAATACTGCACTGAAAAGGTGAGAACTTGCCCTAACAGCAATTAACGGAACTCTGGGCCAGGTGGGATTAGTGCTGATTGTGGCGCACAGGACGGGGCAATAGAGCAAAAGAGCCCATGCTACATTCACCTGGGACTAAATAATGCCTGCGGTGTTCCCCTGGAGAGGAGAGAGCCGCTATAAGTACAAGTGGCGTCTCATGACCAAGGTTGCTCTCTCGCGTGCACGGACATTTTTCCCTTCCATTTTTATAAGCACTGCTTCGAAGTAACACTGCTAAATAAGCAGAATTCATCTTGCCACTAAAGTAACTTTATGATGGCGAATTCCAAAGCGAAATAACCTGTATTGCTTTTTTTAAAGGACATCATAACATTCTGAAGGCCAACGCCATCGATTCGATGTACACTTTACCTGCAATTGGAATTTGTGCAAGAAAAACAGATTTTTGGCCCTCATTGCCGCAAATGCTCCAGACGTGCGGAGAGAAAACGCCGACAAGATCGCTGCCGTTAACCTGTTAAGACACGACTAATTGCAACTGGTTAAATGGCATTTTGTGTGCTAGGCTAGCTTGTGAGAGATCGCGCAAGGACATCACAAGGCGCTAAAAGACTTCTTCTGTTCAAGAGGTTTGGCAGCACAGGCTCACCGCTAACAATGGCGACACTAGCGAGGATCCTGACGCTGATCCTGATGGGTGCGCTGGGCACCGTGGCCGAGCGCTTTCTAATTGGTCTGCAGGCCCCCCAGGCTCTCTCGAACCCATTCAGCGTGATGCGACTCGGGGCAGCCTTGCAGATCGCGTTCGATTCCCTCAACTCGAACCCCACCTTCATGCCCAACCACACGTTCGCATTCACGTACGCCGACTGCGCGTGCGACGCCAAGGTGTCCCTCGACTCCTTTGTGACGCAGGTGCGAGAAAAGGGCATCATCGCACTCCTGGGACCGGTGTGTGCCGAGGCGTCCGAGGTGAGCTTTTTCATTCGTGTCCCCATACTCATGCCATCGTGCTGCCCGCTGTGCAACTGACCGAGAGAAAGCGGGAGTAACATGGTTGAGGAATGCCATTTGTGTGCGTGTTAAAAATTATTTCGCACCGTACGTAGCCAGTCGTGCTAACCGGAGGTGCGGGGAAGGACAAGAAAAAAAATAAACACACAAAAGCAGTTGTAAAGAAATGAGTTTTGAATCTAGATTCAAAAGTGTTTAGCGCCAGTGGCTTCCTATTAGTTATAATTATCGGAAGGAAGAGCGTTCCAGGTGGCCGCAAAAGCGCACCTGCAATTATTTAACCAGGAAAGCCTGCTTCTCAAAATTCACTTTCTTAAGATTCCGTACTGGGAGGATTGGCCAATTTTATTTTCAAATAGCAGAGTTTTGCTTATGGAAGAAAACTAGAGTACTGGGGTTTAATATACGAAAAATTACGAGGGGATAACACTGAAAAATTAAAACAAGGGTTCACAAAACCACTTACTTATTTGATATTTCCTGGCTGCCTCGCAGCTCAGTGGGTACACTGTATGGGTTTCTCAAATCCGTCTGGGGTTCCATCAACTCTTGCCTACAAGGGTTGGATTGCATCTACTCGATACGTTTTTAATAATAATAAAAAAAAAACTCCATATGTACTTTACTCGAATACTGAAATGGAGCAAACAGAATATTAAAAAGGAAGTGCAATTTGATGTTCAGAAAGAACAATCTGAGTATCGCAGACAAATCTAACGGAGTGAATAGAAATTGCATTTACAGGTGAATTACCAGGACAAGAGAGTTAACGCGGTTTGCATCAGTAGAGTACAACTGCACATGTGCAAGCATGACAGGTAGCATAATCATTTCTTAGATTGTTATCGCCATGAGTGCTTAAACTGCTTATGATACATTTGGTGACATGTTTTCCTCCTAAGTGATATAATTTGTGGATTGCAAACCATTAAGTTTTCATGCTCACATTGCTAACTATGATGTTTTGAATTAAGGCGAGCAGTGCTGTGTTCTCTGATTTATCATCTCATTATTTTCCTATAAATTTTACAATGTTCTGAGTCTTCTTTGGTTCTTTCGGTAAAGTCACGTAGAATGTGTTATTTTATTTTATCAATTTATTATTTTATTCTCATTCTACGTGACTTTACCTAAAGAACCAAAGAAGATGAATCCTTGCAGTCACGAAAGCTTTAAATCTAAATTTAATGTTCTGAGTGTTTAGCATCTTCATCTTTTTCTATATATCTCTCTTCTTCCTCAACGTGTATTTGTGATTTCAGATAATTCGTTTTCTGATTTTGTTTTACCTCTCCCCCAACTTTAAATGAAATATCCATGACGATGCTCGTTATTTCATTATTTAAAGTGGTGACATCCATTTAATAATTTTCCTCCTCGAGGCATTTGAAGTTGTTGCTTTTAGTTAGTCTAAAATTGCCCACCTCCTGACCTAGATTTTTCATCCTAACTATCTGTACTTTGCCAATAATTATCTTTGCTCTCTCTTTGGCTATTATTAAAATGTAATTCCCCTGCGATTGCTTCCTGTGTTAAATTTCTCAAGGACAGATTCCTTTTTTCACGATCTGGGATTTGTCCTTGAGATTCAAGTCTCCTTTCTAATTTCACCATTTGGGCACCTCCACTTCCACATCCGAGACTCCAGTTTGAAAATATATTCATTGTATCCATGTCTCTGATGGCTAAAAACTCTCGCGTTCCTCCCCTCAATACAAAATGTACAATTTCTCCACCTCGGTACCAATGTAATTTTTTTACTTAGAACTTTCATGACTTCAGGAATTCATATTCTATGGTTCTTTCGGTAAAGTCAGGTAGATAGAAAAAATAATAACAATCAAATAATTAAAATAAAAATGAAAATAAAGTGAATAATTTAAAAAAATATCACGACGTTTCGATCGCAACACAAGCGGTCGTCATCAGGAACTTTATTATTATTATATTGTTATTATTTTTTCTATCTACGGGACTTTACCGAAAAAAAACATAGAATACCAATGTAATTGGCTAAATTTTAATCAAATTCTAAAAGCTTTAATTCTTCAGATATAAGGCCTTCATCCAACAGTGGATCGATTATGGCTGACGATGTTGATGACTGACCACTTTCCCAAGGCAGAATCATCTATTAAAACATAAAAAAAACTATTTTATATAATTTCTACACAATTTTGCATAAATAACTATTTAGCATAATTCACATTTGTGTATTTTTATTGGATAGGTTATAAATTTAATAAATTATGATTTTATACAGCACTCTTCATGTAAGGCATCTCAGGGTTCTTAAAATAAAACTCTGTCATAAGAACCCTTGGCCAATTAATCCAGGTTGAGGATAAGCTAATGCAATTTTTTAAAATGTAACTTTAAATCATTATTTAAACTGTGCCAACATTATTGCTGTGACTTGATACAGAGTTCCAAAGGCAGAGAGCATAACCAACGAAAGGTCCTCGCCCCTCCTGATTTTTTATTTTTATTTTGAGGATTTACCAATAGGTCATCATTCACTGATCTCAAGGTGCGACTGGGAGCATAACAGGGCGCTTAGCTTTCTTTGGATGAACTGCTGCAATTTTTATGTTCACACCATCGCTCTGCGCATGGTCTCCTTCAGGTGACTGGCCTCCTGGCCGCTCAGTGGAACGTGCCCATGCTGGGCTTCGTGGGCCACACCCAGCGCATGGACAGCTCCGCCGTGTACGACACGTACGTCCGCATCATGTCACCGCTGCAGCGCATGGGCCAGATGCTGGAGGCCACCATGCGCCACTTTGGGTGGACGCGTGCCGCGATGCTGGGCGGCACGGCTCAGAACAGCACGTGGGCCAACATCGACGAGCTGTGGGCGAGCGTGGAGCGGGAGTTGGCTCGCTCCGTCACCATCACGGCGCGCATCAAGTACGACACGTCCGACAAAGTCCTTCACCGACAGAACCTGCTGGATATTTCCACAAAAGCCAGGAGTGAGTAAGAGAGTGCGTCACCGGTCACTTGTGTGTGTGTGTTTTTTTTTTCCAGTAGAACGAACTGAACGTCTTTGTGGGTTAAATGAATACTCTGATTGGTATTGGCAAAATGAGAAGCAGAAACATGTCAGAAAAACGATAGTAGATCATTTTAAATGTACATTAATAAAACCCACATTAAATATCTATATATATTAATCTTTATAATAGTTTTGTAATTTGCAACCAAATATAGAGTACAGTAATTGTAATCTAATGACGATTGATATAATTCACAAAATTGCATGCATTCGTTAAAGTAATAATGGAGTCAATGTCTCATTTCCTGCGTTTCCTCACCCACTCAATTTTAATTATAATGATCAATCTCTTACTAATTTCGACCATGTGCAGGTTTTAGCAATCATGTCGACTGATTAAAAAAAACGAATAATTTGAAGACAAAGTAATCTTTAGTCTCCCAGTGCTGTGTCGGTCTTGAGGGTTGGTTGACCATGCTTCATTGTGCTGGTCAGTGAGGGGCTGGTGAAGGTGGATGGCCCAGGAAGCTTCAGAGATCACTCACCAACTCATGTTAGCCGTAGCCGGAATTCGAACTCAGCTTGCTGGGCTTAGTAACGTTGCCAATATTTGAGATGAACAAAAATAAACAGAATGTATCATGGCAAGTAGAATACCTCACAAGAACGTCTTGAGTGGTGAATAAAAACTGGAAAAACTAGGACAAGTGGTAAACCTAGAGCTCAGCGTGACCATCAGATGAAAGTGCATTTCAGGTTTAGGAGAAAAAAAAACACACAATACCCGGGCCGACAAATTGAATTGACGTGATGCACTCATATTTAAAATTCAGAAGCGCTTTACGCATGTCAATGAGTCACATGTGACACCAACACTCTGCAGCATTAAAACAATTCCTACTGGGCAGTTGAACCAGGAGAGTATTTTAAATCCCAGTTGCCCACGTGGCTGATTGGGAGGCCTGCTATTTCACGCATTGCAGTTGTGATCCTGATATGCGGATCGGAAGAGGCTCGAGAGGTCCTTCTGGAGGCCCAGTCTCTGGGACTTGCCACGGGAAAGTTCATCTTCCTGGTTGTGCAGCAATTTGAGGTGAGTGGACACTTGAGAGCAGCTTACATCGGTTCGGTACATATGTGACAATGCTGTGCACTTTGTTTTCATAATAACCAAATCGCCCTTAATGTGCCAAACATCATCATAACTTAGCAGCTAGGCATGGGGGACTGTCTGAGAAAAACCAGGTATGGTTGGCTTTGGCTGTGAGATGGTCAGGGGATGGTATTACAGCGTGGATTCTTGAATCTGTGTGGCGCTTTGAAGTGTTTGCGCTATTTTCTCCCACACGAAGCCAAACATCCACGAATGAAATTAGCAAAACATGTCATAATTCCTGGTTAAAAAAGGGGTATTAAAATACTTTAGAGAATTTTACTAAAGCATGACTGTAGTCATTCTCTGTATGAGGGATGCAAATACACTTGGCACCCTCAGTAATGGTGCTCAGCAAATGTATGCTGCATTACAATGTAACGATCAATCACCAACTGCCTTCAATATGGTTACAAACACATTTATAACCCCCCCTTCCCCGTACATACTAAGTAATCACAACACTTAAAAACAACACTCAAGTAGTGGTCTCATCCATTTACCTCTCAAAACAAGTACGAAAAGCAACTCAATGCACTCGTCAATTATACTGCCAGAGAGGCCGACACGTATCATGATAATGGCCCTTCTTCATAGGGAAGATATCATCTTGGCCAATGCCTGACACGTCACCTTTGAAATATATTTACCTTGATGTAAAGCTTTCGTGACTGCAGGAATTCATATTCTTGGGTCTTTCGGTAAAGCCACGTAGAAAGAACAAATAATAAAAAAACAATAAAAAAATTCTTATTTTTATAAAAAATCATTTCGTATTTTTATTATTTGATCTATCTACGTGGCTTTACCGAAAGACCCAAGAATATATATTGACCTCATTAAGGCAGTGCTTTTTGTTGAGTATTTTGCGTTTTCATCCGCCTATCAGAAAGCTACAGCTGTCGGTGGGAGTCTGCTTCTTGGTAGCCTCGGCTCAACGAAGCCTGTCACGATGCCAGCACACACACAAAAAAACACGTCTATCTTCACATCTGCCGTGGGGAGTCACCCATGGGCCGGCCAGTGAAATTTACACTCCGGGCTACATCTGTGCCTTAATCGAGTTAAACTTCCACCAAAACGCAGGAATGTCTAGCGAGCGCACGTCAAAAGGTCACACTCTTCATAATGGCAGCTCAATCATTGTGCGCGCCAGAGCGGTGGACCCACATTTCGGAGCAATATTTTGCTGGGGCTTTAATCAAGCCTGCTCACGTAAGCGTTTCTGAAACATGTTGTTCCTGGCGCATTGCCTTTTTAGCCAGTTGCCTGCTGCGTGTACTCTCTTCGAACGTTTGTTCAATCCCGGTCTCCCCTGCCAACCTTGGCGGACCGCCTGCTCACGGGCTCACGTTACATCAGCTGCGTCGTAAACGTAGGACCCCGGTTGTCGGACGCGGACTCAAGGTTGTTGCGAGCGAAAGTGCCGCGATGTTCGAGGCGACGTTTACGCGCCCCCCTTTATTTACGTCTTCCAGACTTCCAGATTAAAAACAACGACGACGAATGAAGTGGGAACGCCACTCGCGAAGTGCGAGTTCGCTCGCCGAGTGAAATGTTGCCAACGTCTGTCTCCCATCGATGTAAAATCGTTTAATTAAAGTCAGCGGTGAGTGATCCGGACACACAGGTTCGCTGTGGCGTGCCGGAGCCCAATTAGGCCGTTCACAAACGCGAGCATTTGCATCCACTTTCATTACCCTGACCCGCGAGTTCAACGTTAATTTGAAACAATTCGTTACGCGCAATCTATAAAACTATAAACCTTATTTATTCCACCAGGTAAGGTCTACTGAGGTCTAAATAGCTCTTTGTCAGAAGCAACCTGGCCACAAATGATTGATCAACAAAAGTGCCTTACCATGTGGACATTTATTTGCAGCCAAATACTCTTAACGCACGTTCATTCTAAATGTGGAGGGGAAAATCCACGCGACCACGGAGAGAGACACTGCTAACTACAAATATACAGCAGTCGTCAGGGTTGGAATCGAACCAGTGCCGGATGAAGCGGGGCCTGTAGCAGCATATGTTAAAAAGGGGCCCTAAATAAACAAAACATAAATATAAAAATACAATTTTTTTACTTGCATAGCAAAGTAATTTTATTTTTTAATTTGCTATACAGCCAGATAATACGACAAATCGCTAACCTTAAAAACCCAGTTGTTCATAGAAGTTTAGGGCAGTATAGTACTATAGTAATAGAGCTAGTGCAGAATCACTGAACCGGAATTGATAGCTTGAAAGCATTTAGCGCGGGGCCCTCGAAAGTGCGGGGCCCGTAGCACGTGTAGCTACTTTTGCTACTAGGATAGTCCGGCACTGGATCGAACCCACGACCGCCTGTATACCAGGCGAGGTAGTTATAATCTCGCCACCGCGTTGCCCACCGCAGGCCCCTCTGTACCACCGCAGTGGCTTTAATCCATGACTACAAACCAATGCCATACCCCCCCCCCCCATATCCCCCCCCCCTCCCAAACACCCCTTGCAGGATAGCTTCTGGAAGTCGGTGGCAGCCGAGCGGCTGGACACACAGACTCTGCAGGCGCTGGAGCCCGTGATGCTCTTCACGATCAAGGCGTACGGCTCATCCGACTACGAGCTCTTCCTGCAGGAAGTGCGGCGCCGTCTCCTCGGCCCGCCCTTTTACAGCAACCTGTCGAGCGACAAGGAGGTCTGCCTGTACCCACGGGGCTAAAGTGTTGGGAGAAGGGATGGGGAGGGTTGTGGGGACACTGTGGAGAAGGATGAGGAGTGAATGAGGTCTGCCTTCACCTACGGGGCTGAAGTGTTGGGAGAAGGGATGGGGAAGGTTGTGGGGACATTGTGAAGAAGGATGAGGAGTGAATGAATTTGTTGCGTGAAAAGGGCACGCATTGTCTACCAACGTATTATGTATCTCTATTGAATTAGGCAATCAGGCAATGTTGTAATGATGGCCATGATGTAATTGACTGCACCTTGACACTCGGACCCTCTGATACATTCTATGTAGCCTTTAGGGAAATTTACCCTCTGTAGATGTCTTAAAATTAATTGACTTCCAATGCATTTATCAATGAGGTCTTTTTTATATGTCTTTACTTTTTCCGAGTTGTTTTCCTGTGCAGCACAAATGTCATGTTATGACGTAGAGAATCCAATCAGAAATCGCACAGCAGCGCAACCCCATGTATCCAAGAACAGTTGTGTAACAGATTGTTATAGAACATCTGAAAACCCTTCAAGCACACTTACACACACACTGTGCTATGAGATTGGTGTTTGTTACGTGACAATGAATCAAATACTTTTAACATTCCAAGGTACAATTTAGCTATAGATTGAGTGAATATTATATTTTGATATTTCTTGGTGCAGCCATTAGTGACCAGCTGACACCCATCAATTCAGTAGACTTGAGAATCCAGTTTAAATATGGATGGCTGCTCATATTTGAACCCAGGATCTCAGTGTGCTGAACGTCTTTCGCACCGTATGTAGCCAACCTTACTAATTGGAGGTGCCATCAATGGAGGTGACAGGGAACTGACTTCTGAGCCAGCTGGCCACCTGATGTTGGGCATCGTTTTTAATCCTAATTACATGTTTAAGTTTGTACATTTTAATGTTATATTGTGTCCCTGATTTATATGGTGAATTGTATAATTCGTTTTATATAATTCGTCATTTTAAATTGTAATAATTTGCATAAAATTGTCCCCGGAAAACTCAAGGAAACATAATGTATGATGGGTGTTCACAAAAATAATGTTTTTGAAAAATACACCTCCAAAACATCACTGTTGAGTGCACACTATAATTGCTTCCAATTTACCATAGTGTGACCATTGATAGATGAATCGGTATCTGATTTGACTCTGGCAACACCATAACAATGTGGAATTTTCACCACTACTGGACATCTGTGAAAATGAGCTTCATAGCTCATCGGATTCCTCCAGTACATATTATTATTCTGATTCTAATACAGACGGGCACTGCAACGACACTCCACTTTTCCTAGAGCCTTAACAAGACCCTTGACTTAAAGCTTTCGTGACTGCAGTAATTCATATTCTTTGGGTCTTTCGGTAAAGTCACGTAGATAGAAGAATAAAATAATAAAAATAAAGTGAATTAAAAAAAAATACCACGACGTTTCTATCGCCAACACAAGCAATCGTCATCAGGAGAAAAAAGGGGGAAAAAGCTGCTGAGGCCGGCTGTTTTAAGGATTTGAAATGGGTGTAGTCCAAGGGTGATAAAAAAAGACGTTGCCGTTTCCTTTGAGGTGCGCGTCTAACGCGGACGACGACGCTGCTGCTGCTGTTGCTGCTGCTGCTGCTGCTACCACCGCAGGTGAGCCCTTACGCTGCGTACCTGCACGACGCAGCCATCCTGTACGCCATGGCCGTGCGCGAGCTGCTGAGGCATGGCGGCAACCCCCGCGACGGGCGGGCGATTGTCAGGACCATCAAGGGCTCCACCAAGGTCAAGTTCTATGGTGAGCTTCGTGTGACCTCCCATACTAGCCTCGCCGTAATGTATGTATGTATGCATGCTGAATTTCTTTTGAGCGCCGTACGTAGCCACCCGCGCTAATCGGAGGTGCGGGGGAAGGACAACAAACTAAACACAAAAAGCAGTTCTTAATAAATTAGTTTTGAATTTAATATCGGAAGGAGCGTTCCAGAAGGCCGCAAAAGCGCATCTGAAGGCACATGATGCACTCATGGCCAGTGTTGCCAACTTAATGATATTTTCGATAGATCTTGCGGATTTTTTCTCTTCCCCTGGCAATGTAATTTTTGCACAGGGCCTAATGACGAATCTAGCAACTTTCTGGGACGAGGGCATTAAGCAAATTTGCGAGCGATTGCAGGTGTATATTGAAGATCCTGTATCTATTTTCTATGTCTAATAGTAGGTAAATGGTATCGTGATATTTTCGATTAATTTAGAAGGTCTAACTAGCAACATCTAGTGGATTTTTGAGGTTCCTTTTTGGCGAGATGTATCTGAACGGAGTTGGCAACACTGCTTGTGGCTGTAATTAAGATTGCAAATTCTACTTCCCATGACATTCTGGTTTCTATATATACTGTATATACACACCGAAGCCATTAGCAGCACATCTATAAGACGTGATGATATATGTTCTTTACTACAATTGTGAATGAAACTGTCTACCAAGAGGGACCTCGAAAGGCACCTGAAACCTTGTTAGGCGTTGCACTCCACCATCCTGTCACTTGTTCCATCTGATGCCTTGTCCACCAGGGAGCGCACCCCTTGCTGCAAGTAGAATGGTGACACCTTTCTTTGTCAGGGGGATACATTTTTGTCGAGGTCAAAGGTCAACGATTGTACGTAGCTCTTAATCAATACCATACGTCCTTGGGTCCTTTCAGTCAGAATGGGCTCTCAGTTGACTATGTTTGATAACAAATTGCTCGTTCTGTGACGGAAAAATGAAATTTGTATGGAGATATAGCGTTATATAAATATGTTCAGAGATATGTATTTTTTCCTTGATATGCTTGGGTTGCAGCAGCAATGCTTCCAATCATAGTGTCAAGAATTCAAACCCCTATGGGCCCGTTTTGATCCAGCCTCATCATCTCACTGGGGTTCATAACATTATGAACCACCCAGTGAACACCACTTAGTGACAGCTCAACTGTAGCAGTTGGTGGACTAACCCCCACCATAAGAACATGGAATTCTCACTTCTGGCTCACGACTGCCAATGAATGTGCAGTAGCAGCAGCAGCACTAGGGTTACCACCTCCGAGGTAGAACAAAAGCTTGGACATGCCATGTGAGGAGGACGGAGAAGTGAGAACTGTGTGTAACTGAAATGAAGCATAATCTTTGATGTCTGTTCTTCTGGGAAGACTTACATGTTTCCCAGGACAGCTGCCACAAAGAGAGGGCCATCTTTGGAAACGCAGGACAGGTGGCAACACAAAGCAGCACCCAAGGGTCATTTACACGTCGGGACACTGAATACAGTACTGCACATAATTCTGTCTTCAGGTGTGTCGGGACAGGTAAACATTGATGTTAACGGAGAGCGCTTCCTAGATTACGCTGTGTTCAACCTGCAGAAGAAGGGCAACAGCAGTCAGTTCCTGCCCGTAATGGTGTTCGACACCTTCCAGGGAAGTATCAGGTACGATATTTTCAAGTTTTGCTTGCCTCCTTTCAAAAAGTATTTGTCACGAGGGTCAACTCGCAAATGTTGGAATTAGTTTTTTTGTGTGTGTGAACTGCCGTTTAAAGTGTTTAGAAATCACGTCGGCGCATTGTTCACGTTTGTGAATGATCTGAGCTGACGGAGGGGCCTATGCTTTTGAATCAATCACAAGTGGAGAGCCCACTGTTGATTTTACCTAATTGGAAAAAAATTACACTTGAATTTGGCATGCATTCCAAATATATACAATGCCTGCAAATGGCCCGACCAATTTAGGAGAGCCAAAGTCACACTCTTGTACCCCAGACGTGTTTTTTGCTGTACTGTGTAACCAAAACTTGCCGTTGCTCAGCTTTACCCCAGAATACCAGAAGATGGTATGGCCAGAGGGAGGGCCTCCGAATGACATGCCGATATGTGGTTTCCTTGGAGAACTCTGCCAGGAGATTCCGTATAGTAAGTCACCGATTTTATGTCACTCTCATCCATGGGTGCCGCCACCATATTACAAGTGAGGGGGGGCTAACAGCTTGGGGGGGGGGGGTCAGGGGGTGGGCAGAGACGTGAATCGATTAGAGGGCGATGATTGGCAGGTGGGGTTGTGTTAAAGTTAATTAGAAATAAGACACTGCAGCTAAGAACATCGAGGATAAGACAATAATCAGTTTTATTTAACATGCGAAGGACTTTGGTTTAAATCCCTACCTTGGAAGAGAATTTTGCCACAGCATAGCTCCAGTCAACAAAACACATTTTTTACCCAAGTCAGCGATATTATACTGCGTTTTTATTACATATGCCATGAATTACATTGTTATCAGTAAATATCTCGTTATTTTCTTTGGTTCTTTCGGTAAAGTCACGTAAAATGATAATAAAATAATAAATTGATGAAATAAAATAACACAATAATAATATTATTATAAAATAATAATATTATTGTGTTATTTTATTTGATCAATTTATTATTTTATTCTCATTCTACGTGACTTTACCGAAAGAACCAAAGAAGATGAATCCTTGCAGTCACGAAAGCTTTAAATCGGAATTTATCTAGTTATTGTTCATTGTTTATCGTGGTCTTTGCGATGGAGCAGTGGCCCAGTGGTTAGCATACTCAGCTATGAAACTGGGCTCAATAGACTGACAAAAATAATAATAAAAAAAAACACAACCCCTTTTTGCTTGGATTTTGAACGTTGTTAACTCTAGTTGACCTCACGATCCTTCCTCCCTGCCTGCGTTGGACGAGCCAGACTTGGCGCTAGTGCTGGTCGGCACCATCTCCTCTGTGGTCATCGTGGGCTCCGTTGTCTACATACTGTACCTCATAGTGCAGAGACACCTCTTGCAAGGCGGCAAGGATTTCATGTGGTGGAAAATTAACATCGAGGAGATCGTCATGGTCAGCACGAGCAAGGTACGGTGTATTATTATTATTAGTTGTATTAATGGTCATGATTTGCGTTGGATATAGCGCCCTATACGCCAGGGCATCTCAGGGCGCTTGACTTCTCATCTCAACGAATTTAAAAGGGGATTTCAAGTGTCAGCTGCCCCTGTGGGCGCAAGGTGACACAGCCTCTGGACTGCAAACTGCCAGTAAAGGTGGGGGGAGGGGGGCGACGATTGATCCGTGTAATCCCAAAGGAGGAGTTTGCGGGTCAATTTTTGAATGTGGCAAAGTTGGACCACAACGCCGGCATGCCGACGGCCTACTTTTACGAACGATGTTACGTCCACTGTGAAGCAGACGGTGCTTATTTTTACGATTAATGACACCTGCGAAATTAACCAGGGCGGCAGCTTGATTCGAACCACGAACCTCTGCAACAAGTGGCCAACGTGCTACCTCTGGGCCGTGTCACCCCACCAAGCACACAACAGTGGTCAGTTGCATAGAACTTAAGTGAAAATGTTACTTGGATTCCTGTTCCAATAGGAAGCGGTTTATGCACTGGCCTAAGGTACTTAACGAATAATCACTGTCATATTTGTGCTGCCATCTCAAAAGACTATTGCCAAGGTTAATTCGTCGAAGAAGAACATATAAGCTGTAGACAGGGTGCTAAATTCAATTGCATGCAAATTCAAAATAAAGTGTTAAATAGTAATAATACGACAGGATTAGTCATTTGTCCGTGGTTTATAAACATGAAAAATGCAGACATGAATCCTTGTAACAAAAAGGTTTCAGTTTTGTTGCCAGAAAAAAGGGGAAAACCCCTATTATTACATTTTGGTACTGGCAAAGGAGGTCTAATGATGGAAAATGTGATTTGGATTAATATATATAGTATTATCATTCCATTTTCACAGTATATCAATAGTTTGATTTTACACCAACACATGCCATGACCGCGTGCAAAAGGTAACACATTAGCGTTCAGATGTTTGCGCATAGCAAGAGAGCGCTGCACTTTTGCACGGGCTTTCACACACGTGTCCTGCTTCAGCAAGGGAATGCGGCATCCTGCTCACTGCAAACTCCGGTGGAAAATGGAAGCTACAAGTCAGGAGAGCAACTCTCAAGCAACCAGAGCAATGCTCACCATGGAGTGCTCGGCAGGGAGAAGATGTTCACGCCTCTCGGCATCTACCAGGCCAGTGAAGCTCAAAGTCGTCCCGCATCGCCAATTCAAACTAAACTATTAAAGTTTTTTTTTAAAATATATATCAGGTAAGACCCACTGAGCTATATAGCTTTTTTTAATGTAAGCGACCTGGCCACTTATGATGATAGCGCAACGAAGTGGCTAATCACGTGGACGTGTATATCAGCCAAATACTCTAAATGCATGATTCTTAATGTGGAGGGAAAAACCGGAAGTCCCAGAGGAAAATCCACACGACCATGGGGAGAGAGACATGCAAACTCCAAATATACAGGCATCAGGGTCAGGATCGAACCCCCGACCTCCTGTACACCAGGCAAGGTAGTTAACATCTCGCCACCCTGGCACCCCTAAGACTGGGCTTTGCTCTGTTTCGTCCCCTCATTATGATTGAAATATAATATCTGCCGAGGATCGGTTCTGCATTTCAGCGAACGTATTTGTATTGCCCATTCTGATGCCTGCTCACATTCCTGTAATCTTAGCATTGATTGCATGAACTGGTCTCCACAAATACTTTAAGCGTAAGCGTGAGTTTCACAATATGGTCATTGTTTGAATGAGCTGGCATCAGCATTCACATTACAACACTCAGTGGGTTACTTTGTATTCTTTATACAGTAATCAGAATTTATTTACATCTAATAAAAACATTTGCATGGTGTTAAAAGTGCCACCTTATCCTCAAATTTATACTCAATTTAAATAACTAAACTCTACATATTTTTTGTTATCACTAACACTGCTGAATTACTTTAAGTGACAAGATAGTTTTATCCGTTACAGACAAGCAGTGTCACTGATAACCTAAATGTCTTACTACTTTCTACATACGGGGGCACGCACTCAGTGGGAAATCCGACACAATCTGTAGAATCTGTTATTAGCTGACCTACGTCGCCGATGAATAGCAGGTTAATATAATGACAATCACGTGCGGTGTTCAGGGAAACCAAGTCGCTCTCAAGTTTCTGCAGAGGACCCGACCTCCTGACCTCAAGAGCAAGACCTTGCTGAAGGAGCTGCAGATGGTATCCTTTTTTTGTTAACATGGGACCGAATACACCCTGACATTGTTGCTACCTTGCAGACACACGATACGGACAGCGTTGAACCACGATGTCGTGAGATGTGAGAACTTTACACATTCCCGCTGTCAAAGCAAAATCGCTGACCTTGGGGCACTCAAGCCCAGGCAACAAAAATAAGACTCTCAACCTTCTCTTCCTGGAAAAGTTATTTGATGTAAAAAAAAATCCTCCATTGCAGGCGAAACAAAGGCTTTCTTTTTTTTGTTACAAATTGTTAAATGTATGACTGCATCACCATAGCGCTTAATCTGACGATATTTCGCAACACTTGACGGTCAGCAACAATTTGTTGAGAAGTGACATTCTTTGCAAATTCTCGTTGAGATTTTTTTAAAAATAAAAGAGCTCAAAGACTAAAAAACTTTGAAGAGCTTTGGCTTAATACCGAGCTAAACACACACTCGCCAATGTGATTTGACTTTTTTTGTTGCTTTGAAGAACAAGTGTTTGACATCTTCAAAAGAAGACCCCGTTCTCCATAACTCCTGTTTTAACAGCTCCGGGAACTTCGTCATGAGAACCTGGTGGTGTTTTTTGGCGTTTGCGTGGAGATGCCCAACATTTGTATCGTGACGCAATACTGTCGCAAGGGAAGCCTCAAGGTAATTACCGCTCCATTGTCCCATCACTCCTTCTCGTCTGTTTCCCTCGTAATCTGGAACGACCTTCCCCCTGCCATCAGTGCTGTTAACTCCCTGCTTCTGTTCAAATCCAAACGCAATACCCCCCCCCCGCCCCTCAATCTATGTTTGACTGCTTTCTCTCTGTTAAATATGCTATCGTTATTGTCCAGCGTCTTGACGTGTGGTCGTGTTTAGATGGTAATGTCTATCAGGCCACATTTTAGCATCGGTTGTATTCCGCTTTATGAACAGCTCTGTCTTGAGCGAACGCAACTGCGCTATTGCACAAGAGTCTAATTTTTAATGCATTGCTCCTTACGACTCTAATCTTCAATAACACTTAGGCGCTGTGCATGAAAAATACACATCATCTCTCCAACAATATTTAATGCTCCATAATAGAGGGTTTTTTTTGGGGGGGGGGGGTTAAATCGCATAAATATAAATGTGTCATTAAACCTACCACCACCCGACAGAGGCAATTAGTAAGGTTTGTCACGTATACAAAACATGATAATTAGTTACTAGTTCAGCACACTTAGTTCGGGTGGTGATGGGTTTAACGACATATTTATATTCTTGGTTCTTTCGGTAAAGTCACGTAGAAGGGAAACAATAAAATAATACAAATATAAAACTATACAATGCTCACGACGTTTCGACTGCAACACAAGCAATCATCATCAGGTGTGAAAACCACAGCAAGAAAATTTGAAAAAAGTGGCGTTTTTTTAACGTTAGCACCACGGAGAGCGATTTGGCAGTTATTCAGATGGACGAGTCCATCTATATTCTTGGTTCTTTCGGTAAAGTCACGTAGAAGGGAAACAATAAAATAATAAAAATATAAAACTATACAATGCTCACGACGTTTCGACTGCAACACAAGCAATCATCATCAGGTGTGAAAACCACAGCAAGAAAATTTGAAAAAAGTGGCGTTTTTTAACGTTAGCACCACGGAGAGCGATTTGGCAGTTATTCAGATGGACGAGTCCATCTATATTCTTGGTTCTTTCGGTAAAGTCACGTAGAAGGGAAACAATAAAATTATAAAAATCTAAAACAATAAAATTCTCACGACGTTTCGACTGTAACACAAGCAATCATCATCAGGTGTGAAAACGACAGCAAGAACATTTGAAAAAAGTGGCGGTTATTTTTAACGTTAGCACATTTATATTTCCGCGAGCTAACACAAAACAACCCTATATTATGGATATGGGTCGTGAAAGCCCGACTACGTGTTAAACATTTAATGTTGAAAAGCAGAAACACAACCAAGCTTGCATTGGCAAACTTTGCAGAGGCGTTAAATCAAATAATGTGCTGTAAATTACTAAGGGTGTAAACAATAGGAGAGCGAGGGCATCATGGAATAAACTCATAGCATCATGCTCGCCCTCTGGTGGCAACTTACGTTCATTGTCGCCTGCTCTCATGCGCTGCCCATAACGAAATCTGGACATTTTACGTTTTGCGAAGTATAGGGTTATGCCGATGTCTTGTGACCCCTAATTAATTATCTGAGACTTAATAAAAAATTAAAGCAAGGTTTATTTAAAACAGAAATTAATATACAAAATAAAAAAATGTTTCGGGTCAATTCATTGGGGTGGGGGGCAGGTCACGATACCTCTGGACCACCCTGTATGGTTTTCGAGCAACACACCATCTGTTTACTTGTTTAACTATTGAGAGGAATTATCGTGAATCATATCCCTGACGCCATCCTGCCACCAGTCGTGGCTCGGTTAGCGTGCTGCCGTAAACATCTCACGCCACACGCCGTGCGTGCGTGTGTGGTCTCTTACAAAAAGGAGGCATTAGCACTTATTTGAGGCTTGTAAAACAAGCTATCGTTTAACCGGGGAGAATGTTACCTTGTTTTACAAGCTTTTAGGCTCGCTGATTCATAGATACAAGAGCAGTTCTGTGAGAAAACAGGGCAGGCCGCAAACTTCAAAAGGAGCAAAAAACGTTTAAAATGTTGGCGTACGCATTTGGGAATTACTTAAGAAGTAATTTCTACTCACGTGTTGCTCGATGGCTCAAGTTAATGCAGAAAAGCAAAGACGTAATTAATAAGTTACTTTGACAAAGAGCGAGGGTTGCCACCTGTCCCGGGTTTGGCAGGAATTGAATTTGTGCTGAGATCTGGTGCTATTATCTTGAACGATATTGTAATGTACTGCACAGTTTTTGACAGACTTAGGTTGACTGTAAACATTTGTTTGGGTTTGTTTTAGAAAGGGTGGCAACCATTAATGCAGAAATCCAGATATCCAAAAACAGTGTTGATAATTGTTGACAATGCCCCTGTGTTCAGGATGTGCTGAAGACTTCTGATTTTGAGCTGGACTTGATGTTCAAGACCTCCTTTGCTTATGACATTGTGAACGTAAGAAGTATGAGTGCGGAAACGTATTTTTTCCAGATGTCATTCCTCATACATGCATTTGAATACAGACTCAAGGATGAGGCTTCAGATAACGGTGTGGTGTATTCTTCGTTCGTAGCAAAACGATTGCTGCTGTGCTCACACACCACCGATTTCCCTTTGTTAAATAGCCAGAAAACATAACTAAATGGGAGCAATCGTGCTACAGATCGAATAAAGTCAAAACTAAAACCCAAACTTCCTCTCATTTTTAATTATTGTCACATCAACGTCGTCTGCGTACATTGTGAACTTCAATTAACTGCTGAAGATCCTACATCACAGTTATTCCATTCGAGCGTGTATAATTAGTGTCAGAGCTACGTAATCAATAACACGCGAAAGTAATTCCCTTGATTATAATAATTGCAACATGCAACGTAATTATTGTAACATGGAGGGCAATTGATTCGCATGTAAAAACAGTTAATGTCTTACATTCGGCTTACATAGGTTGAAGCAAATCACATGGCAACGATGACTTTGACTCATCCCTCAAGCTTGTGTGTGCATGTGTGTGCGGTGCGTACCTGCCAATTTTCTCTCAGGGCATGATATTCCTGCACAAGAGTCCCATAAAATCTCACGGGAACCTCAAGCCGTCCACTTGCCTGCTGGACAGCCGCCTGCAAATCAAGCTCACCGGCTTCGGTATCTGGGAGTTCCGCCACGGAAAGAAGGGGAAGATCATGGACGTCAACAATCAAGATAGTGAGAGTTACTGTCCCTTTGTCTTACAAAGCTCCGCTGTCGCGTGTCCACACGGCAGTGTAAATGGGTGACACCGCGGTTAGTCAATCGGCAGCTGGAATGCCGTGCTGTCAGTACCGGATTATCCTTGTAGCAAAAGTAGCAAATGCTACGGGCCCCTCACTTTCAAGGGCCCCGCGCAAAATGCTTTCAAGCTATAAATTCCGGTTCAGTGATTCTGCACTTGCTCTATTACTATAGTACTATACCGCCTTCACCTTTTATGAACGACTGGGTGTTTAAGGTTAGCGATTTGTCGCATTATCTGGCTGTATAGCAAATAAAAAAAAAACAATTACTCTACTATACAAGTTAAACATATATTCTTAGTTTTTTCGGTAAAGTCACGTTGAAGAGAAACAACAAAATAACAAAATATATATAAAACAATAAAAAATTCTCACGACGTTTCGACCATAACTCAAACGGTCATCATCAGGTGTGTCGGTTTGCATAAATTGATTTTGAAAACAGCATATTTATTTATATATATATAAAAAAATAACGTTTGCGTCACGCGCAACGATTGGCAGTTTGCCCAGGACTAGTCCATCTATTTTTTGAAAAGAGGAGGGGGGAGACGAAATTTGTTTTATGTATGCTGTCTGAAAGCCACTGTAAGCGTGAACAATCAATCAAGAACTGAAATGATTTATCAAATCTTTCCAATGATTGCTAAGATAGAATCCATCTTCTCGGTTGAAATTGTCTCTATGCTTGTATATGTGGATAGCCTCATGAACGAATCTCTCATGGAAGCCAGATGGCTTACAAAGAACCTCCGTCTTGGAAAAGTCAATGGCATGTGAGCCTACTGAATTAGAACAATGATCTGCTACGGCCGAGGTGTTGGTCCTACCGTGTTTAAGGTCTGCTTTATGTTCACGAATGCGGTCCGAGATATGGCGTTTGGTTTCTCCAATGTAACTACTACCACAGAGGCAACTTAGTTTGTAGACACCAGGGTATTGTATGTCCGGAATCACATCTTTTACAGACGGAACCAGATCACGGATTTTATGTAATGTGTTGAAACGGACCTGGATCTTGTGTTTATTCAAGATTTTGGAGATCTTTTTTGTGATCCCAGCAATGTAGGGTAAAGTGATGGTTTTGAAAGGCTCCTCTACAAACTAAGTTGCCTCTGTGGTAGTAGTTACATTGGAGAAACCAAACGCCATATCTCGGACCGCATTCGTGAACATAAAGCAGACCTTAAACACGGTAGGACCAACACCTCGGCCGTAGCAGATCATTGTTCTAATTCAGTAGGCTCACATGCCATTGACTTTTCCAAGACGGAGGTTCTTTGTAAGCCATCTGGCTTCCATGAGAGATTCGTTCATGAGGCTATCCACATATACAAGCACAGAGACAATTTCAACCGAGAAGATGGATTCTATCTTAGCAATCATTGGAAAGATTTGATAAATCATTTCAGTTCTTGATTGATTGTTCACGCTTACAGTGGCTTTCAGACAGCATACATAAAAACAAATTTCGTCTCCCCCCTCCTCTTTTCAAAAAATAGATGGACTAGTCCTGGGCAAACTGCCAATCGTTGCGTGTGACGCAAACGTTATTTTTTTATATAAATAAATAAATATGCCGTTTTCAAAATAAATTTATGCAAACCGACACACCTGATGATGACCGTTTGAGTTATGGTCGAAACGTCGTGAGAATTTTTTATTGTTTTATATATATTTTGTTATTTTGTTGTTTCTCTTCAACGTGACTTTACCGAAAAAACTAAGAATATGAATTACTGCAGTCACGAAAGCTTTAAATCAAAATTTAAGTTAAACATATGTTTTGATTTAAAGCTTTCGTGACTGCAGGGATTCGTATTCTTGGTTCTTTCGGTAAAGTCACGTAGAAGAGAAACATTAAAATAATAAAAATATAAAACAATAAAATGATCACGACATTTCGACTGCAACACAATCATCATCAGGTGTGAAAACCACAGCAAGAAAATTTGAAAAAAGTGGCGGTTTTTTTTAACGTTAGCACCACGGAGAGCGATTTGACAGTTTGTTCAGATGGACGAGTCCATCTATGTTCGGAAAAGAGGAGGGGGAGACGAAAATTATGGATGCGGTCTGAAAGCCACCATAAGCGTGATCAATCAATTAAGTCCCGAAATGGTTGATCAAATCCTTCCAATGATTGCTAAGCCAGAATCCATCTTCTTGGTTGAAACTATCTCTGTGTTTGTAAATGTGGATAGCCTCATGAACGAATCTCTCATGGTAGCCAGATGGCTTGCAAAGAACCTCTGTCTTGGAGACGTAAATGTCATGTGAGCCGACTGAATTATAACAGTGATCTGCCACGGCCGAGGTGTTGGTCCTACCGTGTTTTAGGTCTGCTTTGTGTTCACTTTTGTCATCTGGCCACATGGCCGGCCTGCTCAAGACCAATTTTTCGACCACATCAATTCCATACACCCAGCCATCAGATTTACCATGGAAGTCGAAAAGATGGCAAGCTACCTTTTTTGGATGTCCTAATAAAAAAGAGACCTGATGGTTCAATAAGCCACTCTGTCTACAGGAAAGCTACCCATACGGATGCTTACCTGAAGCCGGATTCCCACCACCATCCATCCCAGAAGAATTCCCTCATCAAGACTCTGTACCATAGAGCCCAATGCATATCCGACCAGGAACAAATAGCCAGTGAACTCAAGCACGTACACCAAGCTCTTAAGGCTAATGGTTACTCCGACTACACAATCCGCAAAGCTATCACTCCAACCATGAAGAAGGACCCTCTTGAGGAGCCTTTCAAAACCATCACTTTACCCTACATTGCAGGGATCACAAAAAAGATCTCCAAAATCTTGAATAAATACAAGATCCAGGTCCGATTCAACACATTACATAAAATCCGTGATCTGGTTCCGTTTGTAAAAGATGTGATTCCGGACATACAGTACCCTGGTGTCTACAAACTAAGTTGCCTCTGTGGTAGTAGTTACATTGAAGAAACCAAATGACATGTCTCGGACCGCATTCGTGAACACAAAGCAGACCTAAAACACGGTAGGACCAACACCTCGGCCTTGGCAGATCACTGTTATAATTCAGTAGGCTCACATGACATTGACTTCTCCAAGACAGAGGTTCTTTGCAAGCCATCTGGCTATCATGAGAGATTCGTTCATGAGGCTATCCACATATACAAACACAGAGACAATTTCAACCGAGAAGATGGATTCTGACTTAGCAATCATTGGACGGATTTGATCAACCATTTCGGGTCTTAATTGATTGTTCACGCTTATGGTGGCTTTCAGACCGCATCCATAATTTTCATCTCCCCCCTCCTCTTTTCCGAACATAGATGGACTAATACTCGTCCATCTGAACAAACTATCAAATCGCTCTACGTGGTGCTAACGTTAAAAATAACCACCACTTTTTTCAAATTTTCTTGCTGTGGTTTTCACACCTGATGTTGATTGCTTGTGTTGCAGTCGAAACGTCGTGATAATTTTATTGTTTTATATTTGTATTATTTTATTGTTTCCCTTCTACATGACTTTACCGAAAGAACCAAGAATATTAAACGTGTGTTTTAATATTTACGTGTTCTTTTTAATGTAGGGCCACTTTATAACATATGCAACATGCCCCGCACTAGCTTAGTCCGGCACTGCGTGGCGTAAAGTGTCGGTACTCGCATCTCTCCCAGGACATCTGGCCAGGGCAAGAGAGCAGGCCCAATACCCCTCCAGAGGGGGCTCTGTAGACAAACTTGTAACGCCATACTTAACACTTCAGACAAGGACAGATACAGAATGTAATAAGCAATAATTGTTTAAAGTCAATTTACGTTGGATTGTGTAAGACTTTAATCACCCAGAATGCGTCTGATCTAATCAGATCTTAGAAGCTAAGCATATTTGAGCCTGGATAGTGCTTGAATGAGCGACCACCACGAATAACAGTTGTCAGAGGCTGTGTGGATACGTCGTGAGCTTTAAAACTAAATCTGTCATTGTACTGTGCTTCTGTGCTCCTGCATCTGTTCTGTCTGCCTTCACAAAACCGTACTGACCAGGTCCTTCTTGTCTAATTACAAGTCCCAAAAATGTTTCCTTCTTTCATCGCCATGAACATTATGTATGCATGCATGTTGACCTTCCCCATCGTACGTAGCTCAACCGTGCTAATTGGAGGTGCTAAACCTTCCTTCTCCCCTTTGTAATACACCACTGCAATGCAATCGTCACCCTATCTTGCAACAACAACCAAACCTCCCCATTACTGAACTCAAACACCCGACGAAGCGACTGCCCCGTGTGGTTGTGCTCGCAGAGCTGTTCTGGACATCACCGGAGCTGCTCCGCATGGAGATCTTCCCGGTGAACGGCACCCCCAAGGGGGACGTGTTCAGCTTCGGCGTGCTCATGCGCGAGATGATCTACCACGAGGACGAGGGGCCCTACGTCGGCGTCGACATGGAGCCCAAAGGTGCTCGACGCACGCCGTTCGTTTAGGGAATTGCTTTCGCGCAGAGCGCCACATACACAAGAAACATTTTGTGGGTGACGTGAGTAACGGACAAGGTCATAATCCGGCTAGCTGGAAATGCCCTGCCTGGCTATCTGAAATATGGGTCTCCTGTCAACAGATGACGTCTACATTGCGTGCAGTGGACAATTCATGAATGACATCACGTCTAGCCGCAGTTGGTCCTTCCACATTGAGCTGAAAGAACACGGAGTGCTGGCTCCACAGCCCCGGAGCCCGAGGCCCGGACAGGAGGTGTAACTTTAGTCACGTGTTGGCCGGGATCATGACGATTTGGTCAGCTAGTTGCAGCTTTGGTTTCCCCAGACAATGGTTCACATGGCCGTGTACTTGCAGGGTACACGACAAGGATGTAGGTGCATTTGTGCGCCACTCAACACCGTGCAGAGCGCTCATTGCACGAAACAATTAATTACGCAAAGACTATTATGAATACGGTATGCACTTCGTAGCTCTTTTCTCTAAGCACTTCGGCATGGTTAAGCTCAATACAGAGTTATTTTGGGTTCAACAGTGAATTCCCATAGTGGCCAGCAAATTGCGATACGAATCTGGGTTTGATTCCCGGCCACAGGTAACATCAGCGGCAAATTATATGCGAACCAATCCTGAGCCTGCCATAGCCAAGCGTGCGAATTGGAGGTGCAGGGGAAGGACAACAAACTAAACACAAAAAGCAGTTCTAAAGAAATGAGTTTTCAATCTCGATGATTTAAAAGTGCATAGCTCCAGTGGCTTCCTAATATCGGAAGGAAGAGCGTTCCAGACTGCCGCAGAAGCGCACCTGAAAGTGCACAATGCCATGACCGTCTTTGTTCGTGTGCTCGCTCATAATCATTTTTCCAAAAAGTCTGTGTCGGCTACGCAGGAGATCTTTTTTATTTTTTATTTGACACGAGCTTGGTAAAAGGCACGAACCGTAATAAGGGAGGGGTGGGTGAGGGTTACAGAAATTCTGCAGACCAAAGTCTGAACTCAGCACTCCTGGGTTCTGGGAACGGGATAAGATAATGCTCACTGCCCAATTCATTGTGTCTGACTGTCCGTGGTCGCGCATGGCACGACGTGACGGCGCTCCAGAAATAATCGACCAGGTGCGGGAGGGGAAATGTTCGCCTCCTCTGCGGCCCCTGCTCACGGAGCGCTGTGAGCCGCGCATTCAGGCCCTGATCCAGCGTTGCTGGGACGAATCTCCCGACCGCCGGCCCGACTTCCACTCTATCGCACGCATGCTGCGCTCCGCCAGCCCCGAAGGGTATTGACATTGACCTTGATTTGACATTGATTCTGCAACAGCGCAGGCTCCACCGCACTCCCAGTAGTGGCTGTCTCCATCGTCATCGTAATCGTCATCACCGTCATCGCCGTCGCTCGCTGAACCACAATCGTGGCAGATGCGCCGCTGATGCCTCGGCTGTCAACAACTCTCTCTCTCTCTGCACGCTTTGTCCACCGCAGCCTTTGTTGTCAGGTGTTGTGCCGGTTTATCTGTCCATGTTATCACATTTGTCATCCACTTGATGTTGCGTCATCCTCTCCTTTTATATTCTTTTACCATGCCCGCTAAGATAGTGTTGGGCTGTCGCCCTCTTTGTGTCACGTGTCCATGCCACTGCAGTTTCCGTCACTATCGTCAACGGCGGTTTGTGTTCCCCCACCTTTGCTGTGATTACAGTTGAAATGGATACGATTGTGCGGTGAGATGTTGTGTTTAGTACTTTTAATAGTAAAAAAAAACGTTATTGATAACCAGGGGATGCCCCATTTAGACCGAGTATCTTTTTCAAAGGAGACCTTGGTTACAAAAGTATATAAAATACAGAAGCAACTAACAACACAGCAAATAACCCCATGAGTTAGATGTGAGATAATTTAAACTGTATACATTAATTATATAAATCGGTAAATATACACAAGAGAGATAGTAGATGAGGTAGGAGGCGACGATTTAAAAGCATTTGCATTCATCGACATTAAATTGAAATGCCATAGTCGTTCAATGTGAAAGAGGCATTATATTGTTTGAGGTTCATGAAACATCGTGAAGGAATGTTCTCCAAATCTAATATGCGCTCTCGGCATCGTACACAGAAATGTTACGGTGCGTCTCAGGTTGTGTGTCGGAAGAACTCACTGGAGCTATGCACTTTTAAATCTAGAATTAAAACGCATTTCTTCAGAACTGCTGTTTGTGTTTAGTTTGTTGTCCTTAACCCGCACCTCCGATGAGCGCGGTTGGCTACGTACGGCGCGAACGAAGTTCAGCATATGTACGTGCATCGTAACGACGTCTGCATCCAAGTCTTAAAGTTATCCTGTGCATCTGTTACGTACTGGGTACCTGATGCTGGGGCGTGGTAGACACAGGAGCATTTTGGACAACATGGTTTCAAAGTTGGAGAAGTACGCCAACCACCTGGAGGAGGTGGTAGAAGACCGCACGGCCCAGCTGGAGAGTGAGAAGAAGAAGACAGACCGTCTGCTGTCCAGCCTGCTGCCGAGGTACCGGCTATAGTTCGTTATCCTTCCCACGCGCACCTCCGATTAACGCAACTGGCTACGTGCAGTGCGAGAAAAGTTCAACATACATGCATAGTGCATGATACATAAAAGGTTTTTAAACGATATTTTATCCTATTCTGCCTGCCATGCTGTCCATAAGTCTTGGAAGAGGTTGAAGTACGCCACACTTTACCCCGTCACACACCACCTGCTGATCGGCAAACTATGGAATATCGATCTATACTGCTGGATGGACAGAGACGGGGGTGGAGGTGGAATTTAGACGCTTTGCCCATTATTTTTACCGCAAAATGATATTTAACATTTTTTCTTTTTGAGAATCAGACTCATAGTACTGTGCTTGTGTGCTTCATGGTATACGATACGTATCCTAAATCCAGCCTGCAGTCGTTGTTGGTTCGCCTATAAATAGTGTTTTAATTGGTTGTCTATGAGCTTCATCAAACAAGTTATAAATGGCATGTGTGATGGCAGACTGATGAGTCTGCAATTCTTCAAATCAGCGCCATCGCCCAGTTGTAAATGATAGGAATGATGGAGATACAATTCCACGATACATAGGTCTGGTAACATTGATGTAGCAACTGACCCAGCTTTTTCATGAACAAATGTATAGAACGTATTACAGACATTTGGAATTATGAACCACCCACAGTGAGATTTCATGAAGAAAGTAACAAACTACAGTTTAAAAGACGGGTCAGGCACGGATGAATACTCTTACCAAGGCTATTCGCGGTGAATTAAAATTGATTTTATAAACATTACATTGGAGTATTAAAGGCATCTAAATAAATTGAGGTAGTCTTAACATCTCAGATTTGTTGATCACATCGTGATCGTATCAACTAATGCAAATGCACTCTTGAAATCATAAGAAAAAATACTCATCAATAAGGGTGCAAAGTTGGGCTGAAGTGAATCATGGCCAAAACAAAAGTAATGTACAATGAGTTGTCCGAGCAATATAATTATTGGAGGGACGCAACTGGGAAACACGACAAAAGAAGTCGATTTCGGCCAGTTAGTTATGGTGGATCAGGATCTAAATGGTGAAACCAAGAAGCAAGCCAGAATTGGTTGAACTCCTTTTGGAAAAATGGAATTTGAGCAGGAAAAGTAACCGAACAGTTTGCCTGAAGAAGAACGTTTGTTTTCAATCAGTTCACATTTCCTACGATGATATAGAGGGATTGGAAACTGACAAATAAAATATAATAAAATCTCAAAAAGTACATCCAGAAGCATCCTGCAAACTTTAGTGAGAGAGAGAGAGAGTAAGAGGAATGCATGCATCAGAGAACAAATTAAAATCACAGATCGCATAGTTGGGGCTGGACACGTCGCTAGAATGGTTGACATGTCACTACAATGGTTGATGGGAGTGTCGAGATTAACTCACGTGTGGGAGTGAGATGAGTTGTGGCAATGGCCTTGGGAGGCCTTCGTCCAGCAGTGAATAGAATACGGCTGATGACAATGAAAAAGGAGTACGGCAGATTTTAGCTGTCGCGTGCTTTCATTAAAAATAAAAAAAATGCTTAACATTTTGAGACGTGTAAAGAAGAACTATAACTGTCAGTCTTAAAACAGGCCAAATTCAAGTGGTTATCGGCAACACTTACCATTTTATGAGACGCAGTGTATATTTACAAAGCGTTTGAGCAGAAAGTTTTTGGGAATCTGTTCAAGATAAAATCAACATTCTCAAACCGAACGCCAAATATCTCACATTTACTGTACATACAGTGAGGGAAAAAAGTATTTGATCCCCTGCTGATTTTGTACGTTTGCCCACTGACAAAGAAATGATCAGTCTATAATTTTAATGGAAGGTTTATATGAACAGTGAGAGACAGAATAACAACAAAGTCCAGGAAAATGCATGTCAAAAATGTTATAAATTGATTTGCATTTTAATGAGGGAAATTAGTATTTGACCCCTTCTTAATCAGAAAGATTTCTGGCTCCCAGGTGTCTTTTATACAGGTAACAAGCTGAGATTAGGAGCACACTCTTAAAGGGAGTGCTCCTAATCTCAGCTTGTTACCTGTATAAAAGACACCTGTCCACAGAAGCAATCAATCAATCAGATTCAAATTCTCCACCATGGCCAAGACCAAAGAGCTCTCCAAGGATGTCAGGGACAAGATGGTAGACCTACACAAGGCTGGAATGGACAAGACCATTGCCAAGCAGCTTGGTGAGAAGGTGACAACACTTGGTGCGATTATTCGCAAATGGAAGAAACACAAAATAACTCTCAATCTCCCACGGCCTGGGGCTCCATGCAAGATCTCACCTCGTGGAGTTGCAACGATCATGAGAATGGTGAGGAATCAGCCCAGAACTACACGGGAGAATCTTGTCAATAATCTCAAGGCAGCTGGGACCATAGTCACCAAGAAAACAATTGGTAACACACTACGCCGTGAAGGACTGAAATCCTGCAGCACCCGCAAGGTCCCCCTGCTCAAGAAAGCACATATACATGCCCGTCTGAAGTTTGCCAATGAACATCTGAATGATTCAGAGGACAACTGGGTGAAAGTGTTGTGGTCAGATGAGACCAAAATGGAGCTCTTTGGAATCAACTCAACTCGCCGTGTTTGGAGGAGGAGGAATGCTGCCTATGACCCCAAGAACACCATCCCCACCGTCAAACATGGAGGTGGAAACATTATGCTTTGGGGGTGTTTTTCTGCTAAGGGGACAGGAGAACTTCACCGCATCAAAGGGACGATGGACGGAGCCATGTACCGTCAAATCTTGGGTGAGAACCTCCTTCCCTCAACCAGGGCATTGAAAATGGGTCATCGATGGGTATTCCAGCATAACAATGACCCAAAACACACGGCCAAGGCAACAAAGGAGTGGCTCAAAAAGAAGCACATTAAGGTCCTGGAGTGGCCTAGCCAGTCTCCAGACCTTAATCCCATAGAAAATGTGTGGAGGGAGCTGAAGGTTCGAGTTGCCAAACGTCAGCCTCGAAACCTTAATGACTTGGAGAATATCTGCAAAGAGGAGTGGGATAAAATCCCTCCTGAGATGTGTGCAAACCTGGTGACCAACTACAAGAAACGTCTGACCTCCGTGATTGCCAATAAGTGTTTTGCCACCAAGTACTAAGCCCTCATTAAAATGCAAATCAAATTATAACATTTTGACATGCGTTTTTCTGGATTTTTGTGTTATTCTGTCTCTCACTGTTCAAATAAACCTACCATTAAAATTATAGACTGATCATTTCTTTGTCAGTGGGCAAACCTACAAAATCAGCAGGGGATCAAATGCTTTTTTCCCTCACTGTATGGTGGCTGGACAATATGCCAGTAATACTTCAGTTTGTTTAACATGTAACGTTTTGTAAGTTAACTGTCAAACATGCACATTTTCAGTGGAAGGTGGCTGAGCACACGTGTGTGAAAATGTACATATTTTGTGAAATTGCTTTTCACACTTTTCAAGTCTCACGGTGCTGGCATCTGTTTCCCATTATTCACTCAGCATAGGTGGCATCTTTGCTTTGTGGGGGTAGGGAAATAAGGGCTCTGTTACCCCCCCCCCCCCCCGCTCCACCCTCCGCTTGGCTATCGTCTGTTAAAATCAAAGGTATTATATTAAATTAAAGTAATATTCACCTATTCTCAATCCACTGCTGGATTAAGGGGTTTTTTGTATTGTTTGTTCTTGGAACTTTCCCAGCGGCCCCTACTGGACATCTGTGAAAAAGGGGCTTCATAGCTCATCGGATGCCTCAAGCCTAAATATTTTGATCCTAATCTCCGCAGAGCGTGCTGATCACTGGGGTGTTTGTTCCATACATCACTGAGCTGCTGGCCGGTGCAAGTTAGTGAAGGGACAGCACAGGGCTAGTTCAGGTATCACTCACCGCTGTTGTTAGCCATGGCTGTCACTCAAATTCAGGTTCATAGCGCAGTGTACCAACCACCGTGTCAACGCTACACCGCTTACCGTGAATTATTTAGGTTACAAATGGCATTGCTCAGTGAACGGACCCTACAGGTAAGTGCGTTGGATAAAAAAAAAAAACCCCAGCAGGGTAATCAGAGCCGGGGATGCAAACCCTTGCCTTCTGTTTGCTGAAGGAAGCGGCCTCGTGTTCTGGTCCCTGCGTCTACAACGTCTCCAAACAAAAGGTGGTTATTTTTTCCCCAGCTTAAGATCTACTGGAAAACATACGGGATCGCTTCAGCCCTGGGCCTGCTGCCCTAATGGCCTCCTTTCCCCATCTGCCAAGGGGTCACTTAGCCCCCTGTAAAGTATACAACATCAAACGGCAAGATAGCGAGAGGTGGCGGCAGCTTGGGAGACCTTCATCGAGCGCTGGATTGACTATGACTTATGACGGTGACGATGATGACGGCGTCAGTGGTAAAAGGTTGGCGCTGCCCGTGGCTCACAGTGTTGTGGGGTCCCTCCCTTTGCGCCAGTGTTGTTGTGGAACAGCTGAAGGCCGGCAAGACCGTGCAGCCTGAGCACTTTGAGCAGGTGACCATCTTCTTCTGCGACATCGTGGGCTTCACGGCCATGAGCGCCATCAGCAGCCCACTGGAGGTCATCACCCTCCTCAACGACCTCTACAACCTCCTCGATGACATCATCAAGGAATACGATGTCTACAAGGTCTCATTCATTGTCCGGGAATCATTATAACACACACACACGCACACACAAAGATCTCCCATATAAGCTATGCAGACTGTGAAAAGCACGTGCTGCTGAAGAGGAACTGTCAAGGTTGAGATGGCACGCGAGGGTGTGCCGTGGCCAGCACCATGCCCACCCACCCTCATCTCCCCAGTGCTAATGTTTACACACTACACCGGGTTACTAACTTTAAGACCGAGTAAACTTAGGGGAGACCCCGGACCGCCTCTGATATCACTCGCCACGAAGTGTTCGCGTTGGCCAGACTCCCACTAAGTATTGTGGGTGGACATATTATTACTATTGATACAAAACGGACAATAACGCCCTTTGTTTAGCCAAGGACGAGCACCACTGAATCGCAGGGCTCGTTTTCATGAAGGTCCTACAGCGTGGAATATTTGACCAATCGTTTGTGAAGTGAGGCCGTTGCTGCACTCTAAACCTCTTGGTCGCCGCACAACCCCTCCGCCTAACACGCAGTCAATGCGTGTTGTGCTGCTCTCCCGCGCATTGGGCACCGGCCGGTGAACTGACCTCAATCGGATTCCCCCCCCCCCCCACCGCAGGTGGAGACTATCGGGGACGCGTACATGGTGGCGAGCGGCCTCCCCGTGCGCAACGGCGTGCGGCATGTGGAGGAGATCTCCATCATGTCCCTCCACTTCCTGAGCTCCATCATAAATTTCCGCATCCGCCACCTTCCCAAGGAGCAGCTCAAAATTCGCATCGGCGTCAACAGCGGTAATTGAGCTGATTATAGCAAGGAGGAGAAGGAGGCATTGGTAATGCCCGACCTCCCATTAGCAGTCACGAGTCACTTTTGCTAAACCAACTCTCCGATTTGTTTTCGGGTTGTGTCGCATGTTGTCCGGCATGCACCAGGGCATGGGCCCTGGTGCAATTTATGAAACCCCCCCCCTCCCCGTTTGCCTGAGCCCCTGTTCGTAGCTCAGCACCCGGGCCCCTTCGGCTTGTGGGTCTCAGTGTAGTTGCACTTCCTGCACCCTTGATAGCTACACCACTCACTAATTGGGGAGTGTTAAGAGTCGATGGAATGATGCATCCTCACTGACTTTAGCATGCATTGTAACTTATCGCACCTGGCAGAGAACAACTTCCCATCACTTCAACAAAATGTGGGATTTCCCACGGCGGATAGTGTGCCGCGAAGTGCTTTACTTGAGTGCAATGTGCGTACCTTGCCGTTTTAATGCCGTCAGGTTCGGTGGTGGCAGGAGTGGTGGGGAACACCATGCCCAGGTACTGCCTCTTCGGAGACACCGTCAACGTGGCCTCACGCATGGAGAGCACCGGTTACCGTAAGCAGAGCACGACCAATGTCGTTGCGGCCGTTTCCATTCGTGAACATTTACACCGTTTAGATTTTCACATGTCGCGTCTTTTACAGAATCACCGCGGCGATACGATGACCCGTCGTGATTCAGGGTCACGATTCAATTCAACATTCTTGTTTAGCACAGGGGTGAATGGTAGCGCCTCTAGTGGCTGCAGGGGTGATAAAAACCCATTATATGCAGCAAATAAAAATCGAAATACGTCAGGTCTTATGCATGCATTTCGATGCACGTATTGATCGTAAGCATAAGAAGCAATTATAATTGATACATCGATGCATTATTTTCACGCATTATTTGTGAGATCATTAATATTTTTTTTGTCATGGAAATTAAGTGATCCTTGAATGACTTCAGGCCAGAAAATATTTATAGGAAAATATATATTAATAACAAGTGGGTTTATTCGTAAGAATTGTTTTTGCTGACAAGTCGAGTGGCAGGTGGTCAAATTCTATCATCTCAAAATTGCAAGGTCTATAACTGTGAAATACATAACTCACCTTTATGTTAGGGTTACTTACAATCACTGCAAGTCACTGACAAAATGTAATAATTTAACAATGTAAATTTCACACAAAATATCACATTTATTCGACACGGACACGCAAAAACAACTATTTTATTAGCAAGAGAGTAATTAAAATTGCATCTGGGTGGTTTGTGCATCTCCTCAGTCAGACAACCGTGTTGGCATCTCTGAGCCTCCGGTTCAAATTCAACTTTAATTAATTTCCACTTTGATGCTTTGGTAAAGAATCTCTTGCAGCCAGGTCCGACGATAATTTGCAGCACAAAGAAAGCATTGACCGAACTGCAGCATCAATTCTCAACTTGGCAGTGTGCGTGCACTTCGTGGCTGGGCTGCTTGAGTGTTCATGGCTCCATGACATTAGTGGCTGCATTCTTGCAGCAGGCACTCGCTTTTGAGCATTGTTTAGGCCCTCTCGGAGCTGCGGGGAAAACAATGTATGTGTGTGCTAACTTCACAGTGCTCTGTGAACAATGTAAACGGCACTCGTATGAAGCCTCCCGAGGAATATCGAGTGAGGAAAATATCCTCCAGACTCCTTTGTAAACGCTGCTTTTCACAGACACAATAAACCCATGTTAATAAGGTACGGTTTTAGACTTACACAGGCGTTGGTGGTGGACCCCTGTAATCCAGTACTGTGGATCACGCAAATGCTGTGAAACTCCCTTCTTTTGGGCCTCTACGAGCTGCCATGCCCTGGCTTTCCAGGAGAAGGCGGTACAGGAAAATGTTGACTTATCTCCATCTGCTCCATCTGTGTGGGATAGAGTGTTGTCCCTTCACATATATGTGTTTCCCCCGGGGTGCTCCAGTTTACTCCCACATGTAAAAAACAAACACAAATTAATTGGCTGAATACATATTAATATATAGAGGACTGCAGAGCCTGGGCAATTGTTTTTTTTTTGCCGGCTCACTGCCAGGTTGCTGCCTTTCCGCTCGTGTGTGGTTCCTCCGCGCGCCTATGAGTTGATATCTGTCTTCGAGAGTGAGCAAACACCGTACATAAGTAAACATTCTAATAGATGCCACTGCTGTCTTCATGAATAGCTCTTGGGTTTGATGGTAAATGTTTATAATAAAGCGTTTGTTACTCTAATGAAGTAATTCATTTATGGTACATTGACAAGGCAATGGAGAAATCCTGCTCTCCATTGCATATTATGTGTCCTCCTTGTCACAGCCCTGTAATTACGGAACCCTGACTTGGAATCACCAGAAACAGAGCCTTGATTGTAGGAATTAAGCCGAGGCACTCGGGAAGTTAGTAATTAATAGAGCCTAGGGTCCGTGAAGCCAATTTTGTAATATAATCCTGATGAGGCAAATGAATATGGAGCAAGCTAAAGCCACACACTAAAATCTGACTTTATAACAGTATGCATTTAAAGCCAACACAAACATTTTTGAACATTTTTGTCCTAGGCTACATAAAATACCCCCCCCCCCCATTATGACTGGAAAGACAAGTGCGGGCCAGCACACACGTACACGTGTACCGTACGTATATTTGTGAACCGTGCTTTGTACTCGGTCTGGAATTGCAATTAAGTTTTGCTCCTTTAACTCCAAATTCCTTGTTTATAAGTTCGTGCTGACTGGATAGGAATGTGAGAAAATAGAGGAACACTTTACATTGGGCTGATTATTTTGCCGTTGAAATGTAAACGCAAACCCTCGTACCTATTAGCATTCGCCTTGGATGAGAAAAGGCAGTGAGTCCAGTGAGAAGTTTACAAAATATGCGCACGCTTTATGGAAATTGTTTTTTTAACACCGCAATGTGCCCAAAATAAGACATCGGTGTACCGATGTATGCCAAGTGGCTTATTAGAGAGAAAAAAGAGACTAAAAATATTTTTTTGGTTGAGATTCATTATTTTTTATTTTAAACAGAGCGGTTTGCCGCGGGAAAAAAAAATAATTAGCGGAGACACATTGAAGTATGTGCGCACACAGATCGTAGATGGTACGCTAACTCTTATTTGTCCTTTAAACACTGTGACAGCTCTGCGCATCCACGTTTCTGAATCAACCGCGTCTCTCTTGAAATCGATTGGAGGTTACGAACTGGTTGAGAGGGGAGCAATCCAACTAAAGGTATGTACATGGATGTGGATATTGCCTCTCATTTGCTTCTGAGAAAGTTGTATGGCCTCAAGAGGAAAATGGCCACTAAATTATCACTTAAAATGTGGCTACTGCATTTATCTAAGGCCATAAGGCTGCCTAAGTAAAAAAATAAACATTTGTCATTGATTTGGCGGCTATAAATGTCAACATCCATTGGTATTTCATAAAGTTTTCTGTAGGTGCATTACTCTCACTAAAAAATTATAGCAATGGTGATGGCCATAAAAAAGTGGGTAGTGCTCGAAGAACATGCGGCGTGGGTGGTTGATGGTGATAAAAAGTCCAGGGAAACCCACACCCGCTGAATCTGAAAGCATGCATTTCCTTCTCGAGACATAACTTGTCTCCGACTATTTTTCAAACTTTCTCAAAGGGCCAGATGAACTTGGAAGATGAGGTAGACTGGAGATGGAACAGATCAGGGTACACATTGCTGTTCAATGAATTGCATACTGCCTGGTATGGCTTACAGCTGAACAAAAATGTAGGTTGCTAATGTAATATAACGTACAATAATCTGGCAAGACAAGAAAACCCTTCTGTAAATAATACTTCTCCGCACATTTTTTTTTTAAATAAAGAAATATGTATCTTGATCGCCACGCTTAGATTAGAATTCCCTGGCGATACAAAAGTTCATGACGTGGAATGACAATGCTATGCTCTAAACACACCATGCAAGCAAGCCATGGTCTCTCCTGCCTGGGTGGCCCAATGTTTTCATGGAGCCTGAGCCAGATATTATAAGAGCATACTTCCCTTGCAGAGTGAATGCGCTTAATCTGGGGCAACCAGGCATCACATCTGATTTGGGTTTTCAATAAGCAAAACGATGCACACAAACCTTTCATACACCTCCACCTAAGAGCACTCTTTCACCCAGTGTAATGGAGCTTGCTGTGAGTGACCATTGTTAAAAGATGCCCTGTGCATATCAGTGTATTTCCTTGAGATCATTTTGCTTTGATCGCTTGTTCAAGTGATCGTATTAGCTTCGAGAAATCAGATACTTTAAACATTTTCAATTGTTTTAATCCCCTTTGTAGTAGTAGTAGTATTATTACACACACACACACGCACAGATGCACTACATACACGCATATATATTTGATATTGAAAAAAGGGTTGAAAACAGAGGAGTAAAAATAAGTATACGCGTATTGCAAAGCCTCATTCTCTGCATTTTGGATGTAAAATGTTATGAACACGTGCAAATATTAAGCAATCTGAGAAACAGTTGGCCTCTGCCACGGCATTTATCAATAGGTATTTGCACACCATGCATAAATTCCCCACCATAGGAATGTGGAATTTACATTGAAGAAACACCAGCAGCAATGACCACGACCTGAGTGTTCATTTGCGCATCGACACATTTGTGATTAGTGTGCCATGCTCACCGTGTGGCGTGTCCCAGGGGAAAGGTAGCCAGCTGACGTACTGGCTGAACGGCAAGTTTGGGTTCCACATGCCTCTGCCAGACTTTGACTACATGGAGGAAATCATGAGGAGCAAGCTCAGCACTGAGAGTAGCCAGGTACGGTGGGCATAATCCCAAGAATGACGGAGCATGAGTGATGGCTGTGTATTAAATATAAACGGGCCGGGGAATGGCCTTGTTATCATCAAGCGAGCAATAACCCTGTTTTGCTTTTAAGCCTGCCGTCTTGGACTTTTTGCAATATTTTGCACGGGCGTGAATAGTATAGGTTGGTGTTGTGTGTAACATCAACTAAAGTAATTCCGAATACTGTATAGTGTGTGCGTATGAATGCATGCATGCGTGTGTACCCTCGTGTTTGTATGCAAGGTGAGATGGTGTTCAAGCCCAAAACAGCTCTCTCCTGTAGAAATAGCAATGATTTTATTTCAGTATATTTTCGTACAGTTGTAAAGTGGTAACTGAAATCGTCATGGACAGTGCATTATTGAATGTCGGGGGGGAGGGGGGGGGTGTAAAAAGAGGAGATGACAATCTCTCTGAAACCACGAAAATCCTAAATCCATTCGGAAAAGAAAATTATTGAAGACCTCGCAATGAACAACGCGAGCGTGAAAGCGGCAAGAAAGTTGTTAATTGGTAAAGAGTAAATTATCATTGTTAGTATTTCTCGGTACAACCACTTATATATAACATCGCTAAATTGTCTTATAGTTCATGTTTATTCAGAATAGTTAATTTCATCTCATCATCGGTCAGTCATATTGAGGTTATTGTGGGTCGCCATCGCTGTAGCCATTGCCACACTTGATGATTTTGTTCCAGTCCTGGTCGTCGTTGACTGAACAGAAGAAAACTGAATTTGACGAAATATTTTCATCGCCGATTTCGGTTACAAATTTGGCGACGGGAAACGCGGACTCACGGCATTCCCCCCCACCACCACCACCACCACCGTTGTGTGCCACCACAGATTGTGGAGTCTAAAGCCGAGGAAATGGTGCGGGAGCTGGAAAAATTCCAGCTGACGCAGAGAATGCGTCCGCAGGGGAAGAGCGTGGAAGGGTGCAGCACCGAGAATGCCCTCCCCTCCTCTGTGACCGCCACGGATCATGTGTGGGCCGCAACCCAGTAGGGTGCTCTCAAGTCCGAACGGAATCAATAGATTGTCAATGGGTCAGCTACCAATCGTCTTGTGTTGAGCGAGACCCATCACTGAACATTAGAACTCCTCTTATGCGTGGCCTTATTACACCTGTGACTCCTGTTATCCGTTAGATCAATAGGATCTTCGAAAACTCGTGTATTGTCCGTGCCTCAGTTGTTCCTGTTCGTCGCGATCATCCTGAGTGTTTTTTTTACATCCTGCGTTGAGGAATGGATTCCTATTAGTCACACATTTTTCATGGATAAGTGGAGCGCATCGGCAAATGAATGCTATTATCTGTGATTGTAAGTGGCTAAATTCACGGATAACATCGCGGATAACAGGATCCCACGATGTCCATTCCTTACATCACCGTGGATTAGCACGGTCGGCTACAAATGGTGCGAATGAAGTTCAATAAACATATATACGTGAATAAGAGGATTCCACTGCATTGAATTTCTTAATCTCTGTGAAAGTTAATTATATTAATGTGTTTTCATAATCCACGAAAGCCTTTTCAGAAGGGGGCCTGCGTTTTGAGTTTATGCAAATTCCTTTTTCGGGAGTGTTTCGTATGTGGAAACAAAAAGAGAATACAATTATATATAACACCTAATTTACCAAAAAAATTGCCCCTTTTACAGAGCTTCATCAACATCATTTGTATTTTAACTGTATGTACACAGGAGATCCCCACGACATCTTCAGCCCTTTGATTTACACGGGGGCCCCTACTTGGGATGACTGGAGTTTTTTTTGCACAGAAAGAGAGAGAGTAAACCGAATGGCGCAGGCAAAACGCACACGTGTAAAGGGAAACACAAACATGTCAGGGCAAAAAATGCACTGGCTGTGCTGCCTCGCGTGTAAGGCCCCCCCCCCCCCCCCATTGCCCTCCATTCTGGTGTCACGCACACCCATCGTTGCCATCCTGTTGCATGATCCACCTACCCCACCTTCACGTCACTGAAATGACAGCCATATGCCACAGTACGTGCCTGAAATAACGTTTCGTTCAATTGCCATCGAATAAGCTTTACTGTTGAAACGTAATGCATCCTATTTTATCACACGTCCAGCAGAGAGCATAGACACCAAGTTACGTACTGTGCATGTCGAAGAATTAATCCATTGACATGCAAAGTTCACACAGACAAGACGATATACAGGTGTAAACGTACAGGACTATGCAAGCATGCATCTGCATCTCGATTTCTTAGATCGTTTAAAGCATAATAATACCATTGTGTTCTGATTCGAGACAGAAAAATTGACCGTGTCCAACAGAGTACATTTTCCAGTAGCTTTTTTCAGTACCTTATTTCACAACTGACTGTGTCTGCATGAAGCATAAAGGCACGGACGATACAATTGCTTAATCAATTTTGGATTCGTACAACATCTAAACAAACGTATCGCAAGACGCCGTACAAAAAGCAGTTGTGCCACCTCCAGGCCCCCAGAGATTGACGAGGAATTTTGGTGCAATAATTTCCGAGCATGACTGGACTTCATACGCTGCCCATTCATTTTATTTATTTTAAGGTATTGTACAGTTTTGTGTATGTTGATCATACCAAACCACCACCAGCATGACCATACGGATATCAGTTGAACGAGAAGTAAATGCTTACAGATTAATGCTGATAACAAATGAGCTGCCATGTGTTGGTGCAACAAGACCCACTTCTAGCCCCAGTTAAGGCAACATTTTCCACGGACGTTGTGATATGTTGAATGTCCTAATATATATAAAAAAACGCATCGTTAGAAGTCTGAATGTTGTGTACTGAAAGTGCATGGTTCCAGTCCACTGTAATTCATCCCAACCACGTGTTTGGATTGAGGATCTGGGCCATAATCCCATTCTGAATCCATCCAAATGAATCCACGTTTTTACCTGGATATGATCTGGATTGGTCCTTCGATCGGATCCTGGATCAAATGGAACAGGATTTACATGTATTGCTTAACAATAGATTTTGTAACATGTTCATAATGAAATAGCAAACACAAAGCACGTGACGTTATTTTGTTGCTGTCAATTACCAAACATTCCTTTATTTATTTAAAAAAAGTCTTGTGGAGTCTGAATAATTTTTTTCAAGATAAATTCTGTATTGGATAATTTGGATATTGCCATCTAAACGATCTATATTTTGCTTCACGTGGGAGGAGGAAACTGACCGTGCACGAGGGGGATAACGCATACAAGCTTTGAGAGGGAGGGCCCATTGACAATTTTCTAGCTACCTCACAGCCGAGCCGGTTTATGTGAAAATTCACAAATCTCTACGCGATCGCTCCAGCAGCCCACAGCCTCCAAAGTTATCTATTCGCAGTTGTGTAACTACATATCCATAATACAGCATAATAATCGATGATTATAAGTCTTAATGTAGCAAAAACTCTTGATTCTAACACTAAACAGTACAAAAAACAAACGACTTGTGATTTGATCTATGACATTGGCAAACTGCTACAAATTGCAATGGTAAATACAGTACCGTACATGGTTAACAAGAATCAACTTAGGGAAATGAATAATTATTCCTGCAACCTTTTTTTAAAACACTTTCCAGCTGAGGTTGAAAGCCTTCATGCATTATTAGCTCTATGCATCTGTCTATAATGAGGTGGGAGGGGGTATGATAACGTGCGTGAAGATACTTCAAACTCAACGAAACTTCAGTGTGAAGTTGTGCCGCTATTAGAGACGTACTAGCCCAGACATGGGCAAAGTACGGCCCGGGCGTATACGGCCCGTTGGGCTTTTTAATCCGGCCCGCCGAATTTGTCCAAATATTATTATTAAATTAAATTTTACCTTTCTCCTGTAATGCCCCCATTTCCCCATTAGATGGCGCACTTTGATCCGGCCCCTCTGTCAAATTTTAGAACCCATTGTGGCCCGCGAGTCAAAAAATTTGCCCACCCCTGTAAAACAAGCCCACACTCTCCGCTGCAGAGCTTCTATCCAATCTTCATCATATCTCTCTGCTAATGCTTCCGAAGACAAACTCATGTTGGATTGTGGTACACAATATCCATGAACATGTTTGATTTTTCCTACTTGTTTACTTCTAGATTATCGGTTACAAAAAATGCATCTCATCAGCCGATTACGATGGGGTGCAATCGTGTCACATTCGGGCACAAGCTCTGCGGGTCTAAATCGCCAATTATTTATATTTTTTTTGCGTGAGTAAATCAGGTCGATCCAGTTACAAACCAAGCCAAAGGTACATCTCTAGTAATCAGTGTAGCATTCCCAAAGATCATTTGTAGCGATCCTATAGTCTTACCAATGTGGTACTTTAGTGACATTTTCATCTCATCTGTTTGCCACTCGAAGTGTTTGATGTTATCAATGGATAAACACATGTAGTGATAATAATAACAATCAAATTAAATGTTCATGGTTTATCCACATAAGCCAATCTATCTTCCACATTAGACCCTTTTTGGGGCCCTGTTGACGCAATCGGCTTACAACTGTGAGGTGGCTGGGTGGCTCAAGAGGTCAGAGCACTAAGCTCACTCTGCTGAGATCCTGGATTTGAATCCAGGCAGCGACCTGTGGTTAAACCGGGTTCTCAAATGGGTTCTCAATGGTCTCAGCCCAGCCACCAATGACTTCGCCAAACTCCCCCCCCCCCATCACATAAAATATGCTTGTGCACTTAAATTTGGCTACATTCCAGCTCAGAGTATATAAAATATCGGTTGACTGCCATGTGACAAATATTGTTCTCAGTGGCAGAGCGTGTGAAAAGGTGCTGCCTCTTAACCATCAAAAATAATTTCTCCTCTGGTAACGCGCACAATGATCGCTCACAGACGTGAGGAATCATCGACAAGCACGAAAGGCAACCAGGCAGTGATCCAGCGCCAAATTCCCCCCCCCCCCCTCTGCCACGCTCTGCGGTCCTCTACATATAAAAGTGTTATCGACCAATCAATCATGAGTGTTTACATGACCCCGGGGGCAAATGGAAGTACCCAAAGAAAACCCACGTGTGCAAGGGGGGGTAACATTCCATCCCGTACAGAAGCAACAGATGCAACCACCGCCGTAGATGCAGTTCGATCTACCAGCTTCTGGAAAGGCAGGGTTATGGCACCTGGACGCCCACTGGGTCGGAGTTTTGCAACATTTCTGTGATCCACCAACCTTCGCCTGCACTGTACTGAATAACGGGGCATTCGCAACCACCGCCACCACTACTGTGCGGACTGCAGGGTCACTTGAACGGATCTCAGTAGCTCTGCGATATCCACTTCCACGGGCTAGCCACTAACATGAAGCAGTGTATGGCTCTGAGAGATCAGAAGAGATACTTGGTCTCATGACATGATGCCGATAGCCCAATGGGATGAAATTGGGGTATTTCAAAAATAAGTTCTTAAAATGATCCTTATCCATTTTAGGAGTGGCATTTTTTTTAAATAACAGCATAGTTTAATTAAAGGCTTTTCCTCACTGAACAAGGTAAACATGTAAAGACATAGTGCAGATTGCTTTGCATGGGATTTAATTTATCTTTGCTACTTGACGCCATTTCTCTGTGTTGTGCTAACCTATTAATGATGCATGCGTCACTTATGCTTTACTTTCCTTATGATATCATTTTAAAAGTTGGACACATTAAAACAGCCAATGAAAATAAATGTTCCAGTGAGCAGTGATGGCCTGTGTCACCATTGAAGCATTGCATGACAGAACGATTTCTTGGTATTTGAAGTCAATTTATTTCGCACTTCTTTCATCTTTTACAACAACTTCAACGACGTAATGAAAAGAGACTTTGCAAGAATTAAACGGCACCTTTCAAAGAGCTCGCCAAGGCTGGAATTCCAGGAACAACGTACTGCGTCGCGGATGAAGCTTGGGTCACTTTAAGATCGGTGAGCACAACCGTTGGTGCTTTCTGCATTCACGTAATGTATTACAGTTTAACATATATCCGGGTAGAATTTTTACTTGAAATTTCATTGGAAAATGTCCCTGCTAGTTTATCCAGGTCTAGTCAGGATCTACTGAAGTTGGCTGTCTTCGTGTTGTGATAAGATGAAAAAAAAAACATAACCAGCAACATTTTTCTTAATATTTTTGAGCATGAACAATGACACTGGCTCTCCCTTCGTTGGTTCGAAGAAAATAAAATTGGGTTCATTTCAATAAAGCGCATAACTCGCAGTTGTGTAATGTGTTTAATTTCGATCACTCTGAAGGTAAATATGACGAGGAAGTTTGAAGGGGAAGTCCAATGTTTTACTTGGAATGGCCTGGATTTATGAGGCGGTGGGAACAGCAAAAGGAAAGGCAATAAAAAAAACAGCAGCATTCCCAGCAGACATGGGAGTTGCCAGCAAGAGCAATCCGCTTGCACCTGGCGATAATCAGACCAGTTGTTTTTGTGCGTGTAACTT